GTGATGTAGAAGCATGTGCCAATTTTTGTGGAGGAACACAGAGTTCCATTCTGTTTCCCATCTCTCTTTGTTTGAACAGCAGAATTCAGACATTGATAGTGTCGTCACTACCTGCCTAGTTGGTAATAAGCAAACTAAACTTGGCTCTAAAATTTCCTGTAGAACAATTGATTTCAAATCATTTCTATACTGATTTGTAGCATAGGATCCCTGCGAGTCTGCTGCAGAATTATTGCAAGATGAGGACATTCTCAGTCTCAAAATCTCTTTGGGCTCTTGCTGTATCCCTAAACATAAATGCAGAGTAAAGCCTAGCACGCTCATTTCTGGCTGTCCATAATCTTATGAATTGGAGGGACTTAAAAATTTAAAATATTATTGTCTGCTTTTTATATTTGAAATAGTATTGAAAGTGGCTTAGAGATATGCAATAAAAACAGAATAAAAAGGAGCACAGAAAACCAATTAATAAGTAAGATCTTTAAATGGTGGGTGGGATTGCCAACATCATTTTCCTGGAACCTTGGGAAAATTTTGAATTTTCTATTAATTTTTGGCCATGCGTGTAAATCTGTACACAAGTTAAATGTGTGTAAGTTGCAGGCTTACTGTACTATATACAGGAGCAAACAAGAAGGATAACAGAAGCTGACCACTTAAATTCAGGAGTAACTAGCTTTCTAAAAACTTGGTGTCACCAGCAAGTCATGCCTATTTTTATATTGTTTCACTCACCGCACTGAGCATAACTGAGAAGGTTCAGCAACACAGTGCTTCTAGTTTCATTTGGAAAAAGGACCCTAGAAGTTTACTAGTGTTCTGTAATTGTGCTTATTTACAAATATATAATTGGAGCATAGGTGGAGGCACAACGTAAACACTCCAAACAGAGAGCCAAAGTCCACTGTGCCCATATCAGGTGACCAGGGAGACAGACAGCCCCCTGAAATTGCTGTTAGCTGGAACTCAAAATGTCAGCCCTCTGTGCCTGTATGTCTTCCTCAAATGGCAGTCTCTCTTCACACACAGGATACTTTGATCACATTATCCCTACTCAGGTTTGGGTATTTCAGGTATTTCCTAGCCACTTGAAAGGCTTGCCATTGGTAGCAGTCAGCCAATCACTGACAGTGGTCTTTTGGATCATATCAGGGAGGCCGAGATGGAGGGGATCTTGTCATCTGGGCAGCCCAGGACCTCCATACACACTGCCCAGGCTTGCACCCTGGAAAGGTCACTTTGGTGCTACAAATGCAGCAAAAACAACGTGTGAGGCAGCAGTTATGAGTTATAAACTCAACCTGATCGGCATAAGGTATGAGCACAACAGGTTGCCTTCATCAGTGGGAAAATTCACTGTGTCTCACTGGTCAGCTACCACCTGCCTTAGGCAGAGCAGCCCCAGGTCAATAAAACACTGACCTGCCACTGTCCACCTGCTTCAATGGGTGCTTGGAGCTCCAAGTATCACTCAACAAGCAGAGCGAACTACTGCACCAGCCAAAGAAGAAAAGTTAACAACCTCCCATGTGGGAATCCCTTGCAGACAACCATAGTGCCTGGAGACAGATTGTGTATCTGCAGCAGTGGCCAGAGAAGGAATGACAGCTGCAAGAAGCGCAAAGAGAAGAAATGTCATGGTGCATCTGCAGTGGCACAACCAGATGCCGTATCTGCTTCAATTGCAACAAAACATGTCTCTCCGTATTGGTCTCTACAGCCACAGCAGGCATTGTAACTCTCCAACAGTTTGACTTCGCCCACAAAGGTGCACTCCTCCATAGTCTCCCAAGACAGATGGATGCCAACAAGAAGTCTTCCAAAACTACTACTAGTTTCCTTCTTTTTGACCCCCAATCCCACAACAATAGAATATGCCGTCAACCCACCTATAAACATCAACAGTCTGTTCCTATATGGATTTCCACGTGTTAACTGCCTATGAATTGGACTGCATGGATAAACCCATTTGTATTTCTAAACTGGAAAATGGGGCATCTTCCACTCATGAATTTTGTTCTGTATTAGTTTCATTTCAGTTCTGGTATACTTGTGTTTTCTTTGCATTAAAGTGTGGGGTGTTTTGTTTTTGTAAAACTTCTTAATCCAACCCAGCACATTTTAGAATTTTATTTAGATCCAGGGATAGCAAAAGATTTCTCTTTCATTGAAAAATGGAAATAATAAAAGTTTCCTTTGTCTACAGTCAGTCTTACACAAAGTAAAGTGCACTTAAATGCTATTCAGTTACATCCTCAATAGAGCTTGTAACTGAATTTGGGACTGCAACCTTTGTGACTTACATAGCAACAAAACAAAAAACAAGGCATTTTTAACTTCTATTTCTCACATATTTCAAGGCGTATGTTCTTGTTTTCCACATATGTGTTTAATCCTCCTTCTACATCCTCTCCCCTTCCCAGAAACACAGCTTTCCAAATCCTTTGAAGTGTTATTTTGTTAAGATCAGTATTACTGCAGATGACGTCTCTTGTTTTCATACAAAACCTGGCTGGCAAGTGCATATTTGTATCTTTGACTCACTACATTTCATTGCAGTTGGGATGGGTGAGGGGGAAAGAAACCCAACAATATACATTTGGATATATTTAGTTTGTCATATCTGGAGTGTTAAGGGTAACCAAAGCTGCCAAATACTATTTCAGGTGGGAGCGAGGAATAAAGAAATTGCAAAATGAAATCATAAGTGCCGTGATAAAGGGGAGGACGCGGGTGGCACTGTGGGTTAAACCACAGAGCCTAGGACTTGCCGATCAGAAGGTCAGAGGTTCGAATCCCCGCAACGGGGTGAGCTCCCGTTGCTTGGTCCCTGCTCCTGCCAACCTAGCAGTTTGAAAACACGTCAAAGTGCAAGTAGATAAATAGGTACCGCTCCGGCGGGAAGGTAAACGGCATTTCCGTGTGCTGCTCTGGTTCGCCAGAAGCGGCTTAGTCATGCTGGCCACATGACCCGGAAGCTGTACGCCGGCTCCCTCAGCCAATAAAGCGAGATGAGTGCCGCAACCCCAGAGTCGGTCGCGACTGGACCTAATGGTCAGGGGTCCCTTTACCTTTATCTAAAGGGGAGGCAGAATTGGATAGCTCCAAACAGCTCAGCTGGTAGAACTTTATGTAACTATAAAATGTAAAAACTGGTCTAATAACATCTATTACTGTAGTAATATTATAACAACAAATTTCAGATGCTCACCCCACCCCACCTCCAGTATCTGAAGTCAAGAATGCTACCTGAAGGAGAACAAAATTATAGACTAGATAGGCTCTTCTGAATGATGTTCTCATGTGAATACACAATTCACAATTCAAGGTGGATCTTAGCATATGAAGATTCCAATTTCATAAAAGCTGTACAAATTGGTTACAAATGAGATGGGGGTTGACGGTTAACAACAATTAAAAAATCTTAATTTTAAAAAAGACTGCTGGAATAAACAGGTCTTGACTAACTGACTGAAAACAACAACAGAGAGGGAGGGGGTTATATACGTGGCCTGGGAAGAGGTGCTCCATAATGCACGTTACCATTTACAGTGGCACCTCGGGTTAAGAACTTAATTTGTTCTGGAGGTCTGTTCTCAACCTGAAACTGTTCTTAACCTGAAGCACCACTTTAGCTGCACAATTTCTGTTCTTATCCTAAAGCAAAGTTCTTAACCCGAGGTAATATTTCTGGGTTATGTATGTATGTAACCTGATGTAACCTGAAGCGTATGTAACCCGAGGTACCTCTGTAATGGGGAAGACCCAAGATTATTTGAAGTAAGTGAAGTAATATATATTACATCTAAAGAGCCTCCCCCTCCTCATGTGAGACCATTGTCTAATGCCTAAAATTACCTAAATGAACCACTGTTTGGAGGAGAAAATGAAGGATTAGATCTGTTATGAATCTCTGGGACAGCTAGTTCATACTTACTGTACCTTTGTCTCAGTACAAACAGCAGGAGATGCATTTTCACCTCAGTGTATGTGAGCAACTGCCATACTAAAATAAAAAACAAAAAACTGAGCATATGAATGGTACAGCATAGCACTGAAGGCTAACGTAGATGTAATTATGTATGAAACAGCCCACTTAAGCGGTTGAATGAATTGCATCATATTTTCTGGTTCCCCCATAGTGTTCTGAGCTTATTTGAAACTAGTGCATTCAAATGATTCAGATTCAGCTGAATAGGTTAATTTTCTTTCCTTCAAACCATTCAGAATGGCCACTACATTTTGGATGGTGAGCCACTGGCAGAGCTGTCCCTCAGCTTCCTGGCATGGTGATCTGTTGCCCCGGTGCCTTCATGAAAGGAACGCTATTATCAGCTGGATGGCTCATGCTCTCAGCTTGACCCGCCTTTCCCTCTCCTTTAGGCACCTCCTCAGTCACTGAAGCCGCCACAAGGCAGGTGCCTCTCTTGCCAAAAACCAAGGTTGCTTCAGAGGCAGGTGCGTTCAGACACAGGGCGCATAAAGACAGGCTGCAGATTCTCTCCAACCAAGAAATGCTGTGATTGTCACCGGCAATGGAAGGATCAGACGATGCTTGGGTGAGTGTTTGGGTATCATGGAGATTCAGGAAGTGAATTGAATGCAGTCGGCTGTGGGAGCTGTGCCGCGTGTGCTGAGAAGCAGGACAAGGATTCATGTTCGGCGTGTGAATGAGCATCTTACTCTAGTCTCGAGCAGCTGCCTTTTTAATCTTGCCTATCCTTTACTAACAATGCCAATATGTCTGATGGTCCTGGACCTATCAAAAGATCCCGCCGCGTTGGCGGAAGGCCGAACCCCCCCCCCCCAAAGGACCCTGCGCGCTCCTCTCCTCCTGAGCTTTCAATCTGCTGCCCCTTTAAATGTCTTTGGTAGTTGGCGGATTCTCTCGCTTTGCCCAACAGTTTCCGCCACACTTAACATGGCCGCCTCGCGGCTCCTTTCATTGGCCGACGCCCAAGAGGGCGGAACCTACGCCTCATGTCTTCTGCTTCTGCGGCGGTCTTTTAAAGAGCAGCGGAGGCGGCCAATGAAAGAAAAGAAGGCCCTCCTCCTGCCCAATGGGGAGCATGCCGTAGGTGGGGCAAGCCTCCCGGGGTACACCAGTTCACGGGTCAGACTTCACAGTCGCCGGGTGAAGAGAGCTGGGGAGCGGGGGGTGGGGTGGGGGGATGGAGAGGAGGCTCCTCGGTGCAATGGCTCTGCTCCTCTTCCAGGCCTTGCCCGAGGGGCTCCCGGCCAGCGTGGAGCCCGCGCAGGTAGGAAGGAAGGGGCGGGGAGGAGGGGCCAAAGGGTGGGGAGGGAGGACTTCGGGGTTCGGGCCTCTGAGGTGGGGCGAGTGAAGGGCAGGGCGGGGAAGCCCAAAGGGGGTTGCGGAAGGAGCAGCAGAGAGGCCTCTGCCCCCGCTGCGGGGAGGGCTTGAGGGTAGGTCCGAGGTCGGCTGCTCAGAAAGGCCCGCGAGGCGAAGGGCTTGAGGGAGATGAAGGGGCACCCCCGTTGGAAAGGCTGGTGGGGTCATTTGTTGTGGCGAAGGGTGCAATCCTTGGGATGTTGTGCTTCTCGCAGTAGAAAATGTCTGGCACATTAAGCCTTCCTGGGGAAAACGAAATGTGCATGTTAAGTTGTCATTCCTGATTTCATACATTTGCTTCCCTGAGTGTACAAGTGCAAGTAGGGTTCACCCTCTGGCACTCTGTGGGCTGTTTATATCATGTGGTGTTTTGCACTTCGGTTCACATACCTATACAGTGGTACCTCGGGTTAAGAACTTAATTCGTTCTGGAAGTCTGTTCTTAACCTGAAACTGTTCTTAACCTGAAGCACCACTTTAGCTAATGGGGCCTCCTGCTGCCGCTGTGCCGCCGCTGCACGATTTCTGTTCTCATGCTGAAGCAAAGTTCTTAACCCGAGGTAATATTTCTGGGTTAGCAGAGTCTGTAACCTGAAGTGTATGTAACCTGAAGTGTATGTAACCTGAAGCATATGTAACCCGAGGTACCACTGTATATACAACACACACACACAACCTCTCTTGTGAAGGATGTACAGGCATAGATAGCATAGCTTGCTGCTATGGGGTGCAAGGCTCAGTCCCTATTCAGCTGATCCTACTGTTTATTTTGAAGGGCTAACCTGCAGGTAATAGACAGGTGTCCTTAAGGTGGTGTGTATTCTGTGTGGTTGAGTATAAAGTATGGCATGAAAAGTGGTCCTGAGTAAGAAAAATGTCATGTGTGAAGCAGTCCTAATTCCAGAATGCTAACTGTTTACATGTGTGGCAGTCAAATATATAGTGGCATCTTTTAAAACAGCAATCAAACTTGCCCTAGATAAGAGTTTTCATCAGATGTAACAAGTATGTAAGCCAAACAGGATAGTTTCTTCCTGGAAGAATGAATGGATGCAACTCAAACTTGGTAAATGGAAACCTACAGAAACTAGTGGGCGAACATTGTGTTCTCCCTAGGCATTTTATCTCTGACCTTAAGGTCGCTAAACTTTAAGTCTAGGACACAGAATTAGAGTGTCCAAATTTTTAATGAGTGCTCTCTCGTGGTCTAAATAAATGATTATCACACAAAGGGTAATTTGTCTCAAATTTTAGTGTTTCTCCTCCTGTATTCTCCTAAATGCAGTTTGTGTTGTTCCCCTGCTTTAGGAATTTGTTTTTTTGCATGTTACTTGTTGAAGTAGTTTCTTTTGCCCTTTTGTTTTTTTGTTACATATGTAATCTTTTGTTTTCGTATGTAATAAACTGGTTTTGAAGATACCACAGAGTGCTCTTTTTTGCAAACATATCTCTGGGAAAGAGTGGAACTTTTTTGGAAAAGGAGGAGGAGAAGGGCTTGGCATTATTAGTGAAAGTTCAAAAATCTGGAACAGGGAGGTGGTTTTGTGGAAGAGGCATTTGATTGATGGTCATAGGAGCAAGGCCTGTTCAGCTTCATTTGCTTTTGTTAATTCCATCAACCATATGGGAATGTTGTATATGTGTTTTCTTTTCGTGCTGACTTCCTGTATTTGCATAAACATACTGGGTTTAAATTTGCTTGAACATGCTTTTACCATTCTATCTTTTCAGTTTCAGTGAACAAATAGTTTATACCATAAACTTTTGGGGCATTACAAACTTTACAGATTTTGCTAATGCATGTGGAAGGTATATATGTATGTCCTGATCAAGGAAAGTAATAGTCTCGCTCTAGTCTGCCTTGGTCAGATCACACCTGACGTGCTGTGTCCAGTTCTGGGCACACAATTTAAGAAAGATATTGACAAGCTGCAATGTGTGCATAGGAGGGCAGCCAAGACGATAAAGGGTCTAGAAACCAAGCCTTAGGAATGGTTGAGGGAGTTGGGTATGTTCAATCTGGTAAAGAAGAGACCGAGAGGATATGTGATAGCCATCTTCAAATATCTAAAGGGCTATCACATGGAAGATAGAGCAAACTTGTTTTCTTCTGCTCTGGTGGGTGGGATTCAAACCAATGGATTCAATTTAGGAGTTTCTGACTAAACATCAGGAAGACATTTCTGGCAGTAAGAGCTGTTTGACAGTGGAACAGATTCCCGTGAGAGATGGTGGACTTTCCTTCCTCCTTTTAAGCAGAGGCTGGATGGCCATCTGTCATGTATTGCCAGGGGTTGGACTAGATGACTCCTGGGGTCCCTTCCAATACTACAATTCTATGATTCTATGATATATCTTTAAGGCAACTGTGAGAAACATTTGGGCAAACAGATAGCTCAGTTGGTAGAGCACAAGACTCTTAATCTCAGAGTTGTGGGTTCAAGCTCCATGTTGGGCAAAAAGATTCCTGCATTGCGGTGGTTGGACTCGATGACCCTTGTGGTCCCTTCCAACTCTACAATTCTATGATTCTACAGCTTTCATCACTCCTGGCGATTGGTGTTGCTTCCTGGGGCTGATGGGAGTTGTAGTTCATCAACATCAAGAGGGCCAAAGTTTCCCCACACCTGTTCTAAAGTATTTGAGATGGAGTGAATAATAGAGGTAGGTGCCACTCGCTAGCAAATGATCCTTCCATGGCAGTTGATTTCTTCTATGCATCCTTGCCCAATTCCTAATTACTGTCTATTTGTGTTCAAATGGTGACTGATGAACCACATTGCTAGTGAGTCAAGGAAGAGGATCTTAGATAAAATTGAGTGGAGATAAAGTTTATTTATTATTTATTTATAAAAATATTTATAAACCACAAAATCCTATAGAGAAGGCATCTAAGCATTGTCCAACTAATATTAAATCACAGTCAAGATAAGAAAAATATAAAAACAGAAACGTTGTAAATAACGGGCCAATCTCTTAAAATCCATCTACTGAAGAGACCTGTTGATACAAGAAAGTCTTGAACAGATGCCTAAAAATAAGAAGTGCTTGGTGGATTTTTATTGAGAGAGGGTATTCTAGGGTTAAAACTGTCCCCTTATTGTAGAGTTTTCCATTTTAATCATAACAGAAATCACTTGTTCTCCATTCTCTTCCACATGCTTAGACTGAAGTGAACAGGGATCTCATATATTCATATACTAGGATCTCAAGGTGTTCCTGGAGAGATTGTCCTAGATGCTATATGAGGGATACAGAGAGGAGGGCTGTTAGGGCAGCTTCTAGGAAGGATGATTGCAGGTTTTTCCCTCTTACTATTCTTGACCAGTTAGATATTTGAGGTTCTTTGTTTTAGGAGCTTAACACCTTTGCTGCGCGTCATACTATTACAATACTGTACTTGAGCACAGACATCTGCCATGTTGTTTTATAATTTACAAAGCATTGCTAAGTACTGTATAAAAATTAAAAGTAACGCAGGCCTTTGCATAAGCTGACATTCTACAATCACATTTGTAGAGTCTTACCAACATGTAGGTTCTTGTTTTGAATTGCTGTTTTAGTTTGTTGGAACTTAGGTTAGAGGGGAATGTTTAGAGCCTTGAGTCTTTTGGATGAAATACATACAGTAGACTTTAGGTAACAGGCTGAAAACTGCCTGTCCTGAACAATCTCTCTTGGGTGTTTGTTATGATGCCGTAAAACATTTGCCAAGGTTTAAAGCTTAGGGGGAAGAGAGAAAGCCCACTGCCAAACACTATAACTTTTGTGAGAGAAGTGACTTGAAAAACATTCGCACAGGACTTAGGCTGGGGTCTGTCCTGTTGCTAACAATTCGGGAACAAAGACAGGATGCTCAAGTCAGTATTGTTGGAGGGTGTAGGACGCTGGAGAGCCAAATATGGTGGGGGTGCAGCAGGTAGAGCTTCCATTCAGGCATGTGATGAAGGATGAATGAATGAATGAATGAATGGGAGAGAAACATAGGAGTTCTGTGTAGTTGGTAGGAAACTTTTAACAGCTTGAGGCCAGTTTACCGGTACTTAAAGGATATCCTTACACCATATATGCCCACTCAGCCACTTCAATCCATGGAACCTGTACTTTTGCAAGTGCCACATTATGTTTGTTCTACACTTGTAAATAATTGATCTTTTAGTGTGGCAGCTCCTGCACTCTGGAATTCCCTGTCCATTGACATTAGGCAGACACCTTCACTGTATTCTTTTCAGCATGTGCTAAAAACTTTCCTGTTTAGGGGAGTCTAGCTAGACAGGTGAAGTTAACCTGTATTTAAGTCTGTAATTTTAGCTTATAATGTATAATTTTAACTGCTGATTTTACTCATTTTCAGATTCTTTAAACTTGTTCCTAACTTTGAGTTTTATTATTAATAATAATAAATTCTTTTTTGTTTTCTTTTAGATGTTAGTCACTTGTTACCCAAGGTCTCTAACTGACTTACAACACTGTTAAAAACACAAATAAATATAGCATAAAACAGAACACAAGACATATATTTTATATTTTTTGTAAATTGCTTGGAGGTTTCATATACAATTAAGCAGTATATAAATTTTATTAGATAGATAAATAAAAGGTGTGGACAGAGAAGCAAAGGCCCTGGGGAGGCATAGAGATTGTTCTTGTTTGTGCATGTAGCAAAATTTCACATGCTGGAACTGAAATTTCATTTGTAATAATAATAGTTATTATAATTTTGATGTTTTTGTATCCAACTTTATTCCAATCTGGAGCAGAAGGTGCCTTTATGTAGTAAATCATTAAAACAAGCATCTAAATTAAACATAACTGTAAAATCATTACACTGTACAGTACTAAAAAGTGGTGTGTGCACTGTACCCCAATGTAAAACAGATCTCAGATAAAAAACCTGGGTAAAGATAATTTTCAAATGGTGCTTAAACATGTCAACCGCAGTGTTTCAAGCCTCATAAAATATACTGTTGAAAGACACTACTTCACATTCATTCTAAAGAGCCAGAATCTAGTTCAACTTTTGATACTTTCTGAACTTGGTTTTGCCATTGTAATGGAAACTGCAGTTGTCTATTTGATGTGGAGATGTATGGCGGTCAGACTCTTTAGATTATCTGGAAGTGCAAATCTGCAAGCACAAAGGGCAACATGTGTTAGGTTTGATTCAAATTTATTTGCCCTTTTCTCCATGTGCCTTTTTATGGAGGTTGGTGCAGTTTTAAGTAGAAGACTTATTGCAATAAATAAGACCTTAGTAAGGCAATAAATAAGTGTTGCGAGTAGCATAAACTGGATTCAGAAGGAATGCTTCAGCTGTGCATGATATTTGAACAATGCAGAGGAAACTACTGATTTCATACAGTTCTAAAGAGGTAGAAAGAAGTTATCTGTTTTAATAATTATCTGACTATGAATTTGTAAGCAGAAAAAAAGTTTGGGATATGTTGGTAAAGTATTGACAAAAAACATTGTAATAGGGAGTGTAAATGGGAAAAGGAATGCATGGAGATTGGGATTTTATAGTGGGTAACACCTTCAAAACTATGTTCCATGCTGGATATGGTGATGGAGGAAAATATGCTCTTTAATGTGTTTCTTGGAGAAAAGAGGAGCATGTAAAACACAACTTTCCATAACCTCAATAAGACTGGATTGCAGTGTGGCAGCAATTCATAGTACTGACTGAGTGCTACTTTTTCAGGAATGGCTTGGGAGGACAACTGATGTTCTAATATGGAAACTTGAGCCTTAGCCTAGTAGCAACTGCCTTTGTTGTAGTATGCATGTGCTGACCAGCGGCAGTTGCCACAAACTCTTGGTGTATGTGCCAGATGTATGTGAAACTTTGGCCCCTTTCTGCAGCTTTCTAAGAGCAATTTGGCCTGGAGAAGCAGAGCTCATCAAACATGTTCAATGCATAGTAAGGTCTCATGGTGAGTAAGACAAAGTAAAATACAGTGGTACCTCGGGTTACATACGCTTCAGGTTACAGAGTCCGCTAACCCAAAAATATTACCTCGGGTTAAGAACTTTGCTTCAGGATGAGAACAGAAATCGTGCTCCGGCCGCGCAGCGGCAGCAGGAGGTTCCATTAGCTAAAGTGGTGCTTCAGGTTAAGAACAGTTTCAGGTTAAGAACAGACCTCCGGAACGAATTAAGTACTTAACCCGAGGTACCACTGTACTTCAAAATCTTTCAAATTAAGTCATAGAGGCTCATTTAAGTTTGTGACTATAGCATCTTCTTCTGTCTGGTTTTGCATTCTTGCATGTAGGGTTGATGAAATCTCTGGGGCACTAATTTCAAAATTTACTTGGAGTTCTGTATGTGGTAATTCCATGACATTTTGGCTGAGTCCATCTTTACCTGTTTCCTTGTAGAATGATTTTGCAAAAACTAAATGCCTTTATGTTTTTCTCTCATGGTTGTAAAATAAAGCATTAGTGTTAACTGGATATTCCCCTTTCTCTTGATCTCTCTCCAAACATCTTGTGTTGGAGTTAATTCACCTATAACTAATGCGGTTTTTGGATAAGCCGTTATCAGTAACTTAAGAATTCAACATTTTAACTTTTATGTAAGCCTGCATTCCAGCCAAGATAATCCTCCCTTCCTTTGACTAGCAGCAATAGTTCCCAGTTCTTTTGATCATGCCTCATCTTGTGAGCCGAAGTAGGGTCAAAACAAGTCAATCTTGAAGCACCAGGAACCAGTAGGTGACATTCTTACCTCAAACTGAATGCTGACTGTAGTAGTTTTGTCTGATGTTGGGGGATCATATGCCGGTTTCTTTCCCAGCTATTTATTAAAGAAGTTGCTTTCTGAAAAGCAATGAGGCTAGCCGCCATTTACTGAGGAAATTATATTGTGGAACCTCGTGTTACGTACTGTCCTCCTTGCGAACGCTTCAAGTTACGAGCTCCGCTAACCCGGAAGTAGATGCTCCCAGTTGAGAACTTTGCCCCGGGATGCGAGTGGAAGTCACGCGCTGGCGGGAGGCACCATTAGCGAAAGTGCGCCTCATGTTAAGAACGGTTTCAGCTTAAGAATGGACCTCTGGAACGAATTAAGTATGTAACTGGAGGTACCACTGTACCCTACCTTTCAGTGTTGCTGTTCTCAGTGCAGCTAACAAATCCTATGAGAATGAAAAGCAACAGCCCAGATTCAGTCCATCTGGTGTGTAAGTGGAAGTCAGTGCAAGGGCTCCCTTTAGTACAAGAGGGCTCTCCTCCTCCCATGTGCCCCCCTCCATCTCCCAAATCTGGTTCAGGAAAACCCCCAGAACAGCATGCAGAGAGAGGGAATCATTCCACCTGGCAGGCAGAAATTTTTGCACTGATGGGAAACGATCAGAAGAATCTGATGTTGATTTCCTCCCAATAAAATCAGTATATTGACAAGACAACATCACAGCAGGGTCTTTTAAATGTGGTTGTGGGATCAGAGGGTTATTGTTTTGTTTCCGTTATAACTATTTATTTTGTTTTTCTATATTGTATTTTTATCTAGTTAACCGCCCTGAGATCTTTAGATGAAGGATGGTATATAAATTTAATAAATAAAATGAATATAAGATACGGAAAAGTCTTTGCCTGGTGCCAAAGAGGATTGAGTGGATTCTAGGCACACCATCTTTATTCCTATTGTGGCACTAATCCTAGTCCAGCATTAGTAGCTTGAAAACTGAACAAGTTGTTTAATGGGCGAAAAGGGAAGATAAGGAAGGCATGGGGAAAGGCCTGTTTGCTTCCTCTTAGAAAGTTTCCTCTAGTGACTAGTCACTCCCAAACAAATCAATGTGGTGTTGAAATTATCTATATTGTATTGCATATTTGGCTTTATGCCAAAGGAAATTTTTCACTTTTAATTTCTTTTTTTTAAAGCTGTATAAGTGCAGGTGTATTTACTGTCATTTAAGGAAAGTCTGGTGTGTGTGTGTGTGTGTGTGTGTGTGTGTGTTTGTGTGTTTTAATAGCGTCATAGCTGCTCTAGCAGTTGGATTGTGCTATTTCTCATGAGCACTCTCCAATATATGTCTGTGACAATCACACTCAAATGTAAAGACAATTGCAGCTGGTCATCCTTCTGGGACCTAGTTTCAACTTTTTCAAGGGTGTGCTGTGAAAGCCTGCAAAACCAGTTCGACCCAATCCCAAACTTGGATGCTCAAATGAGTTTATGTGCTGCAGACAATGGTTCATGTATACAGTAGTATCAACTGACATAAGAAATAATAATGCTGAGATGGTAATCATGCTGCTGTGTCTTACATTGCAGCTTGTTCCCATAATGTATATGGGTCCTGGAGTAATAGATATCACCACGTTGTGTATCTCTTTCACCATATGTATTTGCAGAATTATATTTATTGGAAAAGGCTCGATTTATTTTCATATAGTCTCCCATTCTGGAGTAATGGGGTATCTCTCATGATTTTATAGCAGCATTACAAAAGACTTGATTCATGTGAACAGCGGATTTGAAATCATCCATAATGTTTACTACTACAGGTCTGTATTAATATTCTGCTGTTCTGGAGTGTGACTAAAGTGTTTTTATGTTTAGTCCGTAGTGTCTCAGTGCTTTATTCTCTTTGATCACAGATTGAGATTAAATTCTAGTACTACTGGTTGTTGTTGCTGTAGGGCTGCTGAGATCAGGACTTCTGTAATTCTGTGCCTCACAGTCTCAAACTCTGGACAGACTTGCTTCATTTGGATTATTCATTCTGCTTGTACAATTTCGGGCTTGTTCAGAATTTACTGTTTGGTCTGGGTTTAGGGGAAAGATTTGGATTTGGTATATTGTAGAAGGGAAGTTGGTATGTTGTAGAAGGTCAGGGATCTGTGGGAAAGAATTTGAGGACATATTGAAAGGTGGGGTGTAAAACAAAGTAATTTGCAAGATTCTGTACATACAACCTTATGAATCGTAGAAACAGAGTTTTCTAGACTCCCTGGTTGAGGGAATTTCAGCTTTGAATAAGCTCTAGTGTTAAGAAATCTGTTTCATTTTACTAATATGCAAGATAAATGAGTGTTTTTCAGTTTTTCATATTGCAACAGCTGTTTCAGCTTGATTTCCCCAAGACATGAGCTTAACTGTGGGTTGAAGCAAGGCCCAGATGTACAAAGTACAGAGTACAGGTCTACTGGCCTTGTACTTTGCCATGCTTAAACAGTCTTGATCTGGATGAAATAGAGGTCATTTGAAGGCACATTGAATTGTGAAAAGTTTGCTTCTGAGTACTTCTAGACTGAGAAACAGTAAAACCTAAAGTTGGTGCGGGATTTCTTTGCTAAAGACTCCTGTCGTCTTCACAAAACTAAAGTTCTCAGGATTCTTTGGCTAGCAGTCATGGCAATTTAAACAGATTTGAAGGTACAGTAGATTGATTTTGTGGTATAGACACCCCTTAGCAGATATGCTCTATATACTTCAGTGCAGCAAGCTGAATTTTATAGAGAGAGAACTTTTACATGTCTGGAAGGGTCCCAGGGACACAGTGCTCTACTGTAAACAAAAATAAGCATCCCACAGTGCTTTTAAGATCTAATTTGTATGGTCAGGGATTGGACAGCATGTGGTATGTCTTGCATAAAGTAGTAATAAAATCAAGAGTGAAAAATCTTTTTCCTCACAGCAGCTCATGTGTAACTTGATCCTGAAGGCCCACCAGAAAGATAAATTTCTTAGCTCATCAGGTTCTACAATTATAAAAGAAAGAGAGACTTTAAACCAACAGGTTAAATTAGGCCATGGAATGAGAGCAAGTTTACTTAAACTGATAGTGTTATATTTGTATTTATGTTGGACTGACACAACCTCATCAAGCTGTTTTTATCTTCATTCTGGACATTTTTAAGGCCCAGGACAAATTGCGATAGCTAAACAGGTTGGGACAGGGGAGGGGGGAAGCATTTTGACTATTTGCTGTTCATTTTGACTAGGGTTGCCATATCTCAAGAATTTTCCAGATGTATCTGGATTACTGCAGCCGCAAGTAGTACAGCTAAATGTATGGGAAATTCCAGGTGTATGGCAGCCCATGTTGGCAGTGTCAACAACTTCTCTGTCTGGATTTTCACTTTTTGAAATATGGCAACCCTAATTTTGCTGCTTTCTATTAAGAACAAGTTTTCTTCCTAAAACAGCACTGGGAAACCTATGGCTCTCCAGGTCTTGGACTGCCAACTCCCATCTGCCCTAGCCAGCATGGCCAGTGGTCAGGGATGATGGAAGTTGTAGTCCACAAACACTTGGAGGGCTGCAGGTTCTCCAGTGGTGTCTTAATAGAAAGCTGATTTGACTACCTTAACCTCTCATTTTTAATAACCAGCTACCAAAGAGGTGACCAAAATGAATAGGGTGTTAATAGAAGACATGGTGAAACTGACACTGCATTCTTAAAGGTACAGTAGTAAAAAGAAAGTCTCAGAAGAAAGGCAGCAAAACACATGCAGAGATAACTGTCTCTGCATGCCTTGATGGCCTCTCCTATTTACATTGTGCAGGGTAGGAAAAGAGCAAGGAGAGGATGTCATGCAGCCCCATGCTTTTTCCTAAGGTAAAGGAAATACAAACTATGCATGTGCATTGCAAGTTGCTTAACATTTTGTTAACAGATTGAGTAATCCTTGCAGCTCACAGTTGGGAATGACATGTCCTTTGTACTTGCTGTGATTATTAAAGTGCTGAACAATCCCTACTCTTACTCCACTACATGCCCTCACTTGTGAAGTATCTAATCTTTATGCTGCTCAATAGCTTCCTGGGATACCTATAACAAATGATCTCTGATTTAATTATATCTGCCCAGTACCCGTATTTTTCCTTCTATAAGACGCTCCCATGTATAAGATGCCCCCTATTTTGGGGGCCTCAGATTTAAGAAAATGGGGAGAGATGGCCCCATGTATAAGACGCCCCCTAATTTTTGACATTATTTTTTAGGAGAAAAACCTAGTCTTATACATGGAAAAATACGGTATATAGACTCATATTTGCCTCTCTGTTGCAGTCTGAACCTGCTCCTATTCTTTACCGGAAGAAAGTGGCAGAGGGTACTTCTGGCCATGTATCTCACTCCTAGCTAGTTATGCGGGGAATCTGTAATGAAATTGTAAACATGGACACAGAGTTCTCTTATATGGGAGGATCAAATGACATCTGCCCCCTCATGGAGATTCTGACTGTTCTCTGTCTGCCTGATCATTCCTCCCTCTTGGCAGATCTGATGTTGTGAAATGAAAGGGCGGGTCTAAATTTTTCAGGTAACAAGTATGTTTACTTCCATCCTGCTGAGCTATGAGATGCGCATGGTTTGGTTTCACTTCTTGAAGGTACTACTTGTTGGCTGAATCTTAGATACCAAAAAACTGAGTTGTTCACAGCTGTGATTTGTCAGAACACTTGGAGAGTTATATTGCATATTGATGTGGATCTTATGTTGTGTAAATATTACTGCTCTTTTGGTCATTGAAAAGAACCTGGGCGCTTCTGAATGTGATCAACTTCTGTCTGTGAAATTGGCATGTAGTTCTCAAAGCATCTCTCTTCTTGTAAGGAATAATGTTAGATTGCTTCTTCTCACTCCCTCTTCCTGTCTGGTAGTAAAAATACTTGAACTTTGTAGTGACTATATGTGGTTTTAATGTGATGAAGATAAACTGCTGTAGTTTATGCTATCTAACCAATTAGATACTTTCAGAAATCTATATTCAAAGAAGTCGCTTGCCAGTGTTCTGTCAGTCATGAACAGGAAATGGAATTTGAGATGAGCTATGAAGAATGGAGCAAGCTTGGTGTTTATTGACTGGTATTGTTGGGAAGAAAGAGCCAGTTTAGCCACTATGACAATTGTTGTTGTCAGGGTGTACTTCTCTTCTTTCTCTTAGAGCAGTGAATGTACAGTGGTACCTCAGGTTACATATGCTTCAGGTTACATACGCTTCAGGTTACACACTCTGCTAACCCAGAAATAGTGCTTCAGGTTAAGAACTTTGCTTCAGGATGAGAACAGAAATCGGGCTCCGGCGGCGCGGCAGCAGCAGGAGGCCCCATTAGCTAAAGTGGTGCTTCAGGTTAAGAACAGTTTCAGGTTAAGAACAGACCTCCGGAATGAATTAAATACTTAACCTGAGGTACCACTGTATGCCTTTCACTCTTATGGAGAGAAGTAAGTTGCTGTGCTTTGGGATGTGGTTGTGGTGAAAGCAAAATATAGCCTCCATCACTTACATTACGTGGTACAAAACCTTCTGATGGGTACACTTATAATGCTTGTGCACAATGTGAAAGTGCACTGGGCTTCTGCCTTGGGATATTTGCTTATATAACTCTTCCTGAAAAATCTTGGTGTTTCTTTGAGCATGCTGATGACTCTCTTTTGTGGGTGTGGTGCCATTTTACTTACATAAGGATCCATATTCGGATAATTGAGTTTACTATAGAATTCCTGCGAAATGTTCTGCCGGTAGAAATTCAGAAGGCACCTTCTGTTTCAACCTTTAAACACCTGCTGAAAACTTTTCTATTCTATCTGGCTTATGCAGGAAATTAAGAATACATCTTTCCATAATTATTACTTGATCTCTGATGTTATAATGTTATATGGTTTTATGTATGACTGTTGTAAACCACTCCTTTTAAAAAAATGAATAGTGGTATATTTTATGAATATTTTTTATAAAATAAATACAGAGGAAATGATGGGGAGAACCATAGGAGCCAACTCCTAGGGATTTGGGGGGCTTCATCCCCCTCCTAAAATATTTGAGGGGGCTGGGGGCCCCCAAAGTTGATGGGCATTGCCATTCAAATAGAGTGTGTGCACTGCATCATGTGATTAGTTATGCAGGACAGGGCTCACCTACCCCCCAAATATTTTATTCAAGTTGGCACCTCTGGGAAGAACTGAGGGGTGCTTGAATACTAGATGCCAGTTTGTACTGCAAATGTCGAATTGCTATGTTGAAAATGTAATATGTATGTCTCTTAAGAATGAAGGTTTATGAGGAAGATAATTAGTGGAATAATAGTGAAAGGAATGAATGATAGCTTTTTGCTATCATTTTTGCTAGTTTGGAGTCATAGTTGTAGTATGATGTCTGTGAAAGATGACAAGTGAAATTGTTTAAAGTGTACAAATATTAGTTAATGTGGTTTTAATTGTTAAAATATGTTTTGCTATCTATGTACACAGTGATTAATATGAGGGTGAATGAGTTTTTCCTGATGAAAGCAGCTGTTGGCTTCTTGCCTTGGATTTTGTAAAAACAAAGTAGGCAAGATTGCCTGTATATATGCATGGCCCTGATCTTCAGAAGGGCATTTTACTGGCGGTGATAATGTTGGCATTTTATGCATTTATTTAAAAGCTTAATGATTGCACAGCAGTGGATCAAAGGGTGTTACTGTTCTCTCTTGGGACAGCTAACTGATAAAAAGTAGTGGTCTGGACTATATCAGACTATCACTTCTTCACATTCTCATATGCAAAATATTGGAAACCATCCATGACTTGCTACTTTTTAATTTCCTCACAGCTGAGGAATACACTTGCTGATGCCACTCTTGCAAAATCTTTGCTGTGCATCTTGGACATGTAATTAGCTGAATATGAATACCCAGGACATTGTCTCTGTTCACAGCTAATATGCCTTCTGTTGCGCTCTGTTCAGGTGAGGGACTTTGGAACTTCAGTGGTTTAATAGCTATCTAGTAAGTTACCTATAGTTAAGCAAATAGAAGTTATTTTTGTAAATTTGAACCTGGTAGAGCATTGACATTGGGACACGGGTGGTGCTGTGGTCCAAACCACTAAGCCTCTTGGGCTTGCCGATCAGAAGGTTAGCGGTTCAAATCCCTGCAACGGGGTGAGCTCCCATTGCTTGGTCCCAGCTCCTGCCAACCTAGCAGTTCAAAAGCACGCCAAAAAGTGCAAGTAGATAAATAGGTACCTCTCCAATGGGAAGGGAAACGGCGTTTCCGTGCGCTGCTCTGGTTTCAATGTTCTGTTGCACCAGAAGCGGCTTAGTCATGCTGGCCACATGACCCGGAAAAACTGTCTGCGGACAAACACCGGCTTCCTTGGCCTGTAAAGCAAGAAAAGCAGAGGGGGGAACCTTTTTTAGACCGTCTAAACCTGCAGAAGAGAGAGTAAAGAAAGGTAAATTTCCACCGTCTTGAACCTGGGAGCGGGGTGTCAGGACAGACATTTTGGGGAAGTTCATTGACTGTGGACAAACGTTTTTGACAGATAGTCAAAAAAAGAGAAACATATTGATTCCATTGTTCCCTTTTGCATTTAAAAGGAACAAAATATCCGAAAAAGGAAAGGAACTTTGTTGCTAGATCTGCTTTTAAAAAGACGGATACAAATAGAAATTGTTTCCCCTAGAGGGAGCTTGTGAAACTGTTATTAGAGTCGAACTGGGGAGCCTTGCAGCTGTAGAGATTAAAGATCGTGGGACCAGACTTTGACCTTGAACAAGAATGTGCTTAAAAGAAGCTTTAGTGCTTGCTCTTTGCAAGACAAGTGCTTTATTGGAACAGTTACATGAGAAGATGGATTTGAAGACTGTTGCAGTCGAAAATTTTGGACAAACAGTGAATACCTATATAGAACCCACTCAGGAATTAATCCAGGAATGTGCTTTGACAGATCAGACAAAGGAGGAGGTTGTTGCTGAACCTCAAGTAGCAGAAATGGAGAGAGCTGTGGCCCAGCAGGAACATGAGTTGTTGGATTTGACGAATGAATCTGGAAAAAGTCAGATTTGGAGAGATGGAGTTCTGTTTGGCTTGGAGATGGGGGCCTGGATGGATCCCCCTATGCAGGGATGTTTTGACCTTTCGAGTCTGGCTTTGGGCCGGGGGGAGTTGGGAGTTGTGGGGGCCCTTAACTTTGGAGGGACTTTGAAATATGCCTTTAAATATCACATGGATTTCAGTGTTGACTATGGAAAATGGGCTGACTTGTCGAGAAGGGACAAAGATATTGTCAAGTTGGAGTCTCCCCGAGAGAAAGGAAGGAAATTAAGAATAAGATCAGCAGAAGATAAAGTAAAGTACAGGTATAAATATGAAGAAGACCTGCGGAAGGGACATGGAAAAGACTTAAGAGCCTCGGATAGAAGGTCACCAGGTTGATGGACTAGATGGATGGGATAGAAAGGACTGACAAAACCCGAGACCAGGAAGAAGAGACGATGGATGAAGATTGGAAGAAAGTTTTAAAAATTTATGTAGAAAATCATTGTAAAATTAATGAGTATTAGAAAAATGTTGGAATGAAATTATTTGGCTTTAGCAGAAATGTTAAAAAAAAATTATGTAAGAATATGTTATGGTTAAAAGAATTAGGTATAAATAAGACTTAAGTTTTAAGCTTTAGGGTTTTTATGGTAAGATAAGGTTAAAATAGATTAAGGTAATTTAATGACAGAATATTGTGAAAGATGGAAAGGATTTGCTGAGATAATTAATAACTAGAATACAAAAAAGGGAGGTATGAGGAGGTCGATGAAATAAGTTAATGAAAGTTAAAGATTTGGGGATATTGGATTTGTTTTTAAATTTTTTGTTTATTTTTGCTTTTTGCTTTTGATGTATTATGTGTTTTGTTTTTTCTCTTTGACTTTGGTTTTTATTGATTTGTATTGTTTAATTGCTATTTTTGTCTACCTTGTTCTTTCTTTCTCTTTTTCTCTTGTTTCTTTCCTCTTTTTTCTCTGTAATTTTAAATTCTCAATAAATATCATTTTTTTAAAAAAAAAGTAAAGCAAGATGAGCATCGCAACCCCAGAGACATCTGCGACTGGACTTAACTGTCAGGGGTCCTTTACCTTTACCTTTTTTTAGAACATTGACAGGGTGACTGACCACTAAATAGGCAGATAGGGACAACTTTATAATGGTTTGTATATCATAAGAGAACATTACAGAAAGGTTTGGTCAGTTCCCATTGGCTTTGATCACAAGGTTTGGGTCCTGTGTACTTTGAAGATCATGTTTCCTCCTTGCTGTGTTTGCCTTCCTGTCTGGGCCATGTATTTCTAGTTTAAGCAGCAACGGCATATAGGGAATTGTGTGGCATACAGGGAATTGTGTTCAGTGGCTGTCCCAAAGCTACAAAACTCTCTTCTAGAGATTGTCCAAACTTGAACCATTAACCTTCCCGCTATAAAGCGGTACCTATTTATCTACTTGCACTTGGGGGTGCTTTCGAACTGCTAGGTGGGCAGGAGCTGGGACCGAACAACGGGAGCTCACCCTGCCGCGGGGATTCGAACCGCCGACCATACGATCGGCAAGTCCTAGGCGCTGAGGTTTTACCCACAGCGCCACCCGCGTCCCTGTAGTATCTTTGGCGGTAAATAAATCATTATTGCTCTCACTCTAGTGTCAGTCAAACCTGAATGGGTGGTTGGCAGAGATGTGCATTTAGATATGCTTGAATGTGAATTCTTACGTATGTACATCACAATGTGCGTCTATGTGTGAATACTTCTTTTCCTTTCACAGTCCTCTAGAATAGGAAGTAATACAGTACCTCAGTCTCACATGCTTAAAAAAACCTATCTCAAAAGTAGAGGGCAATTTTGAGTGCTGCAAAAACATTTACTAAATTTGCCCCCCCCCCTTCAGTTCAGCTCTTGTTTACTAGAGAAACATAAGAGGAATTGGAGAACAGCCTTTACAGCTTTGAAGACACTCGAACTCAGAACACAAGGGAGAAACGTGCTAAGAGGAAGGCATGCTTGGCAAATCCACACCGTGATCAACTCCCGCCTGGAAACCAATGTCCCCACTGTGGAAGGACGTGTGGATCCAGAATTGGCCTCCACAGTCACTTACAGACTCATTGTTAAAGCCGTGTTTATGGAAGACAATCTTACTCCACTATGAGTGATCGCCAAAGAAGAAGAAGAAGACATAAGAGGACAATGGCCAATCTTATTTTTTTGCTGAAGTGTGTTCCACTCATTTCTCTTTCACAAAAAATCCTGTTTCTATATTTTCTCTTGATCTTGGCAGCTTTTTTTCTAATAGTGACAAGAGGGTGATTTTTCATTGGAACCTGGGGAGGGAAGAGCTAAATCTCACCTTCCTGTGCACTTCTGTCCTGGGTCCCACATGCCTAGTATTAAATTTAAAAATTGGTCACTTAACACAATGGCAGTGTTTCCTTTTGGTTCTGGCCATGCTATGTCAGCACCTATTGGAACCAATCTGGCCCAGATCCCCATCTTTTATTTAAAAGGGAAGAGCTACTCTCTATGCTTAATGTATTTGAGAGAAAATGTGATGTGAGAGAAAATGTGCTGCTCGTATTCTGCCCAGTTGTTTAGTTGCTCCCATTGTGAAAGCTAGTAACAGAAGTCCCAGCTATGACTAGCATGTCAAGGAAGTACTCAGAAAGAAAAAGCAAATAGGCTAGAATCACAAGATGGAGCTTTCTGATTCCTATAGAACCAGGGTGGCTAGCTTGTTGACCATAGGCCATGTTGGCTGGACCTGATGGGAGTTGGAGTCCAGCAGAAATGGCAGGACACAAGCTAGCCACTCCTGGTTATAGAAGCTACTTTTCTCCACTGCAGAAGTTAGAGCAGCCCATAGAAGACAACAGAATATTAGTATACTTGTAACTTCACAGCCATGTACCTCTTCCCTTGCCCACTTTCCAAAAAAATGTAGTAATGAAGATGGGAATTCCTGTTCTTTCTAATTCAGTTCTTATTTCATGTGAAAACATGTATTTTCTTCCTTTTTAAACTTTGTAAAAATTGGCAGCTGTGGCAGAGAGCAGTTTACTACAACCCTGCAATGAAGCCCAAATCCTCTGTTAACCCATCTGCAAGCTTGCAGTAGTGCCAGTTTGCATTTCCACCTTAAAATCTTCCAGTCACAACATCCTTCAGGTTGCAGCAAAGTTAATCTACCTAAATTTCCCCCTTGCACCCAACCCAACTCAGATCTAGCACTAAGTTGCAAACAAAACTCTCGTGCTTTCTAGTCATGCATGCTAACATATTATGCTTAAAGTTTTTAAAAACTACCTTCGTTTTGGAGTGGTTTTGTGTGTGTGTGTGTGTGTGCTCATACCAGCATTATGTTCTCAATTCCAATATGCATCTACTCTTTCAAGAACAGGTCAGAGGAACAAGCAGTGAATCTCCTGTCACTGATCCCTAGCGGCTTATTGGAAGCACAAACAGCTGCCAACAAAGAGGTGACAGTGGCTGGGCATGGAAATATACAACTTGGAACACAGCAAATGATATTAGTCTGTGTTTGCTTCCTTGCTCCAGCCACTCCGATCATCATTCTTCTGTGTTCAGCATTTTTTCTGCTTTTCCTTCAGACAGTAAAAAGTAGAAAAAAAGGGGGGGGGGGAATATGATCTGAGAGAAATGAGAGAAAATGTGCTTGTGGTATTCTGCCCAAAGACAAGCCGGCAGTGTTCACTTTGACCTTTGCCTTTTATTGTAAGCAAGCTCCAACCTTTATCTTGTTCTCTCTTATGTACATTGTCCTGATCCTGCGTTCCCTCACCATGGGTGCATTTCAAACACTATGGGAATTTTCATCGTGAAGATGCAAGGGAGAATAAAAATCATGCCCCAATGTGCAATAACTGTTTCTCCCTCTCCCCATTTTTTGTTGTTGCTGTGAGTGTCATTAGAAAGGCTCTGAACAGATAAGGCTGAGGCAACTGGGTTTCTCATTGGAGTTCAAAAAAGGATCACTTTGGCAAACAAAAAACCCCCACCAGCACCACAAAGCAACAGTGAAGTGGCACTGGGCCCAGAGCTGCTGCCGGATGGGTAGAAAGGGTCGGGTGGTGTTTCTTTGGGGTGGGGGCAAAGCCGTTAGGGGTTCTAGACTCTTAGCTGCTGTTAAAAAAGAAGCTTTAAAAGTTCTTACGTGCTGTAGATCAAACCATATAAGCCAAAATGTGAACACATACACACATTTCTGTGAAATGAGCAAACCTGGTTTGTAGTTGCCACCTTACAGGGTTTTAGCCAATGAGTGAAGTTAGAGCTGCAATTGGCAAGTAACCATTTTGGAAGAGCTAAGAATTATTAAAGCTATGCTTTCCTGTTTCTATCTCATTACTGCCCAGACATGGCCTACAATGGTATGTACGCTCATCATGTGAGTTGAGTGAGTTTGTGGCTTTCAGCAGCAACATATCTACCTGGCCATCCACTGTTCTCTGTGCACATTCTTGCTCTGTGCTGGGATTCTAATGAGGCCATGAATTGCACACAAGTTCCTAATATAAAGGAATGTAGCCTGTTCCATGGCTAACCATAAAGGATGACTGTAGCTCAACAAGGAAAGGCAGGGATGGTACGTGTATACTGTGCATTTTGTATATTTGTCTTGTCCTAGTACTTTGAGCAAAACATCTACTGCTGACAGTCCAGTTATGTAGCATTATGCCTTCTGCCTCTTGTCTCCTTCATACAGAAATACTTAACAAAATGTGTTTTAAGTTTACAGTCAGTGCTAGATTCTTCCATACCTGAGCTTTTCATGCACCTCCTTTGCACCTGCCAAGACTCCCTACCCTTTCCAATTAAAACAAAGTTAGCTGAGGTTGTTTCTCAGGGTGTTGTTGTTGGTTTTGAGGGGATGTTTGATTGGCAGGGGGTGTTGCCTTTTCTTTTTGTTTTGTGTTTAGTTTGGGGTGTATGTAGGTCTTTCCCCTGCTTTTGATGCGGATTTTGAGCATCATTGCGTTACTCCTGTGAAACGGGTGCATCTGAGGTGCCCATGGCAGTTTCTAAGATTTCCAAATCTGCCTGCAGGCCTAAAAAGGTTGGGAACCGCAGATCATGCAAAGCTAGATGGAGCAATGATTTTACCCAGTAAAAATACCTTTCTACCTTCATATGTCTTTGTATGTGAAGTGGTAAAAGAAGGAAAGCTTTGTTACTGTTGCCTCTGTACTCAGCAGGGAGGCGTAGAGATATTGTTTTTTTTTGGGGGGGGGGAAGATGCAGAGAAATAAAAGAGAAGGAAGAGGAAGGGTGAGAAATTGGGGGGCACAGAGTGGAGGAAGAGATTTGTGAGAGGAGGAGAGAGAAGGAGGGAGCCTGTGGCCCTTAAACCATCTGCACTGGGATGTGCTTTGGAATAAGTTTTCTTCCCCTTTTCAGTATTGACTAAGCTGTGTAACTGAATTTCCAGTAACTTTCAGGAGACCACTTTTTTTTTTTAATGGTGGATGAACTTATTGCAGTTCTTACGCAACATTTTTTGCAACGTTGTAGAACTATTGATTTTTAAAGAGATCTGCAATAGACAGACAGACAAACAAACAAACAAACAGAAAGAAAGAAGGGGAAACTTCCCAGTCTGGTAAATATGTATGCAATGTGTCCCGACATGGGGGAGTGGTGAGGCTTCTAGGCTGACATGTGACAGGCGAGAACAGCTGCTGATTTAAGAGAAGCACAAAAAAGATTGCTGAACTTTTAAAGCAGAGGTATAGCAAAAGTTAAATTTAGATCACTTTCTTTCATATCATCTCTATTACTTTGGAACTTGCTATACCGCTGTACTCCATTGCTTACAAGAAGACAAACAGTTTTTGAGAAACTAGCTACCACTGGCATGAAAACTGAGAAGAACTCTAAGGCCTAGGTGTAGAATCTCCTTTTGAACAATCTGTTTATGCTTCTGGACAGCAACTTTGGGATTCCCTTTACCTCTCCTTTGTATGGGGAAGGTATTTAAAGGTAAAGGTAAAGGTACCCCTGCCCGTACGGGCCAGTCGTGTCCGACTCTGGGGTTGTGCGCTCATCTCGCTTAAGAGGCCGGGAGCCAGCGCTGCCCGAAGACACTTCCGGGTCACGTGGCCAGCGTGATGAAGCTGCTCTGGCGAGCCAGCACCAGCGCAGCACACGGAAACGCCGTTACTTTCCCGCTATAAAGCGGTACCTATTTATCTACTTGCACTTAGGGGTGCTTTCGAACTGCTAGGTGGGCAGGAGCTGGGACCGAACGACGGGACCTCACCCCGCCGCGGGGATTCGAACCGCCGACCATACGATCGGCAAGTCCTAGGCACTGAGGTTTTATCCACAGCGCCACCCGCGTCCCTATGGGGAAGGTATTTAGGACATTCCAAATTACCTTTCAAAAAAGAGTAAGAGAAGATACACAAATGCTGAGAAGTTTATTTCTGTATTGAATGAGCATTTCAAAGGAGCAGCCTATGAAACTGAGTGGAGCCTGGTCAGCAGCTGTGAGAATCCAGTGGAGGTGCCTGTTGTCGGAGAGAGAGAATGTGTATCCCGAGATAGCAAGGCTTGGGCAATGTGGAGATTTGAGAGTCATAAACAGCACTTTGCATTAGGCTTGGAAACAAACTGGCAGTCAATGCAGAAGTTTCAAAACTGTTCCCAACAGCTCGTTAACAAATACAGTGGTACCTCGGGTTAAGTACTTTATTCGTTCCAGAGGTCCGTTCTTAACCTGAAACTGTTCTTAACCTGAAGCACCACTTTAGCTAATGGGGCCTCCCGCTGCCGCCGCGCCGCCGGAGCACGATTTCTGTTCTCATCCTGAAGCAAAGTTCTTAACCCAAGGTACTATTTCTGGGTTAGCGGAGTCTGTAACCTGAAGCGTATGTAACCTGAGGTACCACTGTAGAGGCATTCTGTACCAGCTGATTTCCAGACAAATTATTAAAGTTGGACCCACACAGAACATGGGATATGAATGACAGTTTCTAAAATGGAAGATACATCTGGGATGCATTTTGCTAAACCTGAATGCAATAGCCAACCTTACCATCAATTTTACACACACACACACACACACACACACACACACACACACTATGGACACTAAGACAATCTTACTCAGCTACGAGTGATCACCAAAGAATGAATACACACAAACACATTTCCCCCTTCAAAATGGCAGGATACCCTACTATATTCCAAATGGTGTTTAAAAATTGCTGTTTCCGAAGAAGTTTGCCAGTGCAGGAGCTACAGTTAAAGACACTTTTGCTCAAATTGTCCAGCAAACCAGAGTTAATTCAGACTGGAAGAGGGTGAAAATTTGGCTTGAATTTGGTCTTGAATTTATGTGAACATTTGTAAATGAGCCAGTGAGCCAGTCGTGAGCCAGTATGGTGTAGTGGTTAAGAGCGGTAGTCTCGTTATCTGGGGAACCGGGTTCGCGTCTCCGCTCCTCCACATGCAGCTGCTGGGTGACCTTGGGCCAGTCACACTTCTCTGAAGTCTCTCAGCCCCACTCACCTTACAGAGTGTTTGTTGTGGGGGAGGAAGGGAAAGGAGAATGTTAGCCGCTTTGAGACTCCTTAAAAGGAGTGAAAGGCGGGATATCAAATCCAAACTCTTCTTCTTCTTCTAAATGAACACCTGAATACTTATCTCTAATAGGCAGGTGTGACCCCAGGTGTATCCACAGCAGTGGGCAGAGGAGGAATGATTGCTGGGAGGAGTGCAGAGAGAAGAAACGTCATAGCACACCTGTATCAGCATAACCAGATGCCTTTAGTTGCCCAGCTGCAACAAGACATGTCTCTCCCCTATCGGTCTCTAGAACCATGGCAGGCTCTGTAACCTTCCAGCAGTTTGACTTCACCCTCAAAGGCGCACTCTTCCATTGTCTTCCAGGACAGACAGAGGCCAACAACAACAACAATTAGCTTTCATGGACTTAGTGAATGATTTTGAAAGAAAGCCCTGTTGTTTGTTCAACTAATACTTTTCTAATATAATTAAATATAACTAAAAGTTTATCTTACAATTTTTTTAGTGCATTTAACAACCACAGTAGTCCGTAAATACCAGGTTTCCGGTGTAAGTGCTTTCTGTTTGCTAACTACTGTGCATTTTCTTCTATGCAGTAGGCCTCTTTGAGTTGTTAATCAGCAGCTGTCTGAAGCTTTCCCCCCCTCTTGCAGTGCTGCTACTGATGTCACTTCCCCCTTGGCAAACGCCTACGGAGGCTCTGCTGCTTTTGAGATTGGTCACAGGGAGGGGAGAGAGAGAGAGAGAGAGGCTGAGTGAGTGCATTCTATGTCCTGGGACCCTGTTTACTTAACATTCCCAGCCAAGGAAGCCCTGGTTTAAACAGGATTGCGGATGCAGCCTGTCCATTACAGATGAGGAAATTATTATTCTGGGATTCTAGAAATTCCTTTGTTTAACCCCCTAGCGTGGATTATGAGAATGCAGAATGCCTTTCCTTTTGGGCCTGCGGCAGGTAACTTGTTTCTGGTTTGTTTGTTTGTTTGACTAGTTAGGGTGGAGAATGTGAGATTTTGCTGGCTTAAAAAAGAAGAAAGAAAATCAGCTCTGCTTGCCTTGTGAAGTGAGCCACTCAAGTAAAATCCAGTGCGATCTTTTGTCTTCCTCTGTTGTGTTTATGCCAGGGGAAAAACAAATCTATTTTACTTTACATTGAATAATGCTGCAGATAAAGGGAAGAAACTTTATTATTATCTGAAGCAAAAAAATTGTCCGTGTCCCCCCCCCACTTTACTCTATTTTATGGCTTTCACTTTTGGTTTTTGTGTGCTTTAAGGACATTTAGGGTTTTAAAGCTTACTTGGGTTTTGTGTTTGTGCTTTGGCTGAGTTCTGGTTTAGAGTAAACAAGAAACAGTCAACAGCTTCTAATAAGAAACTGTCAGAACTAACAGTGCACATGCTTTTTAAACCCGTTTCTGAATTTGTGGTGTCTGTGCTGGAGTTTTAAAGTACTCATAATTTTATTACTACTAACCAACATACATAGCCTGGAATGAGTAAAAGCAGCAAGTCACCCAGCTGCTCCCTGGTGGGCAGCAGCCGGCTTCTACCAAATTTGAATCATCTTAGTCCAGGAGCTATTTGTTCCAGGAACAACATCTGATTACTTGTACACCTCACCTAGCTTATGTTCTTAGGCAAGTACCGGTAAGTGTAGCAAATGAAGTTTGGAGGTATTGCAGGTATGTGAGCATTAAAGTTTTCTCTTTTCTTTCCTTTTTTTGATGGTGAGTGTTGTTAGTTTTACTTTCCAAAAAGCACTCTAAAAAGTGAAAAACAGCTGTTTTGTTTGTAGCTACCTAGTTTATTTTTTAAAACCAAATCTTTTTTATTTGGGCTTACATAATTCTATTCAAGAATTGAGACAAGAACTACCTCTAGCGCAATGACCTTTTGCCACTGACTGCTCTGCTTACTTGAAGCGGGCAGAATAAATTTAGGCTATATGTAAAGTTCTAAATAGAACTTAAGATTTGGTTATGGTTATAGTTCTATTGGAGAAGAGGAAAGCTGTGGGCTGCCAATTTAAGGGCATTAGTTTGGGGAATATGCATGTTAAGCCTCCCAAGAAATGTTGAAATTGAACCAATTGACCTTGTTGGAATTACGTCAGCAACAGATAGCTACGTGTCTTTAGAAATCTTTCAAATCCATGTATATTTCCATAAAGGAAATTTGGGCATCTTCTGGGGTTTCTTTACTGATGCAGGAAGCCTCAAAGGAGGCAATCCAGTTTCTGAAACCAGTTTGCTTACCTTTTCTTTGTTGCACTTGATTTTTCTCTTTGTCCTTAGCTGCTTAGTTGCTTACTGTTTGCTCCTGTCTATGGTTCACAGGGCCAGTCTGAGCAGCAAAAGCAGTTTCCTTACTCCTTTCTGTCTACTTGAACTTACAGCATATAGCTGTTTGGAAACTGTTGTGTAAATGTAATAAGCTCCCTGTGCTGTGTTAGCTACATATCTGCCAGTTTAGCGCATGTTAGAAAATAAAATGCCTTGATGAATGCCTTGATGCCAGAATCCATTGTCACAGACCTGTCCCCATTCATACACAGGAATCTGTGGTCCCTCTTTAAACTGGAAGAGGAGTGCAGATGTTGAGCAGTACAGTTATGCATTAAATTGGTTTTGTTAGTGCTGAAGTTGTAGCTTTCGCAGCTTTAGTGTAATGGCATTCAGGCTATCCTGTATGGCCATCAACATTAGCTTTAAAGTGCTCCTGCTGTGAAATAGTTTGTTGGTTTGTTACGTTATGTATTTATGTGTTTTTATAATGTAAACTGCCCTGTGATCTTTGGATAAAGAGCAGTATATAAAACAAACAAACAAACAAACAGTCTTTTTATTGACAATGCTCTGTGCAGAGCATTTCTTTCTAGCCCCTCCCTTTCTTCACTTGTGTACCACTTCAGATCTTAGTATCTGTTTGCCCATTGTGTCCAAATCTGAGGAACTCTGGTTAAATATAAATTGATCAGTTAAAATCTGATGATTTATGAAGCCTCAGTCATCCAAATTAGGCCACTGAGGTTTTTTACTATTGGACAACTAAGCAGTTATTTTAAAAGTTGCAATTGAAACTGTTCTGCTCAGTGTTCAAAGCTGGGATAAAAAAGCTAGGAGCCAAATGGCTTATGGGACCTGGGTTGTGGGCACCAAAATAGAATGTCTAGTCGTCACTGGAAGACCCCCCCCCACCGGTCAGCAACACTTTATTATTTTGATAAGCATGAATTAATACACAATTCACATAAGTGACACATTGTTAATATCACATTTTTAATACATGTTTAATTTGGTGTTTACAATAAAAATATTGGTATCATACTTCGGTTTTCAAAACACTCTTTATAAGTTAAACTCCTTAACTTATTCTCTATCCTTAACATATACACATACAGTGGAGCCTCGTGTTACATACCGTTCTCCTTACAAACACTTCGGGTTACAAGCTCTGCTAACCTGGAAGTAGGTCTCCTGGTTGCGAACTTTGCCCCAGCATGCGAGCGGAAGTTGCACGCCAGCACCGCGGCAGCGGGAGGCGCCATTAGCGAAAGCGCGCCTCAGGTTAAGAACGGACCTCCGGAATGAATTAAGTTTGTAACCGGAGGTACAACTCTAAATTTCAGTAATCCTTGAGTGTCAGCCAGGCGCAAAAAATGGCACCCAGAGGTGCTCGCAAATGGAGAATCTTTAGGCACAAAATGTGCCTGGTGCCCTGCTAATTTTGAACCCTGGTTCTGCTTCGTTGTTTAACATGTCCCTTTCAGGTGAGATACCACAGTTGTGAAGGTAGTTTTTCCGGGGTGAGGCCCATCCATTGCAATCTGCGTCTGCTGACCCCTGCAATGTTTCCAAATGGAAGAAACATGATTGCATAATTCCTGGTATTGGGGAACTGTGTTCATGCTTTGCCTTCATCCTTGAGAAGGGCTGTAGCTCAGTGTTAGAGCAAGTGCTTTGCATGTAGAAGGCTCCCGGTCCAATCCTCAGCATATACAGGTAGAGCTGGGAGAGAGCCCTGTCTCCAGCCTTGGAAAATGGCTGCCAGTGAGTGTAGACAATAATGAGCTAGTTGGACCAATGGTCTGACATGGTATAGATAGCTTCCTATGTTCCATCTTCTAAGATGATTGGAGTTGAGCATCCCCACCCCCACCCCCAAAAAAAAACTTTACCAAGATTGAACATCAATTAACTTGGCTGTGTAGAACATTCTGCAGTCTCTGGACAAGCATCTACAAATGTAGTGGTCACATAGCAGAGGTGAGTCTATCTCTGGGCAAGGTTAGTGGAAAGTGAGTGATGCTCCTGGGCTTGCTGGGTTTTGGAAGCATTTTGAAGCACTTAGGCTTCTCAGTGCTTTCTGTGGTAGTTTCTTCTCTATTTTGTTTCTAAATTAAAATCTTTAATTAAAGAGAGAGGGAGAGACAGAACTGTAACAGTGCATAGTACAAAGAAGAGATTCAGCACAGTCAAGACTCAGAGCACAAAGAAGTCAAGGCCATGAATATGACCTATACGCAATAAGCTCTTTCCATAGAGATCTGTCAGGAGATAATAATCATATAGAAGAGTCACTACTGTTGGCATATGAAATAAAGTGACACCGCACAGATTAAATTCACATGGTTATGCCTATTCATTTAGAGCAGGGGTGGGGAATCTTTTGGACTGTTGGGTCCCTGACTGTTGGCCATGATGGGTGGGGTGGGGCTGACAGGGGTTTAGAGACCAAGAATATCCGGGGGGGGGGCACAGATTCACTAACCTTTGTTTATAAAGATCGCTTTTGCAGTTGTGGGAGGAGCCAGAAGATTTGCAGACACACTGAATTTATCCATTTTGGCCTATAGTTGAAAGCAGTTGAGACGAAGGAGCGGGAAATAGGGGATTGGGGGAGAAAGGAAATGGGCCTGCTCAAGCCCCATACTATATCCTAGAGTGGGGAAAGGGGCTATGTGTCATTAGATTTTTTAAAGCGAAGCTTATTTTGAGCAGTTCCTATTCTGCGTTAGTGGAGCCCTAAACAGAAGGACTGTTCAGGAATTGGGATGCGCTACAACATGTTGCAAGTCCATTTTTTTCTGCTTTAGATGTAAGGGGCTTCCCTCAACAGAAAATGGCACTCCAGGTTTTCCTCCTTTCTTTCCAGCCACCTCTCATGCTGTTCTTGGGGTTTGTTGACGGTGGGAGTTTTTGGCAACAAACCTAACGGTGCATTTCTATACTAGTTAGTAAATTAAGGGGTTAGGGACCACATAGCTGTAATTTTATAAAGTACAACTAGGTCACGTCCCCTCACCTTCAGGAATGGAGGAAGTATTGTCTGTTTCCTGTTTCTCTTTCTCCCTCTCTTCTGTTCAAACCATGTAAGCTGAGCATACATCTGAGGCTAGGACTCAGACCACGTATTTGAGACTTAAATTTCTGTATTTTGCAATCAAGAATACCTTCTGCTGTAGCATTGAGTGATGCATGAGTGACACCTGTGTTTCTTGGTCTTTTATTGTATTGCATATGAATAAAGGCAATGCTAATGTAGATAGAATTGCATGTGGTCATCCATTTAGGTCTATTTTATGTTGTTTTGTTGCTCAATAAAGTTGCACTGCATGACTAAGGAGCAAGACCCAGGATCCTTGCAGAGTCTTGCTGGAGCGCAACTCTGTTGCTGCCTGGAACCTGAAAGCTGAGCCCCAGCATTTTCTGTAACAGATCCTATAAACACTTTTGGATTGTGTGCTGCTTCATTGGCACCCCTAAAAATATTGCCTCCCCAAGCAACTGCTTGGGTTGCTTGTCCAGTCAGGTGTTCTTCCACATAGTACTGTTTAAGCAGTAGCTGAATATAGCCATAAGCCCCCATGAAAAACAAGAGGCCCTTACGCAGAAAGATGTATCATACCATCAAACATTTATTATTATTTCAGATTGGTATTGAAGCACATCTGAAAGGTTTGGTGCTGTTAAAGCACTAAGATAAACTGTATACTTCTAGTTAAATATTAACTGTAGTAAAATTTATTTCACACTGGCTCATTGTGAATATGAAAAACCAGCTCAAGCTCTACCAGTTCTGCAAAGTGGTCTGAAGTGGATTAAGCTTCAGACCTTTCTGCTGTAAGGGATATTTTCCCAGCTGCACATCATGTCTACAGCTTTGTTGTGAATCAGGTAATCTTTCAACAGCTTTTTATGAAGTATCATAGCATAAAAGTGCTCCAGACACAGGTCTGCCTACACAGAGATACAAGTGCTTCTGTACATCTTAAGTGTAGTTTTACCTCATTTCTCCACACTTTTAAAGCCATTGTAAATTTTGCATGCAAATTGCCACATCTTTTTTAAAAAATGTGCAGGTTTTGATAATATTCTATATTCACTAACTGCATCTTAATTTCTTAATTGAAGGTTATAAAACCATAATGTTCAGTTGGGGGCTGTTCAGATCTAACACCCTTAATTTTCTCCTCTAGACCTAAAATAACACGTGATCTGTAAAACTAACTTTTAGTTGGTTCAAAAAAGCCCAAAGAAATGATACTGAACAGGTTCCATTTTCTAGAAAATCATGCATATATGGACAAGGTCATTGTTGGTACATTTTTGAGCATATACCTAACATGTTTTAATGTCCCAAGTCCGTACATTTTTGTGATCTCCCTCTTTGTAAGTGGAGCAGAAAGTCTGCTCATAGAGCAGGCATAGGCAAACTCGGCCCTCCAGATGTTTTTTGGGACTACAACTCCCATCATCCCTAGCTAACAGGACTAGTGGTCAGGGATGATGGGAGTTGTAGTCCCAAAACATCTGGAGGGCTGAGTTTGCCTATGCTTGCCATAGAGGACTTCTTGTTGCAGCTACATAAATCTTTCTGTCTTTCCCTCCATCATCAGTACTCTGGTCATAAAGTCATAAAGTAGGAGTTTGGGGGCAGATCAGGGTAGGCCTTTGATCTGTTAAGACCCAAAGGTTTCCCATTCACCTGACGTGCCCCCAGAACAGGAAAAGTACACTAGCCCTTGAGCTGGCATATTGATTTTCCTTTCCATTTGTTTGTTTATTATTTCAGTTTCTATCCCACCCTTCATCAACGGATGATTCAAGGTTGGGTAATCAAAAAGCCCAAATCAAAAGCACTAGAATAATTTAAACAAGTAAAATTTAACAACCGTATACTAAATAAACTAAACAATATAATAAAATGGCAGGATAGCAAAATCAAATTGTACTTCATACATTAAATCAGCACAAAAAACCCCCTGAAGAATGGGGAGGAAAAGGGAGGCCTCCCCTGCCTTGTTTTCTCTGCCTTGGGTTCTTCCTTCCCCACTGCCTTCTGATTCACCTGTCCAAATGTAAAATGCAAATGCAACAAATACACGCATTGTACAGGCACACTTGTCAGGAAGCCGTAACTGGCTGTGGCTCCATATTGTACTTGCCCCTGCATCATGCATGAATTGTTTTTTTTAGTGTGAGGGAGCTGCATTTTAGAAATTAAAGGAAGCTGTAGTATGTTGCCGTTCTTTGAAGGCTCTTAGGTCTTTATCTATCGTCCCATGACCAGTCCCCTATTCCACAGGCTAGTTTTGGAAACTGCTTTGTCATATACTCCTGGTAGATGCTCCAAGGGATGTCTGGACAGTACAGAATGTGACTAATTTGTTCATTGTTCTGGAAACCTTTTTAATTTTTGGATCTTTAAGAGTAAAATGGAATGCAGCTGTAGATAGCATTTCAGGGACCACAGGCAGCCTTGATACTTAATTTCAGCTGGAGTCTTAGCTCGAACTTCTGCTAAAGGCTACATGATTTCTTTGAACCCTGTTGTGGGTGAAATAGAGGAGTGCCCCTTCTGCTGTGAAAGGATGCAGGAGATGTTTCCTCTTTTAGAAACTATCTTAGCACTTTATGGGCACTTTGAAAATGAAGTCAGATGTCTGGCTTTTGAGGGAGGGTGCTAACTCTAACTGGGGTAGTGGGTGTTGGTGGGAATGTTAATGCTGATGCCCATGTCTCTAGATCCAAAAATAGAATGAGTCTCCTTTAGGAATAACACAGCATGTATCTTTGTTTACTTGGGCCAAAGCCAGGATGGTGGTTTTCAGGGGGGAATAACAGTGGGATGGGTATGCTTAAACCTTTCAGAGGAAATATTAAAATAATAATAATGATGATGATGATGATTTCTAATAAATTTTTAAGTACTCACTTTATACTATAGCTAACTTGGCTTGCCTTTCATGTTGGGCACTCTGATGCCAAATGTTGTAATTTGGGCTGCTCCACAGCTCTGCAACCACTTGCCTGTATTGTATGTGCATTTAAACCAGGGAATCTGTGACATTGTTTGACTACACATCCCATCACCCCTTATCCTGCTGGGTAGGGCAGATGGAAGCTAGATATGTGTTCCTGATGACTGAAGACATATATTGCCTTTTTGGAAGACAAGGGAATCTTCCAAGGCCTGAATCTTTCCAAACTTGATCACGCGACTGCACTTTTTCTCTTACACCATAAAGCTTCATGCATGTTGATCCTACTATAAAAATAAACCAGCATCACCTTGGTTTTGCTGTTTGTTTTATACTATAACTTAGATTTGCATGGCTTTTTATAGTGCAATGGTTTAGCTGTGCATTTTTTTTCCAGGACATAAAACAAAAACTCCAGAAATTACTTCCATTATATCTCTGCCCTACATTACACTCTGGCAAGAGGGGTCATTGCCATTGGGTGGTAGTTGTTTTCCATCTCTTAACTGTCCACAGAGATGGCCTTCAGGGAGGATTATGTGATGATGAAAAAGTATGACTGACTTGGCTTCTGTCCTAGACTGCAGGAGTATTCCAGGAAGATATTTTGTTGGAATGTTTATTTTATTTTAAAAGTTCTGCAAATTAGGCAAGAATTACTTCAGAGTAGGGTTATATGGTAGTAAATGTTATTTTGATCTGATTGAGCCCAGATTGCCCTCTCTTCAATTATTACATTTTCTGATTCTATAAGTGCAAGACTTGAAGCTGTTAACAACAGTGGAATTGCAGTGTATTTGAAACACACACCATTAGTGGGTCATAAAATTTTATGCCTCAATATACCAAAGTGAAAATATCTATGGGTCCCTTCATCTCAGTGCATTAGGCATAAATTCATGTACCTAATCACAAGCGGGAGGGGGGGGATTGTTACATTAAAAATGAAAACCTTATATGATTTTAATGTAAAATATTCCTACTTGCAGGAGGGTGGAAATCTGAACGCTTGATTGCATTTTCTGACCTAAGTATAATTTTCTAAATTCTGATAATTTGGGCCACAGTTATAGCTATAGATGCCCAGGCATGGCATGAGGATCAGCACTGAAGTGCAGAACAGATGCCTGCATTATGCAAACTGCAAGTGGGAAATTATTTATCAAGGTGTGGAAAAGATAGGTTCAGTTATTTAGAGCAACTTAGCAGCTGACAAGGCTAGAGAAAGGTGAAATGAGAACTAATCTAGACGTGCAGCAATAAGATGGTAAAGTTTAGAGCAGAATGGTGCTAGTTCAGATTGAAGAAGGGGGATACCATTTTTAATGTTCCCTCCAATTGTTCCCATACCCTACTGTAACTGAAATAACTGCAACACATTATCCCCACCCCCTTTACCTCTGCCTCCTCTACATCTGTTGTTTCCCTTGTGTCTCTCCTTTTAGAATGCAGAACCCTGGTTAAACAGCATCCTGCATAGATGACACTATATAAATAGCAGCTTAAGAAACTCCATGACAGAAGAAAACTAGCGTAGCAGGGAGAAGTTTTCTAGCCCCGTTCTCTATATGCTGTCCTAACTTTCGACTTAAAGAGCTGGGGGTGGGGTTATTGCAGAGGGGTGTTCAGAATCCACCCCGCCCCCCGTAGACTGAAGAGGTACAATCCATTCTACCATATCATCTGTACTTCTTCCTTCTGCATGTAGGAACCTAGCCTGGAAGGTTGGTGATGGATGGTAGGGTGTGGGAGCACCATGGAACTGACTGATATCCAGGAAAGTAGAGGTGCCTGAACAGCTGCAGGCAATCTGTGACCTTGAGCAGCTGCCCTGGGCTCATGCATGTCTTGCAAGCAACCGGAGGCTTAGTCCAAGTTTAATGTATTTGGGCCTTCCTCACTAACCTATTCCTCTCTTACATTCTAGGACAAAGAGCCCTGCATAGGAATCAACAATCAAAGCTACATCTGTGAAACAGGCCACTGCTGTGGACAGTCTCAGTGCTGCAATTACTATTATGAACTCTGGTGTAAGTTTCTTGTTTTTATAAACAGAAGTGAAATTCTTTTCATAATCTGAGTCAAGGGCATTTCAGTTTCATCCACTTTTGGCTTTATCCAGAGACAAGGTGTTAGAGCGGGTGATAGGTGTCCTTCCCCAGACTGAAACTGAAAATGATTATGTTGACTCACTTCAGCCAGACTGCCCTTGCCATGACCTTTGCTAGAGACGCACAGGGGGAGTGTGTGTGTGTCCTTGCTAATTCTCCAGTCAACCAGTGTACCTTTCTGCACCACCTGTCAGGTTTAGGGGTGTGTGATTTCCCACCCCAGGGGGATGACCCTGTCTGGTGCCTCAAGTTTCTATTCTGTCTCACATGTTATTTAATATCTGCATGAAATTACTGGGAGAGGTTGTGCAAGGTTTAGCTGATGTCAACAGGATGCCCACTTTCTTCTTGGATTCGGGTGAGGCAGCAGAGTTCTTGAACAGGTGTCTGGAGCCAGTAATGGGTGAGGGCCAGTAAAATGAAGCTCAAGTCAGAGATGTTCATGGCTGGTGGGCCTATCAAGCTGGAGTAGATGTATAACCTTTTCTGGATGAAGTTGTGCTCCATCAACACATGGGGTTCATGGTTTAGGTGTATTCCTTGAGCCAGCATTGCTGCTTGATAATCAGGTGATGACCATGGCAAGAATTCTCTCTTTCCAACGATGTGACATGTGCCATCTATTTACAGTTCTGCAAGATTGACACTTAGCCTCCATCATTCATTCTTTGGGAACCCCTGTTTTAAATTATTTACAATGAGGGTTTGCCTTAGACTGGGGCTGATGGGAGTTGTAATCCAAAGCTTGGGGGGGGCACCAGGTTGGGAAAGGCTGGGGGAAGCACCCAGCTTAATCAGCTGAAAGGAAGTGGGTTTTGTCTTCCTGAAAATGTAATGTTTTAGCACATTGAGCACAGGATTAAGCACCAAAGTGGATTTTAGAAGGTGAAAATTTCTTGTCGCCATTCTCGGTACCCTAACACTGAAAGCTCCCTGCCTTTTCATAGGTCTTGCTGTTCATTTTAACTTTATTTACCACCTTAACTTGTGGGAAGGAGTCATGGGTTGAAACAGAGAATCTCTCTTCACCTGACATGCTTCATGAAACATGATCCCATGTTTTAGCTGTTGGGAGTGGTTGCAGTCAACAGAGTTTTCCCCTTTTGAAGAGCAAAGCTGATGGGAAACCGAATCAGTGGTGTTTGTTATGGGGTGGAAGGAAGAGTAAAATACATGATATGTCAAGCAGGTGGATTGGGTTTAAAGCTAGATGGTGCTAGCTAGATCCAAGTTCAATTTTGTTTTAAGATGAAGCGGGCATTGAAATATCTTGTTGCCAAAATCTATTGCTAAAACTCTTGAACACTTTGTATTGAGAACTAAAAATTAATAAAATAAACCATTTTTCATTCTATGAGCAGGGCACATGGGGGGCAGTGGGCCTCTTATGCTTGCACTGGCTTCCACTAAGTAGCAGGGCTCATTAGTTGGCTCCAGCCCAATCTTTGTATCAGATTTTCTTGTCTTGTGTCTTTTTCTGAACTTGATGTCTTGGTATGGCGTAGGTTTTCCGTTTGATACTGCTGTTGAATAGTTTAGTCTGAAATGGAAAATACTGGGGTGCAGGGGAATCTATTCCTTGTTCATGTTTGAGCAAAATTCCTTGTGACTTCCCTTCCTAACTAAATTTATAGCAGTTACAAAAAGATGCACATCTGGTAAAACTATATTGTTCAGTACCATGCAGGAAAAGTCATCCAAGTGGGAAGGTGGTTCTGTTTTGCCTTCTGCTGTTTTGCATTTTGTGATAATCTGCTGTAGAAATATTCATTCTGTCAAATCTGGGGCATGTTAATCAGTTTGAAAAGTACCAGTTGGCCCACTCTTGCCCTAGACCTGGATCCTTCCTAACTCACTGGGCTACCTGCCTCACTGATTCCCCTCTCCACTGTGTTCATACACAGAAATTCTTCCCCTGCTAACCGTCATTGAATGATTGATTATTTGTTTAGTAATTTACACCCTGCCCTTCCTCACAAAGGAGCACAATGGCAAGTGGTAAAACAACAAAACATCATAAAAACAATTCCAGTACAGATGTAGACTGGGGGAAATCTCAACTTTAAAAGGCTTGTGGAAAGAGGAAGGTCTTCAGGTGGTGCTGAAAACACAACAGAGATGGCGCTTGTCTAATATTAAAGCAGTTTGAGCATTTAACCTGAGGAGAAAAGGTTGTGCCTACTTTGGGGTGTATTTATCTAAAAGAAAACAAAAATCTGTGCTGCTCTTGTCCTGCTTACAGGTTACTTCCTCCTTTTGGAGGTAAGTGGGAAAGGGAAGGCAGTTTCCAGTTCACTTAAGCAAGTAGCTTTTTGGACTTTTTATAACCTTGCTTGGAAGCTCCAACAGAAACTAGCCAGAGAAGAAACTAGCCAGCTTAAATGTTTCTTTGTTTTATAATTTATTTTTCTCTTGCTCTGACCTTCACACGTTCTCTTGATATTTATTCAGCTTATTTATGTAATAAGTCTGTCCACAGGGATTAAAGGTTGCATTCTAGCTTCATAAAATAGGCTGCCCAGATTTCTTGGTTTTATGCTTTCTTGGAAAAGGCTGTATGCCCAGATCAGCAAGGGAAATCCAGAATTCTGGCTGGGTCAGACACATAACTTCCTCATAGCGGATGCTTTTTTCCCTTTCTCTTTCCCTTTTTTCTTTTTCTTTTTCTTCTTGAGTGTCCAGTATACCTAGAAGACTCCTGATGGTGGCCGTTGTTTAAAAATAGTCCCTGCTAATTGACAAGTCACTGTCCTTGTTTAAACATAATGCTAAACCAGCACATGTAGAACTCACACCACTGTTCCTACCCAGCATGGCTACAAGGAAGAATTCAAAGATTTTGCTTCTGTTTTAGATTAAACACATCTTGTTGTGGTATCTGAATCTGAACCAGCTATAGTTAATCTTAACAATGGTATATTGAAACAAGCTAACTTAGAGCAGTAGTTTAGGAACCTGGCTTGTTTAAATAAACTATAGCTGACATTAACCACCTTTTTTGGGGAGAGAGATGTTTTAATGTAATTTAAAATTTAACAGAATACAAAAAAAGAAAAAATACAGTTAATGTCCTTAGTATGCATTCACAAAACAAAGATTCAGAAATTGTCTGTGGACAAATGCCGGCTCTCTCGGCCTGAAGCAAGATGAGCACCGCACCCCATAGTCGCCTTTGACTGGACTTAACCATCCAGGAGTCCTTTCCCTTTCCCTTTTACCTTTCCAATGAGAGCACACCTCATTCAGTTAAAAGCCATATCCCTGGGAGATATGTACCAACCCAAGAAAACATGTATTTTGTTGATTCCCATTATTAAATCAATTGGGAGTTGCTGATTTAGGATACCTCATCCCCAGCATGCACAGTTAATTATTTGCAGAATCTTTCACTGTCATAGAATTCTGTGGAAAATCATGATTTAGCTCATCACATTAACCCTTGCTGAATCTAGATAAAGTTTCAAGCAGGGATTCAAGGAGTCCGGTATTTTCCCTAGCTGTGAGGTTTAGGTGTTTACTGCTGAGGATTCTGTGTTCAAGCCAGCAGTGTTATTAGAGAAAAAAGGAACAGTACTGAAATGCTGCTGTTGGTTTTCCCAACCATTGCACAACATAAATACCAGTGTTGACCAGCCTTTGCCAGGCTGCTACCCTTCAGGTGTTTTGGAGTACAACTCTTGTCAATGCCAGTCAGCACAGCTTGCAAAATATCTGGAGGGCATGAGCTTAGCAGAAGATGGTATTGACTCTCCCAGGAAAACTGTTTAATAAAGTGTCCACCTTTCTCATACAGTCTCCAATGTGGGCTTCTGTTCCTGGTAACACTTGAGAAACTGGGGTACATCAGAGCTGAAGCATTGGCTTGCTCTTTGAGAGGAAACTATATACAGCCCTTCCTCCACCAAGAACACTGATAATATTTAGCATTTATTAAGTGTTTCAGAGTATTCAAAGCTCTTCATGATAGATAATCTTAGCCATCTTTGCGACAACATTGTAAGAGGTAGGCCAGCATTATTTCCCCCATGTTTTAAAGTGGGCTGGGAGTGGTTTGCATAAGGCAGGGGTGGAGCACTTAGGCCTGTTGGGCATCCCCATTTGGCTCATGAGACTTCTGAAAACTGTCAGCTGATTATCAAGGGCTTCTGTGGATCTATCAAAGCGCTGCCTAAGATAGTGCTTCAGAAGGGGCTTCTGCAAGAAGCTACTGATGTCATGGTCATTTCTGGTGACTGACAGGTGGCATACTCCACCCACCTGTCAAACTTGGCCTGCGAAGGGTTGAGGAGATAATACTCCTGTCCACCAGTCAGATCCAGTTCTCCACCCATGCCCTAAGGCCATAATTAGCTGCGTACATTTCTACCTCAGTTGCTTAGCTTAAGAAGGCTGCCTGCAGTTCAGCAGCTAATTGCCGAGGGGAGATTTGAACCAGGACCTTTCGCAGCTCAATTCCAAGTACAGGCTCTTAGCAGCTGCCCCACACTTGCTCTACACTAATTCTCAAAAATGTCCCATTTCACCTTCTTTTGGGCCAGATAGCCTGAAGCCAAGGCCATCACCTAGCATGCTTCTAAGGCAGGCGGAGAAATGATTTGCTACATGTTTTGGCTTAGCTGCAATGAGGTTTCCTGCCAATAAAGCAGTGGCATCTACCCAAGTTTACTGTGAACTCTAGGGCAGACTATTCTGTTCCTGCTCTTGAGCGCTAAAGGGGAAAACATGTTTTCCCGTTTTGCAAGAGTAAAAGGCACTTTCCTTTGTGAGATCTTTGCTTGGATACTTGCCACTGGGGAAACATAGAAATATATCCTTCTGGTTGTTGTATCCCCAAGGATCTATAGGACAGTAACACATGCAGTTTTGAGCATCATAGACCTTCCCCTGGTCTCCTCAAGAAAGGAGGTATTGTATTACAGTAAAGGCTGAAAATTTGTCATTGACAGTATTGGGAGAAATCACAAAAACTAGGTGGGGATTTGAGACATGGCTTGAGCCCCTGCCTGCTTCCAAATTGCTGCTCCATTGCTCTCCTCACACAGCCTCCCTCCATGTTCACACCTTGCCCTCCTTTTAGCCTTTCTAAAAAAATTAATGAATTCTGAACTCACTGGAATCCTTCATCTTGGAAGCAGAGCAAGCTGTGCAAAATAAATGTAATACAAAGAAGTGCTAAATTTCTATTATCTAAGCATACCAGATGAATTATTTTTCCATAATTTGGCTGTTGTTGTTTTGTTGAGATCAGATACATAGCCCTGGCTTACTGGTTCCTAAAGCTGACAATATTTTCTGTGTTCGCCAAGCAAGTAAACTCCAACCCAAGGCAGCGCTTTATTTGTACTTGCAGTCCAAAAGAGTGGAAACCATTTTAGTATCTTCCAGGACAAAGTTATATGGTGTTGCTAAGGCCTAATGCTACTCCGTGTCCAGAGATGACTAGAGCAGTGGCAGCTTTCTGTTTCTGCTAGAAGTTCAGACGGCCTTTAACACTAGTCCGTCCGTCCACCGTCCACCCCCAAATCTATGGGCTTTGCACTGTTGCCTTAACATGGAATTGAGAAGGAAAGTAGTGAAAGAAAGTGCTATCAACTGGTATAAGGGTTTTGTGCAACTCTTGCTGATTTGGGCTTGCCACTGGCACTAACCCTGCTAGATTATCTAGTTGAGATTCCTGCATTTCAGGAGAGTGGACTAGATGGTCCACTTGGATCCCTTCCAACTCTACAATTCTATGATGTTTGAACTAGCAGGTTTCAGTACAGAGATTAGTACAACCTCCATGTGGGTAGCAGGTGGGAACGTTTATCGAAAAAAAACCCCAGCATCCCACTGTTTGGAAACACCCTAGGGCAGGGATGATACAAGTTGTAGTCCAGCTACCTCTGTTGTATATTGTCTTCAGGGATTTTGATGCTTTTTAATTTGCAAGGTTTCTTGGCAACACAGGTCCTTGAGGTGTTTTCCTCTTGATAAGCTAAGCATTTTCTCATTGCCTTACTGCCAGCTGACTGCTGTATTCTCCAGAGACCCTACTGTTAGCACTGTGCAATATCTGCGTCCAACCATTCTCAGGAACTTGGAGATATTAGTCCCCCCCCCCCCCCCCTAGATTTAGCAATTCAACAAATAGGAAATCTTGCTGACTGGACAATATTCATCAGGTGTCTTTTAGTTTAGAAACATCCATATTAGGATACTGTATTAATCTTTATTAGAGACATTTATACACCAACTGTTAACTAAGGGCAGACTAGAAATGTGACCGTTTTGTTATACAGTCAGTTCAGAATGCTGCACATTTCTTGGATCTGAGATTCCATGGTAGCCATGATTATAGCATTGAAGAAATGAACCTATGCTGCCAGTTCTCGAAGTAGACCAGTATAAAGTAAGCAGCACATAAGCAGCACACATGATTATAGCATGGCAAACAGGCAGCGTTCTTAGGAAAAGTTATTGCACACTTTAATGACGATGTATTTTAATTATGTTGTGTAATTGGTATTTATATATTGTAAAGCACTTAGAAGCCCGTTTGGCATTGTTGTATGTTAATTAATAAAAGTAAATTCAATTGTTAAAGAATACACAACATATTCAGGTATTTAGTGTAGGGCTGTGGTCTGGGAGTTTCCAAATTTCTCCTTCATCATACTAGCAAAGTTTTTTTTTTACAACATTGGCTCAGATTCCTCTCTTCCATATTGTGAATGAAACCAATGTTTGAAAGTGCATGCACACAAAGGTGGAACAATATAACATGTGGAAGGAGCTGAGAGGCTTGTTTCAGTTTGTGCAAATGATCAATTATAGCTTCTCAAGTTAATGAAGCATGTCTGATTAGATAAATAAACTTTGAGTTATGCTGTTTTTTCAATAGATATCTTATTTAGGTAGATAGACCAGGATATAAATCAATTAAAAAAGGGTGAGTAAATTTGACTATCTTCAGTTACTGTGACCCTTGCAATGAGGTGAAACAGTACCTATTTTAAAGTGTAACATCAATATGTCTTTTAAAAAATAGAGTAGCAAGTTATTCCTTCTCAGTTCCCATATAGCAGGGATGTAGTCTTCAAACATTGTGGGACTACAACTCCCATCATCCCTCTCCACTGGCCGTGTTGGCTGGAGCTGATGTAAGTTGGAGTCTAACAACATCTGGAATCTTGCAAGTTTCCCATCCCTGCAACATATAGGCATATTTATTTTCTGAATGTTTTGATAAAAAATATTTATTTTGTTTCTGCATGGTGCTGTTTCTAAGTTGATATAGTAAAACTTGAAAATGGAATCCATCAGCATTGTAGCAAAGAAAAGGATCTTTCTTCCCAATGAAAATATACTTCGACTGCAATTCTGTGCACATTTACACGGGATTACTGTGTCCCACTGAACACAGTGAGACTTACATCCAAATAAATATGCATAGCATTTTGCTACATAGCATCTTAAGTATAGCAGCTTGCAGAGCTATCTCTAAAATCAGTTATATTTTAAATATTCTAATAAAACGAAAGCATGTGTAAATTTCATAAATATACCCAACAGTACCTCTTGGGTGCTATGTAATATGTTTAGGTTTGGTAAAAGAGTATTGCATATATTTCAATTTCCATAAAATATATATGTTTGCTTTTTGTATTATATTGTTTAGAAGATTGGTGGTTCTTCTTCATGCCTCCAAAATGTTTGGACACTTTACATCTCTGGGCAGGGCTATTCATTTTGTAAGTCAGCCATCCACCAGGTATCTTTTGGTCTGCAATCCACCTGCCCCCAGCTGCCATGGCTGTACTGGCAGGAGCTAATGAAAATTGTCAGTCCAAAACACCTGGAGGGCAGTTGGTTCAGAAAGGCTGCTTCAAAGGAAGGTGCTTCTGACCTTTAAAACAGATTTCAGTCCTGCATCGGTAAAAGCTGAGAATGCTTCCAATATACGAGGGAAGAAAACAGTTGGAGCAGATGGGAAAAAATGGTCAGGGGTCTTCTTGCAAAGTTGGATGCCAGCCTGAGAATCTGTAAGAAAACAGGGGTGGTGTTCTTCATCAGAACTAAACAGGCGTCCCTTCATTTACACATGTTCAATTCACACGTGACCACGCATACGCGCAGCCCTGGAAACCCAGAGGTGGGGTGGGGGTGGGAGAGAGACCTGAAGAGCCTCCAGCTTGTGAGGAGAGCCTCCCTGGAGCCCAAAGGGGATGTCCTCTTCGGGCTCTGGGGAAGGTCTCCTCACCAGCCAGAGTTGCAGCAACTTCTGCTGCGCTTTCCCGCATATCAGCTGTTAGCCAGAAAACCCCACTGTGCCTCTAGCTTGCAAGGAGATTTGCCCTAGAGCTCGAAGAGGACATCCTCTTTGGTCTCTGGGGAAGGTCTCCTCATGACCTGGAGGTGCAGCGGGGTGCTGCCGATTTGTGCACATTTCACCTATGTGCAGGAGGCCAGAATTTAACCCCTGCATAAATGGGGATTTGTCTGTCTACGTAAGCATATGGTTGCAGCTTTCCTGTTGAGAGTGTGGTAGCTTCTAGGTTATCAAGTTGCCAGTGCAAAGCAACTGCGCAACGCAGAGCTCACACCTGCATTTAGGTGGTTTGGCAATGACTGACTCAGATCTCCTTGTGTCTGCTGGGGTTCAAGTGCTTTGGTTCCCAGGACCAGTCAGATGTAGAACCATGTAGCTGTCTAACAGACAAAGCTCCTTATAGCACCTTAAAGATAAATCAGTTAATTGCTACATATATTAAGCAAATCGGGCACATTTCCTCAGCACAGACTTATTCAAAATACGCCATTCATCACTGCAAACATGTGTGGGGCACAGTACATGTGGGAATTGGTTTGTAAGGTGCCATGGATTTCCTTTTTTATGTTCTTAGCTGCAGCAGAGTAGTTCAGCTGCTAATCTGAGATCTGCAACAGGCTGGGAAGGCAAAATAAAACAGCACTTGCAGCAGTAGTTGGGATTCAGCACTGCTTTCTCGCACCAAACTGCGGTTCCCATTTCACACATTTCTGGCTTTGCACTCAAAACACAGTTTCAGCATTTATTTGCTGCCTTTTAATGTTATCATTGTTTTACTTGCATAGTAAAGTGATCATCACTGTATCTTGTGGGAGTGAGTTCTGTAAATTAAGTATACATTGTGTGAAGAAGTGAATCTGTCAGTCATTTTTATTGGATGACCCAAGTTCTGGGGTTATGCAAGAGGGAGAAAAACATATACCTGCACACTTTTTCCACACCATGTATCCCTTTATAAACCTCTTATGCCCCCCCTCTTTCCAACCTAGAACTATTTTTTTTTTCAAAGAGAAGACACGAAAAACTCAAGGATGGTGTGAAGTACAGCTAGTGAGGGACATGGCCTATGAAGGGTCCCAAGGGCCACATTTGACCTGTGGGCCTGAGGTTCCTAAATTCTGAAGCATATATGGCAGATTAGGGTGAGATCTCCCTGAGTCTTATGTCTCTGAAAAGTGCCTCTCATATCCTGTTACGGTGACCTGTGCCAAGATTGGCAGTAGGTGCACACTTGTTTCAAAAGGCCACCTCAGTGGCTTCATAGTTTTGAAACCTCTTTCTCCTGAAGAAGAAACACTCTTAGTAAAATTCCTCTTCTCTCCCCCCCCCCCCGCTTTTTTATTCTTGATTTTTTCCGTAGGGTTCTGGCTAGTATGGACGATCATCATCATACTGAGTTGCTGCTGTGTCTGCCATCATCGGCGCGCCAAACACAGACTTCAGGCACAACAACGGCAGCATGAGATTAACCTGATTGCCTATCGTGAAGCTCATAACTACTCCACCCTGCCATTTTATTTCCGTATGTACTGCATGCAAGGAGCAAGCTGCCTTTCAAAGAGCAAAGAGCAAGATGTTGGCATATTGGGTGGGGGTCATGGACGCAACAGAGATTCACAGCAAAGATGGTGGGGATGGGTGCAGAGATGTCTGCTGGTGGCTGGAGAGGACCATGTAGTATACTGCAGTATGTTGGGAGACTTCACACGGTCCTTCTTGTCACCTTGGCTACACAAGCTTGAAGCACAATCACAGATAACTGTGACTAGTGTGGGCACAATCTAAATCTTGTGGATAAATTTCTGGGTCGGGGGGGGAGAGAGAGAGAGAGAGAGAGAGATTTGAATTCGTTTCCCTCTGAACATTGTAGAGCAGTGCTTTACTCGGACTTGTTTTCCAGCTCTAGTGGTTGGTTAGACTGTCATAAAAGGAGGAAGTGGATTGACAGATTTCTTCACATTTTAATCTGCGCAGTGGCAGCAGCAGTGACAAGGCTGAGATTTTTTTAAAAAAACTTCCCACACCTTTTCCTCTGCAGCTGACACAACATGAGTGTCTCTAAGAAAGAGGCACCACAGAATAGCTAATATGGTGGTGTGGCAGAGGGGCATCACACCCAAGGTCTCTTGTCAAGAATAAATGTAATGATGAGTGATGCTACTTCATTTTGCCCATGTCAATTTTAATTAATACTTTATTACTTTAAAACAAAAAACAAAACAAAAACATTAGCCACCCAGTAGAAGGCAATGGAAGAAGAAGTAGAAGAGGAGTTTGGATTTGATATCCCGCTTTATCACTACCCGAATTCTCCTTTCCCTTCCTCCCCCACAACAGACACCCTGTGAGGTGAGTGGGGCTGAGAGACTTCAGAGAAGTGTGACTGGCCGAAGGTCACCCAGAGTAGGACACCTGAGAAAATGCTACATAGAGGAGAGGGAACCCTCTCTCTCTCTCTCTCTCTCTCTCTCTCTCTCTCTCTCTCTCTTTCTCCTTTTGCACAAAATCAGGGGGAAGACAATTTAAATCAGCTCCCAGTTGACTCTGGGATGTAACATTCCTTAATTTCATAGGTCTCTCTGAATGCTACACACTGCTTTGCCTTAGTTTCTTCCAGCTGTAACATATGGAAAATCAACTGCTTCCTTAGCCAAATCAGGATGGAATTTTTATTATTATTAATATAATTTGTTGAAGTTAAGTCCAAAGTGTTGTTAAATTACTTTCAATTGTGTTTTCTGACAACATTTATAAAGTTGGAACCATTTAGGTAATCTAGAGGTTAACTTGTCCTCCCTGCCTCCCCATTTAGGATTTTTGCCAAATTATTTACTACCTCCCTATGAGGAAGTGGTGAACCGACCTCCGACCCCTCCCCCACCATATAGTGCCTTACATCAGCAATGCGTTCCACCTGGCGGCAGCAGTGCAGCACCAGATACAAGAAACCTACAGCCAGCCCAGACAGGCTCTCTGTCAGGAGCAGGAAGCAATAATGGAAACACGGACAGCACTGCCTCCTCCAGCACCGGGAACCCCGAATCGTCCACCCTGCTAGCTGAGCGATCAACCACCAAAGCAACAAGTGGCGAGCGAAGGAACTCCAGCAGTGGGGCAGAGTTGGAAGAGACGGCCAACCACGCGCCCTGTTCCGACAAGGAGTCAGAGTGCAAGGAGGAACTGCTTAAGGATTACAACTCGGAAAGCTTAGACCACAACAACGCCTTCTCCGATGCTAAAGACAAGACGCCGGGCAGACACCGAAGGTTCACCGGTGACTCGGGCATTGAAATCTGCATCTGCAACCAGGGCCACCACGATGGCGATCTCAAGGAGTTGGATGGGTTCATTGATGATGGGCCCATGGACTTCTGCGATAGCTGCAGTGGCCACCCTCCCCATGGAGATGAGGAAGAAGGGCTTTTCAATGCCCCGGATGAGCAGCATCAAGAGCACAGCCACCACCACCTTCCCCGGCAGCCTGTTTGTGTGCTCCTGAACACCATAAACGAACAGGACTCGCCAAACTCTCATGCCAATACCTCCCCCAGCTAAAATAAGCAAAGGGAGAAGGGATATTCTACAAAAGGATAAACATGACTTCAGCCAAAAACAAGTTGGTTCAGCTTTTTCTTCAGATGTAACTTTGGGAATAACCCCTAAATAATAGGTATGGAGGAAGGGGCAGAAGCTTCTGGGCCTTCCCTGCCTCCTGCCCCCCCCTTTAATTGCCTCCATCTGGTTAGGGTTTAGGATTAAGAGTGAGATCATTTTTATACATATAACAAACGAGAGAAAAACTTTTCCTATTGCTGATTTTGGTGACGGTTTACTTGGTTGGTTGTTTTCTTAGAGGTTTTCAATACCTGCTTTATTTTATTATCAGAAAGACTTAACTTGACCCTGTGAGAACAAGGAGTGCTCATGTATCTCTTCCCCCTCCCTCCTCTTTCCCAGGCGTCTTCCCAGAAGCCAGTGGCATTTGATGGCGCTGGCGGTTTGCCTAGTCAGTGCCATTGAGGGGTTAAAATGAAACCCCAGAGAGATGTGGGTGGGCTTTGGGGTTTTTTCCCTGAATTGATACAGTGCTGTACTCTCTGGTGCATTGTTGGTTAGAGCAACCTGTAGGAATTTCCCCCCCTCTTGAAGCTGGTGACTATAAAGGACCAGTTTCTTTCAGAAAAAGCAAACTGCTAGCCTGAAACATAGCAGTTTATGCAAAAAACGGGTTGTGGATGGTGACTTTTATTTTATTTTTATTTGGGGGGAAAAGAAAGGCAAATGTATTCCTTTAGTTGATGACTATGAGTTGAGACTCCTGGCAGAGGACCTGCCTTTTTCCAGTACTGTGGTCTCTAAATCTCATTCAATAGGTGTGCTACAATGCAACAGAACAGGGACTTTGCAACTTTAGGCCAGCACGCTAGTTAAAATGACAAAACCAAACAAAACCAAACACACACAACAGGGCTGTCTTTTTGGCCAGCGTGCCTTCAGGTTTCAGCGATGCTTGTTGAACAAATGGAGGCAAGAACTCCATCCACTGCAAAGGGATAACTTGCAGCTTCAATGTGGAAGACCTGTGCAGTATTTTTCTTTTTTCTTTCTTTCTTTTTTAGTCCACAAGTTTAGCATGATCCTAATGGTGACCACTTAAAAGGATAGAGTGTCTGTGTTTCTCTCTTTTGATAGCGGCAACAGGCTACTGTATAACGTCTGTGAGTGTGTATGTGTGTCTGACTGCAGTACATGCATGTGTGTTTCCTACTGGTGATACGAAACTTGCTGCTGTAAGACTGCAAAAACAAAACAGAAAAGACTGTTGCTTTGCTTTAAACAAACAGTGGAGCTTTTGTTAGTAACAACCCCAAGGGGGAAGGAAAAGAAACAAACTGAAGCAGCTGAAACTAACATTCCCTGGAGCGTTCCTGTGGAAGAGTGCAAGCCTTGGTGTGATAGAGATTTGTTTTCCCATTTCTTTAATTACGGTTGTCTGGGTCATTTATGTCATAAAATAGACTTTCAGATTTGATTGCTTGAAACCAAAATCAGTTTGAAATACGATGTAAGCCCAAATATAATGCCTTTTTTCTGATAATCCATGGACTGTGTCTCATTTTGTTTGGGGAAAGATAGAGCAGTTGAGATATATCATAATGAAAGAAGAGGGTTGGGGCTTTATTTTTTTGCACTTCAAAGTGAACTTAACTCATGTCCAGAATTATACGATTAACACGGGGTTGGTGAGAGCACATCTTTATGTTTCACTGTATAGAAGGGAGGTGTTGGTGCATCTACATTTCCATGTGAAAATGCAAATAGGAAGGCAGTCGTGCTCCTCTCCACTGACTTCCTTCAAATATCGCCCATACCACAGGTAGGGAATCTGTGCCCCTTCAGATGTTACTGGACTATAAGTCACATCATCCTTGCTCATTGGCCATTCTGGTTGGAGCTGATGGGACTTGGAGTTCAACAACATCTGGAAGGCTACAGGTTCCCCAGCCCATGACCTGCCAAGGCAAGCTGACATGCTCCCTGCAAAAGATATTAGGGTGCGCTTAAAGGGCAGCAACAATCCTGTAAAGACTCCAAGTCACCCAGTGATCTTCATGACTGAGGAGGGATCTGAACCCAAGTGAAGTTCAGATCATTCTATCCATGACATCACACATTTAGATTTTCTGCTACCCAAATATCCTGAGCCATCTCTGTCTACATAAAACCAGCAAATTATTTGAGCAGAGCACTATCCTAGTAGCTCAGGGGAAAGGTGAATATATTACTGTGCATGTTTACTGCAGACAACAGCCTACAGCAGACCAAAGCCTGATAACCACTAATATCATCACAGTAAGGGGGATGACAGCTCCTAGGAACTTAAAGTGAAATCAAACCCCTTTGTCCCGAGTCCTCAGCTCTCCTGAGTTTCAACCCCTCTCACAAAACCAACTTCTACTTCGTGGAATTAAGCTCACTTTCAGATGTGGGAAAACCTCACTCTGTATCTGCAGTCCAGTTGGCACCTTTCCGCATGCCAGATGGAGACAATGAGGCTTTAATTTGATTCTGTTCTTCAGTTGATATTTGGGTTGCTTTTGATGTTTTCAAAGCACATGCAGGAGCTGGGTGGAGCGTTGAGCACTTGCAAATTGTGGTTGGGGTTTTGAGACCCATGTTACCTTCCTGCTGGGTCAAGACACTCCTCAATAGACTTAAAACCGTAGGAACCCCACACATTTCCTTATGCTTACATCTGCAGCACAAGGATGGTTTCAGATTTTATAGAGCTAGTACATGTGTTCCAAAGCAGATTCAATATGTGCTCAAAGCTTTCCATGGGGCACAAACAGAGAAATGTCAAAGTTCCATGTTAAAACAGAAAAATGAAACTTCCTGAAACTCTCTTCATTGTGTCTTCAAATCCTGCACTATCAAACTGCGGCAAACACCAGATTCTTTGCCAAGGAAACCCACTTTTTGCACTCAAATTACATGGTGGAATTTTTTTTTAAAGGTATGTTTATAGTTCCATCAAGTTGCTGTGTTGTTCCATGTGTCAGAGCTATGACCAGGTTCCAATCCAGACCGGGGTTTGTTTTATCTAGCTGAGGTTTCCTGAGACTCAGGGGTGGGCTTAGGGTTGAGTTCTCATTTTACCAAGCAAGGATAACAAGCCACTCTCCCTGTATTTTTGCCAGGTTACTGTAGGCGTTATACTGTACGTCAATCATTGGAGCTAATGTTGCACACCCCTATATCCTTTCTGCTCCTGAAGAAGATAAAAGGGACAACAGGAAGCTGTGCAAAAGTTCCTTCCCCAGATCGTTTAGAAAATGCTACTTCCCTGTTTAAAGATATATTCCGATCATGGTTAAAGGAAGAAAAAGATCCTTAAAATCCCAGCTTTCACACAGAAGTTTTGAAATGTAGGGATCCTGTGTCTTATTACTGGCTGACTTATTTTCCATTGCATAAAAAGCCACATGCAACACACATCAGTTCTTGGTTTACAAGCCTGACTTTGGCTAATTGCCAAACTACATGCTGAGCATTTTGGCAATAGTTTTATCAGCATTTTAGTAGTAGCATGTGTTACGGAGAGCAAGTCAGACAATACCTTTATTCAGGCCAGCAAATGAAATTTTGGAAGCGATCCTGAATTGGATCAAGGCTGCAGCATCTCCCCCCCCCCCCCAGCAGCTAGCCATGTGCCTCTCTAGGGGTCGGCAAGGTTTACCTTGCCTGGGCCGGTTCACTCCAGCGGAGATCTCTCCATGGGCCGGATCGCATGCAGGCCTGCAATTTCTGGCATCTACGTTTGCGCAGACGTGGTTTTCGGTGTCTACGCAAGCGCAGGCGTGATTTCCAGCCCTGCGGAAGCAAGTCCCCATGCTGCGCTGTGCTGGTTTAGGGGCAGCTCGTGGGCTGGTTAAACGACTCCCGTGGGCTGCTTGTAGCCCATGGGCCTTAGGTTGCCGATCCCTGCTCTAGGCAGCCCTCAAGCTGGCCTTTTAATGCCAGTGCCTTCCATTGTTGCTCCCTAGCTGGTGGTGTTCGGTAGCTTATGATTGTTTATTTTGGATGGGAGGATCTCTCTGTTTCTCCTTTTTTCCAATCTTAAATTCACCTCTCTACATCTTGCAGCAATTTGTGATTTTTTAAAATAAATTAAAAAATCCCAATGAAAATTCACCAGCATTTTAGTGCAAATTTCTTGTACGCATTTGTGCAACAAGTTTCCCCAATATAATGCACAAGCTGTTCCTCTGCAGGGGGCAATATTGACTTGGAATAATTAACATCTGTGCCAATCTACAGTTTTATAGATCCATAGGAAATTAAGAAATCCAAGTTTACGGGGGTTGGAGTAGATAACCCTCTGGTCCCTTCCAACTCTACAATTGTATGATTCTATGAATATGTCTTTTCTGCACATACTCAGAGAGGTAAGTATGCTGTAGCAGCTTCCTCAGAGCCAGACTGTCAGCAAGACATTTGGAATATGAGAGGGAGAGTATTTCTTTCTGGATTTGTTTGTGATTGAAGAGCAGCTGTGCTCTGAGGGTGCATGCTTTCCCAGTTCATCTGGCAACATGCCCAGGTTGGAGGGCCCACAGGTATTTTGGTATTAATTCGCCATGCTTTATTGCTTTTGTTCTGTGTCTGCTGCAAGAAAGTAACAATCTCCTGCTTACCATTGCTTCATATGTCCCTAGGGTTATTGTGTAACTTGGTATAATTACCCAGGGAGCCAGAAGCACACGAGGACTCAGCATGGGAAGCAACGGGAGAAGTTTATTCCTATCTGAAGGAACAGTAATAAACAGATTCCCGTGAAATCGACAGACATTGCTCATTGACTTGGGTAGGTTCTCTCAGTGTTAGCAAGTTCAATTATTGCTGAAGGGGAAGCACACATTCCTGCAAATATTAAGTACTTGCTTGTGATGTAAATACATCATACAGTAGTGTCTTGGGTTAAGTACTTAATTCGTTCCGGAGGTCTGTTCTTAGCCTGAAACTGTTCTTAACCTGAAGCACCACTTTAGCTAATGGGTGCTGCCGCCGTGCCACTGGAACACAATTTCTGTTCTCATCCTGAAGCAAAGTTCTTAACCTGAAGCACTATTTCTGGGTTAGCGGAGTCTGTAACTTGAAGCGTATGTATTGTAACCTGAAGCGTATGTAACCTGAGGTACCACTGTATCTTGTAATGCTATCACCTAGCCATGGTTCTGGGCTGTCGTGAGTTTATCATCTATTAGAGTCAGCCTACGCTTTCTCTTTCTCGTTCCCTATCAGGTCCTCTGTAGGTGTGACACTGCTTCTGGAAACCATTTCAGATGTTGAATTCTCACTTCTGGCACATATTCAGGGCACTCCTCTGAAGCTGAGTGCTAAAAGGAATGGTGTTGATTTTAAATACAGTAACCCCAGGGCTGTCCATGACATTTTGCTCTCATACTGTCATGAAGAATTGTGCTTAATAAGATGTCTGTAAAGCCCTTAGCAGTAAGAATCAGTAACTCCACTTCTGGAAATTTCTGGTCTTAATTGTTCACCCTTTGGCATGAGGCACAAGGAATGCATTAACATAGTTCTAGTGAAAGGTATTGAGACTGTGAAAGTCAACCAATGTCAAAATGTGCAGACTGGAGAGTATGACATAAGGTAAAGCGTATGAAGGGAGTAAACGGACTCTTTCTCTTAATATAAGCAATAAGAGGACACTTAAAAATACAAGAAGCCAATTAAGATCATACAAACAAATTGCATTGCCCCATGCAGCAAGCGGCTTTGGAGACCAAGAGTTTGAGAAGATTCACAGAAGGAATGTGTTGGCATTGGCTAATGTTGTCAGAACCACCTGTTGTAAAGCGAAGTGATCTCTAATTATTTCAGGATGAGACCTTCCGGGGAAGATTATCCAGCATCTGTTCAGTGTATCTTTGCACCTGTCTCAATAGCAATGACCACTTTCAAACTGGGCTATAGAATTTTGATGGATCTGTGGAGATGACAAATTTCTATGCTTTTGTAATATTTCTAAATATATACTGATATAGAAAGTCTTCCCTGGAAAGTGTGTGGGGAGGGGGAGTATTTTGATATTGAAAATAGTTCTCAGTAGCACAACATTGGATAATACCCACCATATTCTTTGTAAGAGCTCCAATATGCTAAAATACTGCAATAGTATTTTTTCCCCAGGTTGCTTTGTGTGTTCAGGGATTTTCCACTTTTCCCGCTAAGTGTCATCCCAAGATAACACAGAGAAAGCCGGATTGCTTAATCGTCTTTGACATCAGTGACAGTGTAAATGGTACAGCATATATTTCTGCACAAGGTGAACATGTTTCTCTATAACTGGGCATTTGGCTGATTGAACATTCTACTGCCTTTTAAATAAGTTTGTGGGAGGGAAACTATTGGTTCATTTTTGTTCTTGTATTTTATGTTCTCATTTTGTGTTTTTATGTTGCAAAATGCCCTGTGATCTTCAGATGAAGGGCAGTATACAAATTTAAAAAATAATAATAATCTGTTTAGAGTGAAGCCTGGACAATGGCAACAGGAATATACAAAGTGGCAGTACAACCAGTGGCAGAAAGGCAGGGCATATCTCCTTTCACTCCATCCTATGTATTATTATTGACAAAGGAAAGTGTAAGGATACGTTTTCTCTAAGGGATAAGAATACTTTAGCACCTATGGACCTGCAAACAAATAGCTTACTACTACTGGTTTCCCCAAGTGGTTCCAGGATACTGCAGGGCTGTCTAATCATGATAAATCTCTTATTTTATTATATCCAGTCTCTACATGTTATAATTATTTTTGAAGCAATGCATTCTACTTTTTCCACCCAGCCAAGTAATTAAAAAAAATAAATCTTCTGTAACCTAGTATGGAAAGTGGAGAGACTTGATACTGTCATCTGGTTTTATTTCTCCTATTGTGCCCTGGTGAAGTTTTAATCTATATATATGTGCCTGCACCTATTGCAGGCTGCTAAGTATGCGCTTCAGCAAGCTGGGGCTATGGGACAGAGCCCTCAAGCTAAAATATGGGAATTTAAGCTGTGAGGCAGCTGGTGGAGATATAAATACTGATAGAAGTGATTTCAGAGGGAGTGTTTACCAGCGAATGGGAAATCCAAGGTCATTAAATCATAGGCCAAAGTGGCATCCCAGGTCTTGATATTAAATCTGGAAGGATACTTTATTTCATGTCTATTTGGATAGCGAAGGAAGAAGGCAGAATTTAGGTCGAGCAAAAGCATGCAGGCGTCAGTGAGTGACATTTTGTTAACACAAACAAAAGCTTAAAAGCAAACTGAGTTTGGCCACCTGGAAGATCATATTGGGGGTACTGAGCATTTTCCTCTTAGCTTAATCAGCAAGAGCCGCTGACCATGTTGCTTTATGTCAAAAATATTCTGTCAGAAACTGGTGACTATATCAAGAGAAGAGCAGACTGGGAAAGAGTGAAAGAATTTGCCAAAATCTGGTTTGTTTGAGCCTGTAAGGGCATTTGCAAACTGGCATAATTAACATGTGCATATCTCTCTGTCTGTCTCTCTGTCTGTCTATGTCACACACACACACATTCTCCCTCCCTCCCTCTCTCTCTCTCTGTGTGTCTAAGTGTAACCTTATTTTTGCTACAACAGCATGTTTCTTTCCAGTCTAATTTCAGTGGGAGAAGGGGAGGAAAGAAGGCCCCTGTGGGAGTATGTGTGAGTGCCTTGGTGATTTTATAGAATGGCGAGAGTGGCATGAATCTGTTTGGGAAAACTCGATGGCAGTTTTGTTCCTTACATAAAAGACACCCACTCATCCACTTCCAGTGTTATTAGACATGATCCCGGTTATGAAACTCATGACTGGTGCTCACTAAAAACTTGCTCACTGAAAGGAAGCATAAGGACTAACAAGGACACCTTTTCAGAATGGTGGGTTTCTTTTCTTAACTTTGTAGGCCCAAAAACCTCGTACACTAGACTGTGCTGTTAGGAGTCCTCGATCAATAGATCTCACACCTTACCAAGGCAAATAGCTATTAACTGTGGTACGCTCTGAGCTCTTCCTTGCAGTCCTTCCAAGACACACACACACACACACACACACACACACACACACACAGAGAGAGAGAGAGAGAGAGAGAGAGAGACCTGAACCAGGAACTTCCCTCACAAAGATTGCATGGTTTGAGATTGATTTTTATTTTGCAACAGCCAGTGCTTAGAGCGATCTCCATCTTGTGGCAATTGTAGAGAATTTATTCTCTTTCTACTCCTTATTTCACTGTGTTGAGCTTTTCTTAAGCACTCTCTCTTGCTTAACTATTTTCCTTACTATGTGCACTTGAAAAATAAAAGAAAATTTAGAGCTTGGGGTTGTTGTTTTTAAGTCAATCCACCATGAGCATGGTGCTCATTTATATACCATGCATGGTGCACCTTGATAGACTAGCAATTTGAACCAGAGAAGTTAGCCATCGCATTAACAGGTCCTCAGTCTGGTGGACTCCTTCTATATAGCACTACAAGGCTGCATCCACATCACACATTTAAAGTCTTTGCTTCGTAAGAGTTTTTTTTTAACCCCAGGTATCTGCAAATACTATTTGGAAATTTAAGAACTTTATTAGCGGGAGGAACCTAGCAAGCCAATAATGCACAATGTTGAAGTAGAAAATGTGTTAAAATGCAAGAAGCTTACCATCCTGGCTTAGGCATTTCAAGGGAAATTGTGATTTTCTATATTGAAGATACTTTCCAAGAAGAGGGCAGTTTATTATTAAAATGCATCTTTAGTCAAGAAGAACACACTAGTTGTTGGAAAAATAAATTCACACTAGAAACCAGAAAGTTTTTTTTTACTAATGGCCCAAGCTATCGGAACACAATGAATATGCTCAGTTATCCTTCACATCAAGTCTGGGATGATCTTCTAAAATAAGTATGTTAGACCTGAAATAGGAAACATGTGGCCCTCCAAATGTTGTTTGATTGCAGATCCCACCATCCATAACCATTGGCCAAGCTGGTTGGGTTTGACACCTGGAGGTTCACAGGTTTCTCATCCTGCCTTAGATAGCTATAATGGCTTCCATCTCATAATTATAGGAGTGCTCACTTTAAAAAGTAACACAATGCCAGCATTCTTACAAATGAATGTTTTGAATGGCTATTGATCTTAAGCAGCAAAAAGGGGGATATAAAAATGGGTGTGAGGTCAGCCTCCCGATGCTGTGTAGCAGATCATCTTAACTGGCTGAAGGTACTGAAATAAGCCCAGAACAACTTTTTTTTTGTCCTCAACACATTGTAGCCTTGATCTCCTCAGGCAAGCCTTGTTTCCCAAGCAGCCCTGATCTGTTCTGGTTCAGGATAAAGGATAATAAAGATCCTACTGAATTATAGCACATCCCTAATCCTATAATGGAACTTCCTTCTGGTAAACAGAGTTAGGATTGGAGCTTTTGATGTTCCTAGAATTCTTGACAGTGATTCTGGCAGGTGCAGATAGTCTGTATGTTGCTTTGGCAAGGCTCTGTGTTTATTTTCTGTCAAATGCCTAACAAAAAAATATTGTACCAGTTTCTGAGAACCTGCTGCATGGTACAAATTTTCATCTTTCTCTGAAGGAGATTCTCTGAAGGAACAAGGTAAAGCTGCAAGGTAAAGCTACACAAATTGACTGGATAGCTCAGTCAGTGAAACATGAGACGCTTAATCTCAGGGTCATAGGTTTGAGCCCCACACTGGGTGAAAGGTTCCTGCATTGCAGGGGGTTGGACTAGATGGTCCTCGTGGTCCCTTCCAATTCTACAATTATATTCTATTGACTTACTGCCTTGCACAAGTAATTTCCAGCTTTTCTAACGTAAGGACTAGTTTCTCTTATTTCTCTTTTACACCAAATAAGGAGGCAGTGTGATGTAGTGGTTAGTGTTGGAGACCAGGGTTCATACCCCCCATTCGACCATGAAGCTCATGAGGTGACCTTGGGCCAGTCACTGTCTACTGTGTTTTCAGAGATGAGGGTTCTGCCATCATTATCCTTCTGTTTCCCAGCAGGCTTTGGTGCAAACTGACACCTGCACAACAGGCCAAAAAAACCCCATTTGAATGTCTGCTACCTCCTCTCCCCTTTCTATTTTAAGACTTGGACCAGATAGAGAAAACATGTCTTCAGCATCACCCATAAGCTACTTTTTCCTCTCCTCACTGCTGTTTACCATCTAGCCTGATTTAGAGTTCTTAGGAACTCAAAAGCTTGCACATTATTTTGTGATACTTTGGTATTTTGGAATTTCTCATTTTTGGAATCTTTTAATACTGCAACTGCAGCTGAGTGACTTGTATCATAATCTTGAGGAACTGTTGTAAATATGTGTGAGCTGGTGCCATCTAGCGAGCTCCCCAGTATATGCAAACTGTTATCAAGGCAGGTAACGTGCAGAAGAGTTGCTGAAACAGCCAGACTGATGCTCATTCATCCTGGCCATGTTGACTAATTGCGGTAGACTATGGATGCTCATTCTGTTGAAATGTGCTTCCTGTTGAAAGATGAACAACACCTTTGTTCGGATGCTCATCTGAATGTGGGTATTGTCCACCTCCCCTGTACTGCTTTCAGTGGGATGTGCATACAGTTGTGGGTCTTCATCCACATTCTGCTTCAACCAGTCCTGCAACTGCATACATGTATAGCTGGCCTGGGAGAGGGGAATGCTAATAGGCAACTAAACCAGGATGGCAAAATAGGAAGTTGACTGGGTAAGGGTGGTGGTCCTTTCTCTCCTGCCTCTTCACATTGAAGGCAGTGTGACGGTTTTGTCTGCCTCCAGTAATGTCACTGTGTAGCCAAATTTGATCAGTTTTGGAACTCCCGCCCATCAGAGAGACATTTGTTGTCCTGGATGACGTCTTTTCCACATCAGTTAAAGCCTTCATCTGGCCTTTGGGGACTGACGAGATGGTAGGATGGTTCCTATTCGGTGTGACTTCTGTTATTGGTGCTATTTTGTATACTGTGAGTTCAAATAATATAAAACAATCTCTAGCTTCTCTGCACACTTGCACCTTTTACCTTTTGCTTTTATGACCAGGACAAATGTACATGCTCTCTACTTCAGTGAAATGTGACATCAATTGCTGAGGGATATGTTTTAATTCAGCCAGAATCCATAATACATGGTAAATGTGAAGCAAAGATGGTAAAATATGCACACAAGTTCATCCATGCATACAAGGAATATGGAGAACAGGGTCTATAGGTCTAGTGGCAAATATACTAATAGAGGAATCAACCAACCAAGAAAGCAATTGTGATTGTAGTTCTATAAACCTTTCAGTAACTTTGTAAAATTAGACAACATCAACATGGAGTACGTCATGTTGAATATGGTGATCTTTGCTTCGAAGCAATCTGAGCATAGGAGTATAGCAAATATTCCCTTCTGAAATAGCCGAAGCTTCCTAATTTACTAGTTGTTATATTTTAATCATTTTTAGCTAAGTTATGCTGCCATTCTATTGGAAGAACTTTCCAGTGTGGTTTGTTCCCAGGTAAATAGTGTAGGATTGTTGCTTTTAGCGAGAAAGCTTAGCATTTTTAAAAAGCAAAATTTGTTTGTGTTAATAAAACCTAGGACAACTTTATTGAATCATATTTATTGAATAATTATCACCCCCCCTCAATTTAGAGTCCCTGCTGCAAATGGTATGCAAACTAACCATGTTTAATCAGAAGCTTAATGGGGTTCACACCCTGTCAACCTTTGGCTGAATAAGCAGTCCCCAAATCAGATTTATATATTCCAAAATAAGTAATAAAAATAAAACCCTTTTAGTATTTTTGGGGAGAATATTCATTTTTATTGCCGAGATTCTCCCCATTAATGATAATTGCATTCTGCTTCATCTATCTAAGTCTTTTTTAATTTCTTTCCAAGTCCTCACATAATTATCTATATAGATGTTATGATTATTTACCTATAGCCACACTCCTAAGTACTTCGCTTTTTTCTCTTATTTTTCAGCTGGTAATTTTCCCTAATTTCTTCTAATGCTATTCTTATTGCAAATGACCCCAATACTTAACAATACACGATGTCTGAAAAATTGGTGAAAAGATCTGTCTAAGTTTATCTGGAGGGGGAAGAAACCTAGGATAAAACATACGGTCCTTATCAACATAGAAGACAGAGGAGGTTTTGCACTCCCTGACTTAGAATTGAATTTTGAAGCTCCCTACCTGTGTTGAATTAAAGACTGGGTATTGCTAGAAAATAGGGACGCGGGTGGCGCTGTGGGTTAAACCACAGAGCCTAGGACTTGCCGACCAGAAGGTCGGCAGTTTGAATCCCCGCGACTTGGTGAGCTCCCGTTGCTTGGTCCCTGCTCCTGCCAACCTAGCAGTTCGAAAGCATGTCAAAGTGCAAGTAGATAAATAGGTACCGCTCCGGCGGGAAGGTAAACGGTGTTTCCGTGTGCTGCTCTGGTTCTCCAGAAGCGGCTTAGTCATGCTGGCCACATGACCCGGAAGCTGTACGCTGGCTCCCTCGGCCAATAAAGCGAGATGAGCGCCGCAACCCCAGAGTTGTTCACAACTGGACCTAATGGTCAGGGGTTCCTTTACCTTTATCTCTAGAAAATACATAGTTGCTAAACTTGGAGGGCCATGATGTCAAATACGGCTGGCATTTGGTACGGCAAAGCTGGAATATGTAAAAGCTTCACCAATCATGTTATTAGAAAAAAATTAGTATGGCAAAAATACAAAAAATTGTTAGAAAACGAAACACCAAAGTGATTACTCCCAGTAGAAGCTGAGACAAGGGGGGGAAATTAATATGAGTGACAGCTGGGGTACCAATAATGAATTGCTAGACATCTCAGAAGGAGAACCAAAAATAAGGGGGAAAATGAAGAGATTAAAGGGTATGTGTTGGACTGGCTAAATTATCACCAAATCAATTCAAAATCTAAGGTAGATAAGAAATTGGGATTCTCAGAATAACCATCAAAATTTGAAAAAGAAATATTAAAATTTAGAGTTAAAAATTTATCTAAAATGTATAGGATATTACTTGATTGGGAAACGAAAGAAGAATTGGTAAAATCATCTGTGATCAAATGGGCACAAGATGTGGGTCATAATAGTGATTTGAACCTGTGGGAACAATTGTGGAAAACAAACTTAAAATTCACTGCTAGTTGTGCATTAAAAAAGAACTACAGTGGTACCTCTGGTTACGTACTTAATTCGTTCCAGAGGTCCGTTCTTAACCTGAAACTGTTCTTAACCTGAAGCACCACTTTAGCTAATGGGGCCTCCCGCTGCCGCCATGCGGCCACGGCTGCACGATTTCTGTTCTCATCCTGAAGCAAAGTTCTTAACCCGAGGTACTATTTCTGGGTTAGCGGAGTCTGTAACCTGAAGCGTATGTAACCTGAGGTACCACTGTATAAGAATTTAAAAGAAGACTGGACATTATATATAGATTATATGGAAAAATATTATAACAAGAAAATAATCGTAACAGGCTGACAAAAAACACTCAGCAGTAGATGTTACAACATGGGATAATATAAGGTACTGAAAACAACTTAGTAGAGTAAGAAAACGCAGTTGATAAGATAGCACTTAGGAAACCATGGAAAGAGTGGAAGGGGAGTAAAAACTAAGGTTTATAAGAGTCAAATAAACTGAAGGAATAAGCTATGTTACCATTATTATTCATATATATGTGTTGTATATATATGTTTGTTTTTCCCCCAATTGTCCTGTGTCTGACTGTAACACAGTATGCATTGATGATATGATAAAACAGAAAAGCAAATTGAAAAAAGAAAAAACCCTTTTGGCAGTTGTACTGAGCATAACACCAGGTGGAAAGTCAAAAATATGTGGGTGGAAGAAAAGCTGTATATGAGAGAAATAGGATGTAGGTAACTAAACTCAATGGTATTTCTAGAGGGAGGATATAGTGGGGTAGAAGTAAGCTGTACCAAATTAGGAAGTGGGTGAAATTAGTTTCTGGCTTCTTCTCTGTAGTGATACAAGTGAATAGCCCTATAAATCTGAGGAAGCCCTATCCTTGTAGCAGAAGGCTTTTACTGCAAGAATGGATAACATGTGGCCTTCCAGATATTGTTAGACTTCAACTCCCATCAGTCACCCCCAGAATGGCCAATGATTAGGGATGGGGCTTATAGTCTATCAACATCCAGAAGACACAGTTTCGTTAACTCTCCTGTACTGCATAGGCCTCAGTTTTGAACAAATACATGGTGTGAACAGACTCCAGCTGAGGTATGAGGCCGTTGCTCTTCTCACCCACTGTAAAGCCAGCTGATTAGACCTCCCTAACTATACCCTGGCTTTAAATGAGAGCTATGTTTCTTCCTTGAAGTAACCCCCTTATAATTTGATGTTATATCCACAGCTTCTGCCTGAGCTCCCCCTAGATAAGAACCAACCAGTTTCACTATTCTTCCGACACACTTCCTAAAGCTATTTTAATCCCGTCATTGGACAGCTAATGTTCTCCCCTCTCTACAGAAAGTACTAGGACATAAAATGGGTTGCGTTCAAGGTTGTGGATTTTTTGCTGCTGTCCATAGGTACTGGCAAGCAACAGAGACATCACAGTATTCCCATCTGCCTCTGGTGCTCATAGTTAAGTTACATAAGACCCATGACAATGGTTTTGCAGCGCTCTGTCCTTGTTTTATGCATGCTCTTCTCAAACCAGGGCTTTCCCTAATTTGTTGTGCTAGTGCTTTGGCTGGTGTCAGTTGATTTCCTAACTAATCATGACCAGATCTTTCAGCACAAGCATTTGAGGATCCTGTGCTAACGTCAATGGCGGCACCAAAAAATAAGAATGGGAGGACACAGAAGGGACAAAGTTCATATCTAAATGGGTGAGCTGTGTTCCACAGGTTAAGATCACTGAAATAAAATTAACAGTATAGGTTAATGACAGGAGTCCAGCAGTGGGAGACAAATGGGGTGACCTCTTTGTTTAGAGACACTTCAGAGTTGTCACTGCTCTGCCATGCAAACACTGCATTCTCAGTTATTCCATTGGAGTCTGAGGGAGAGATGGAAGAAGATGCAACTTTTGATGTCAAAAAAGTTTCTTATGAACTGTGGTGTCCTTTCTGCCTTTGTCCAATGTGCCTAATATATTCTATTATGTAGATAGTGGCTCGTGTCCTTGACCAAGCAGTTTACTTCCCCTTCTTGACACACTTATCCAGAAAAACTTTTACTGAACCAGCTGAAGTAATTTTTGGTCTCTTTCCATTTAGGGAGGCTGTCTGAGAGCCAAATAACGTCACTCCTCTCTTACTTTGGCCTTCCAAGCTTCCCGCAGTGTGGCCTTCACTTTGAAATTTGGTACTTGAAGCACAACTCCAAATTTCCCCTCTGGTTCAGGCAATGTGTGGCCTTGAGGGACGCTGAGTGTGAATCTCTGCAAGGTCCACGCTATAAAGAGGAACAGCTCCATCTTGGCCAGTACTTCTCCCAAACAAACCCGGATACCAGCTCCAAAGGGAAGATAACTGGGTGAGGGAGAGGCGATTCTCTTCCCATCCTTATCCAGGAAACGTCCTGTGTGGGAGGAAGAACACACATAAACATATCCCTAGGAAACATAAATAAAACATAAACTGATACCATACAAGAACTTGGCTGGAATATCTCTATAGACCAGATGAAGGGAAACTTTGACCCTCCAGATGTTGCTGAGTTACAACTCCCATCATCCCTGGTCCTTGGCCATGCTTGGTGAGGCTGATGGGAGTTGTAGTTCCTATGCTACCAGATCATGTTCATGGTTCTTGTATTCTTTAATGAGCCCCTTAACAAGTTGAGTCCAGGACACCTCGTACCTGATCCCTTATATCCCTGCTCAGGCACTAGGGCCTTTTTGGGGGAGTCACTATTAGTGGTTCCTCATGGCTCAGATGCATGGCTCGTACATTCAGTACTGTGGGCCCAGTTTTGTGGCACTCCTGTCTTCCTGTTGCACTTTTGGCACCTACCGAAGACTTTTTTAATTATTCCAGCAGGCTTTCTGAATGAATTCTGATTTTATTGTTTTAACTCATTTTTAGTCTTATTATAATGCTCCTCCAGTATTGCTGTGATCAAGCAGTATACACAGTGTTGAAATAAACAAATATTTGGAGGGCCGAAGGCTCTTCACATCTGCTACAGACCCTTCCCAAATGTGCCTGTGGACAGTAATTCTATAACGCAGGACCAGGGAGTCCCCCACACCTACCAGCCCCCTGTCCCCCCTGAAACAGTACTTCTGTCTTGTCAGGGTTCAACCTCAATCTGTTAGCTGCCATCTATCCTCCAACTGCCTCCAGACACTCACACAGGACATTCACCACCATCACTGGTTCTGATTTAAAAGAGAGGTAGAGCTGGGTGTCATCTGCATACTGATGAACACCCAGTCCAAACCCCCTGATGATCTCTCCAGCGGCTTCATATAGATGTTAAAAAGCTTGGGGGAGAGGATAGAGTCCTGAGGTACCCCACAAGTGAGAGCCCAGAGGTTTGAACACTCATCCCCCAATACAGTGGTGCCTCGCAAGACGAAATTAATCCGTTCCGCGAGAGTCTTCATCTAGCGGTTTTTTCGTCTTGCGAAGCAAGCCCATTGACGGATTAGCGCTATTAGCGCTATTAGCGGTTTAGCGGCTATTAAAGGCTTAAAGGCTTAGGGGATTAGCTGCTAAAAGGCTATTAAAGGCTATTAAAGGCTTAGCAGATTAGATAAAGGGGGGGGGGAAGCGGAAAAAAAATCTCTAGACTCGCAAGACATTTTCGTCTTGCGAAGCAAGCCCATAGGGGAATTCGTCCTGCGAAGCAACTCCAAAACGGAAAACCCTTTCGTCTAGCGGTTTTTCCGTCTTGCGAGGCATTCGTCTTGCGGGGCACCACTGTACCACTTTCTGGGCACAGCCCAGGAGGAAGGAGCAGAACCACTGTATGACAGTGCCCCCAGCTCCAGAAGGATGTCATGGTTGATGGTATCAAAGGCTGCTGAGAGATCCAGCAAAACTAGGAAACAGCTTTCACCTTTGTCCCTAGCCCGCCAGAGATGTGACCAAGTCAGTTTCAGTTACTGGGCTGGAAAAGGAATAGAAAAAGTGTGTTGAAAATCCACCCTGCCCAGACAAAAAGGGAATTTAAGCAGCGCGTGCGCGCACGCACACACACACACACACACACACACACATGCCAGGAGGCAATGTGGCAGACTCACCTGGATTAAATTCCCCTGGCTTGTCCCACTCTTTCTCATCATGGTGAATGGACCACAGGTTAATCACAACGTGAGCTCCCTTAGGAATGTCGTATTTCCCAATGCTGCAGAAAGACAAAGGCCATCAGTGGCTTCCTCTTAAAAAGGTAAAGGTAAAGGACTCCTGACAGTTAAGTCCAGTCGTGAACGACTGGAGTTGTGGCGCTCATCTCGCATTACTGGCCGAGGGAGCCGACATTTGTCCGCAGACAGTTTTTCCGGGTCATGTGGCAAGCATGACTAAGCTGCTTCTGGTGAAACCAGAGCAGCGCACAGAAACACCATTTACCTTCCCGCTGGAGCGGTACCTATTTATCTACTTGCACTTTGACGTGCTTTCGAACTGCTAGGTGGGCAGGAGTGGGGACTGAGCAATGGGAGCTCACCCCGTCGCGGGGATTTGAACCTCCGACCTTCCGATCGGCAAGCCCTAGGCTCAGTGGTTTAGACCACAGCATCACCTGCTTCCTCTTATGTTTCCTTCCGCACCTCAGCTTTGCAGCAGATCTCACTTTTGGAAATGGACTTTACCTTGTATCTGCCAGTGCCTCGTGTGGGATAAGGAGTGGAGCTACAGGCCGGATGCGCAGAGTTTCACTAATGGTAGCGTCCAAATAAGGCAAGTGCTGCCGGTCATCAAGCTGAGGAAATCTGTTAAAGCCAAGTTTCTGATCCAGTTCCTCTTGGATCTTTTGCTGCACCTGGGAAGTGTGGAAGAGTTAGACAAATCAGACTCAGCAGTGGAAAGAAAGCTACTGCCTCTTGATGTACTTTTGAAATAGGGCTTCATGTATTAATTCCTTTGCTCACACAGTAGGTGTGAGAAACTACACCGCTAGTGGATAACAGCTTTTCCACTTCCCATTTACCAAGACCTCCTGTGCTTACAGAGGAGTGCGGGAAGCTATGGTATTGCTTGTTTGGGGAGGGCTGGAACATAAGGGAGCCATTTTTAATTACTGTATGCGGTCATCAGTGTGTGGATTGGGTGATTCCCCCTCTCCATGCCTCTAAAAATGGTGCAGTTCCATGAAGAAAGGTCACTTCCAGATAGGAATGAGCAAATCTTTCAGTTTCAATTTCTCTCAGTTTCTCATTTTAAATTCAGTTCCACATCCTTTTGTGATTTCTTTTTAAAGTCCTCGTGAAAATTCATCAGCATTTTAGCACAAATTTCTCCCAATGTGTACATTTTTGTATACAATTTTGCCCAAATATACATTTTTTGCAAAGCAGTTCCTCCCCCCAAATATAATGCACTTTTCTGTGTTTTTTTAACTAATACATGCATTTATATGTATACTTTACCCTAGTATATGCACTTTTGGTACCCATTACTTGGTAGGAGAACTGCATTGCATAATTCAGCGACGTGTTAATTTTGAAGGATAGCTTTCTTTTGGTTCACATACTGTTTCCGAAAGTATGAATTAGATAAGTTCACCTTTAAATGAGAACGGCATCAAAATTCTCCCCCATCCCTATTTCCAGATGACCTATTTATTGAGCATTCATCCTGACTTGTTTGCATTAGTTGATATCAACTGTTTCATAGAATCATAGAATTGTAGGGTTGGAAGGTACCAAGAGGGTCATTTAGCCCAACTCCCTGCAATGCAGGAATCGACGTGGGGCTTGCATAGGATTGCATTTTATGCTACTCTTCTCTGTCTTGTTCACATAACACACTGTCAAGAATCCCCAGGAATTTGGGCAGGACTAGAGGAGCTGTACCTCTGGGTAGTGCAGGAGATAGAGCACAATCCACTTCAACACAGTTGTGGTCGTCTCCACACCAGCTCCAAAGATGTCAGCCACTGTCATGAGCAGGTGGTCGTCCGTCAGCTCCTGCCCAGGCAACAGATGACTGTTGTTGTTTTCCATGTTGAGTTTGGCTCTCAGTAGTACGTTTAATAAACAATTGGCAGAATCGTCATCACTGAACATTTCCTGGGTAGAAGATGAAAGCAACTGTGGGTTAAGATCGAGCGACAATTTAAGGTCTAGGCCATCATCTACCTACCCCCAACCCCCAAACAACTACTGTCATAAGTCTTTAAAAATGCCAGCTGCCAGCCACTGCCACTGTCAGACCTCCCCCAAAACACGTAAGAGGGAAATAAAATATAAAATACAAATCTTGTTTTAAAATTCTGAAGCTGTGACTATATGCCCACTAATTTGAAATAAATTCTGTTGAGATCAATATAACATTTTGGAACATGGGCAAAAGTATCATGAAATGGGCGAGTCAGTATAGATTAGGTTTTTTTTTATATATCTAATGGCTGCAGTCCTGTCCTGCAAAGCCTATTTGCTTGGAAGTAATTAACACTGTAATGGTTCAGCAGCCAGCAATTTTTTTAGGGAACATGAGGAATGTTTTATTTGTTTATTGTAAATTGAGCCTTACACTGCAAGACTCTGTCTATTGAGAAGTATGTCCCACTGAGCTCAATAGCACTTACTCTCTGGTATTGCAGCCTGATCATTCTTATTATTCTTATTCTTATTATTTATATACCACCCTATACTTGGGTGTCTCTTGGGCCAGCCCTGATCTCTGCCCATACGTTAAATAAATGAATGAATCTTAGTCACTGTGAAAAGTGACTTTGGCTTTTATGGAGGTGAGAAGCTCAGAGTAGCATTTTTTAGTTTCACAAGAAGAATAAACTTGTGAGGTAGATTAGTGCCCAAGGCTACACTGAACATTAATCAAAGCTGAGCAAGGATTTGAAACTGGCTTTCCCGCAGCTAACCCCAAAAGTATAACCACTGTCTTGACAGGAAGAACACAGTAATGCCCTGCCACACAATCCCATTGTTGATACCACTAACAGCACCTGATATTCCAGTTCTGTTATAGTGAGGGTAATATGGTTTGCCCATGAGTCTGATTGTTATTGTTGTGAACCATTCTGAGAATGACTGCGGTTCACAAATGATATATAAAATATTGCATTTCTTCTTAAATAACTGGGCTTCAAAGGACATGACAGCAAAGCATGTAGGATCTTTCTGTTCTATGTGCTCTGTCCAATTTAGCATTTCTTACTGTGCCAACATCCCCCCATCTTCCTGGTTTAGGACACCTGGTGACTGAGAGCTCCAGAACTGAGGCACCAGAACTGAGGCTTCTTCCCACTTGTGTGCCTATTGTTAAAAAGGTGGGAGAAGGTAAGACGTAGAGTCTTGAAGCAGGATCCTTCTTTATGCACACATCTTTCTCTCCTTCCCTTTTCTCTCATCATCCAAAATTGTGTTCTAATTGTGATTCATATTGGAGTACCATTTTCATCTTTGCTATGATGCTCATTGCTTTTATCCACAGATCCTTTCATCTCCATGAAACAGCTTTCTCTCTTTTGCTGGGTTTGCTACTCTATGCATCTCTTTACCCTGGCTTTTGAGACTTGAGGTGCATATTTTTAGGACCCACCTTACTTCTGTGTGTGTAAGTTATTTTTAAGTGTTTTTAATATTGTGTTTTAATTGTTGTAACCCACCCTGGGACCTTAGGGTGAAGAACAGGTAATTAATAACAATAATATTAAGTGTATTCTACTTACTTTATGTTTTGCAAACTTCTGCTGTAGGAGCTGATCTCTTGCTTCCACACACTTCCTCAGCAGTACCAGGTCTTTATTGGGAAAGAACTGGAGAAAGAAACAACCATAATGACAATTCTTTTCCTGTCTGCAGAAAATAATCCCCTCTCCAGAACTCCTGTGTTAATCCCTGCCACTAAGGGTTATGTAGCAGACAGATCTGTTCCGTGTAATGTAGACTGTGATCTGACTAGATGCTTCTGGCATCCTGCACATGCCTCAAAATCCCTGTACAGTGGTACCTCGGGTTACATATGCTTCAGGTTACAGACTCTGCTAACCCAAAAATATTACCTCGGGTTAAGAACTTTGCTTCAGGATGAGAACAGAAATCGTGCAGCGGCGGCGCAGCGACAGCAGGAGGCCCCATTAGCTGAAGTGGTGCTTCAGGTTAAGAACAGTTTCAGGTTAAGAACAAACCTCCAGAACGAACTAAGTACTTAACCTGAGGTACCACTGTATAACTTAGTATGATTTCTCTTCCAGTAAAACCTTATGGGTCTCTATTCTGACTTTCTATACGCTGCAAAGATTGACATGATGTGCATGCACATGGAAGTACAGAATATCTGCATCAAATATATCCTATTGAAACAAGTAACTATGGATTTTGCCCAGTCAAAGAACACATTCTGTTCAATGAACACAAAGTGATTTTTCCCCTCCCTCACATAGAATTCTAGGTTAGCTGATCTATATGCTATTGCCCACTCGAATAACTGTATCTATCATCTATCTATGTATCATCTATCATCTATCTATCTATCTATCTATCTATCTATCTATCTATCTATCTATCTATCGTGTCTATCTATCTATCTATCATCTATCGTATCTATCTATCTATCACTCTATCTATCTATCTATCTATCTATCTATCTATCACTCTATCTATCTATCTATCTATCTATCTATCTATCTATCTATCCTAAAAGAGTACCTAACCCTCTCTCCTCAACCTCTCTTAATGAAGAATGGCAAATCAGGTGAAAATGTGTTATTTAGTTGCTAGCCCTTCCCACCAGCTCTCACCTGAAGCCAAGGGAAGATATCCAACATGCTCTCCTTGGCTACAGTATCCACAATGCCTTGGCTATATTGGAGCATGGACTCAAACTCAGGGTCTCCACGCTGGTATGATGAGTTAAAGCAGATGGTGCACACCACATTAGTAACAGCACGTGCCAGTTCAGGTGCCATGTCCAGGGGCGAATCCTGTTTAGCACTCAGAAGTTCACACAAAGTAGCTGCTTCTTGACAGACTAAAAGAAGAGATGCATGAAGGGATGTTAAAACTTTTAGGAGCTAGAAGAAGGTGGTTATGAATAAAGATGAAAGGATGAAACTGAGGGACACTAGCAACCCAGATTTGGAGATGGAGCAACTTTGAAATAGACAGGGTAATCCAGCAGATAAGAATGCTGGTTCCACATTGGGAGACAAGGGTTCAAAGCCAGTTCCTCCACAAACTTGCTAATGGCTTTGTCGGGAGGTCATTATCTTTCTGAAGTGACTATATTACTTCCCATATTAAGAATCCTTGCTGTCTGGGTAGCTATTCCATTGTTCCTGTCATTCACAGTATAATTTGAGATCTTGTCTATTCTTGTTTTACTTTTTTTTTTTTAACAGATAGAGACTGATAAAGAGTATTTCTTTGGCCACACTGCAAGTAAGTTCTGACCACTACCACTAAGTGACAGTAAAGGACAAAACAAGACAATGCCTTGTACTAAGAATTTTGTACAGTCTCCTTCCTGCTCCCCTTTCCTCCCATATGATACTTCCAATCTGATGCAGGCTGAGAAAATTAACTCCTATACGTATAGAAGACAATCAGAATCACAGCTGCTCCTCCCTGCAAAGAGTTTTCTTTTTAATTGACCCCAAAGATTGGCTGCAATATATTAGGGGGACATGCCTAGATGGGATATGTTCCAGTACATTATATCTAATTTTCTTTGTCCCAGTAATCATGTGTTTCCTATAGTTATTCAACTGGGACATCCTGCTTTATATATTTATTTTGTGTTGCTCTTTGAGATTATTTGTATTCTGTTAGACCTTTTCACATTATATAATACAGTTTTGTTTTTGTTTTTAAAAACCATTACACTACAAATCCATGATTCACCTGAACCCCAGTAGTCTGTGTGATGAGAAGAATATATAATACTGTACAAAGAAAATATTTGTAAGGAAATCTGATTGCTACTCCTAAAGTTGCAGGTGCCTAATGCATGCCTGAAATTATTCAAAGTGTAGTTCTAGAAAGATAATGCTCCCTCCCCAAAAGAGCACGGTTGCTCCAGCATAAACCAGCATGTGGCTATAAGATGGAATTCTGTCTTTGAAAGGTTTAGGCAGCCAAACACAACTGCACCCAAACAGTGTACCAATGGTTGGAAACGGACTTAACATTCAGAGCAAGTATAGAAGTATAGAACTAGGAATGGGTGCACACTTCCTCTAGTTCTTTTTCCCCTGCACCTGCACTCCTGAATGGACACACATATAATTTAATTTGGTTGCTCTGTGGTGGACTTTCACATTGCTTTATTTTTCAGGTACTTGAATTTATCTGCTTAAAAAATTGTTTGAAACTCCTTTTAAAAAACATTTTTGCACATAACTATCATTTTTCTATTTCAATATCGGTTCTGAGAAGGCAGGTAAGGAGGTGGTTTCAAGAGTGATGCGAGCACCAGCTGATCAGTGAGTGATGGCATACATGCAGTTTCAGCTGCAACCTGGAAAAACAGATTCCTCCCTAAGCTCAACCTGGGGTTTGTGGTGTGTGCCTAAATTCTGGTGATGTGTATATATGCACTCTGGCTGGAGGAGAATGAACACTGCTCTGAAAACAAATGCTTAAAGTGTTATTCAGCCAAAGAGGAGCAAATTACCCTAATGTTTTGGCCACAAGATTCATCACTAGGATCTTCTCTCCTCAGCTCCCTTCTTGGAATTCTCTTACAGCAATCCCAACATTTCCTTTGATTACTTACTGATTTTCTCCAGGGCCAGAGAACCCTTTCCAAACATGGAGAGTGCAGAATGTGCCAGCTTGCGCTGAACTTTCCAGACTGGGCTGTAATTGGCAAATGCGATGTCTTTCCCATTTCGAGTCAGCAAGTCTGTTGTCACCTTGAATCAACGAAGAAGAAAACTTAACAGCATTGTAGTTTTATTTTACTTGGAAGGAGGAAAAACACAAACAACTATTTTCATCAGATTCATTCTTCTGCATTTGATTAAAATTTACTTTTTAAAGCCACTTCAGACCGAAAAGTTATTCACAATATCACTGATACAGGTTTGTTATTCCCTAATTATTATGGCTTAAAATGGGCAAAAATATGCAAACCAGTTTTGTATGTCAAAAGCCTATTTTCTCCCAGAAGTGTTCTCTTTTTACAGAAGAGATGATGTTCCTTGATCCTGGAATTAAAACAGATTTTGGCTGCAGTCCTACACTTGGCTGTAAGTAAGCTCTAGTGAATGTAATAGAACTTACTTCTGAATACAGTGGTACCTTGGTCTACGAACTTAATCCGTTCCAGAAGTCCGTTCTGGAACCAAAACCATTCTTAAACCGAGGCGCACTTTCCCTAATGAGGCCCCCGCCGCCAGTGCCCTTCCACCATTTGGCTTCTGTTCGTACACCGAGGTAAAGTTCGTAAACCAGAACACTACTTCCGGTTTTGTGGAGCTCTTATACTGAATAGTTTGTAAACAGGGCTGTTCTTAAACCAAGGTACCACTGTAGACATAATACTGCAACATTAGTGCCTTTTCATCTGTATATTAGGGAACCTGCATTCATTCTGAAGAGGTATGAGGGTGTAATTTAAGAGGTGCAGCAATTCATTTATTTATTAAAATTATTTTATTGAATTGTTAAAAAATGCTACCTTAACAAGAAAATGAAGAATCAAACACTTTCTGGTTTACATTTCTGATTCTTTGTTTTCTTTATTTTCGTTACGCTGCACTTTTTTTTTTTTAAGCAAAGCAGAAGGTGCAGGAATTTATCTGGGTCATAAAACTGGGAAATTCTTTGAAAGGTTATTAAATGTTGCATATTACTCAGAGGCCAAGACCAATAATTCCTAAAGCACCTCTGGAACCATTCCAGCGCTGCAGATCTTACAATCAGCCTTGTTTTATGGCATAGTCAAGTAGTTTTGCTGTTGGATTTTGTATATATATACATCCCTCCTCAAAGTCAACATCCTAGGAGAAGAACCTAAATGATTCCTTGACATCAGAAAGGTAGGAAAACAAAATATGTGAACATGCCACTTTCTCTTAAGGCCACAAAGTATATTTGAGTAAAGAAAGGTGGAAGTACAGTGGTACCTCGGGTTACATACACTTCAGGTTACATACGCTTAGTACCTCGGGTTAAGAACTTTGCTTCAAGATGAGAACAGAAATCGTGTTCCGGCGGCACAGTGGCAGCAGGAGGCCCCATTAGCTAAAGTGGTGCTTCAGGTTAAGAACAGTTTCAGGTTAAGAATGTACCTCCGGAACAAATCCACTGTACTACCTAGAACTCAGCAAACATTAATTTATTATACTAAAGGAACCACATAGCTCATGATCCACATCTATTTATTTTAAACTGAATGAATATTTACTGTGTAATGTCTATAATGCATATAGATCATAAGCACTTAGTCATGCTATGGCTAATGTTTCAATGAAAAATAAGTATAATCTAAAATGCATGAAAGCACTTGCCTCTTCACCTCTTCTTCTTGAAAGTTCAGAAAAGTATAGGACAGGAAAGGGTTATAATCAATCAGAAACTTAACTCCTCTGAAGAAAACTGCCTATCAGAATCTGCCTCTTCCTGGCCATGCTGCTGCTCTCCAGATTTTTCTCTCTCTTTGTATTGGGTTACAAAGACAGGTTCATAGGAGTGGCAAGGCAACAGCTCAGTGGTGAAACACATGCTTTTTATGCAGAAGGTGCCAGTTTCAGTCCTTGACAGCTCTATTAGAAGGATCTTAGGTACTGGCAAGAAATCTGCCAAAGCCCTTGAGGGCTGCTGCAAATCAGAGTAGAGAATACTGTACTACAGGTATCAATAATCTTATTCAATAAACCAGTTCCAGAAATTTATAACCTGCAGTTAACTCAGCAACCCAAGTAGTAACTCTTCCTTAGGAACAAAATGGGTGATGCTTTCGTTCAAGGAGCACAGAAGCCCACTTGTATCATGCTCTGAAGAGCAAATGCATGAAGATGAAGTGTTCATAAAATTACAACAGTTTTCGCTGAGGGCAAAATGCAATGTGATAGAGCAAGCCATGACTGCTCACCTCATTTCCCATGCACAATCACTCATGTAAATTTCAGGTACATATCTTCTAGCCTAGCTCAATCCTAGTACCCTGTTCTGGGCTTGGGATAATGTTTCTGGGATGACTGAACACAAAGGAGAGGTTAGAGGATTCAGTGCTCTTCACCTGTATGTCCCTTTTCATGTTAAAACCTCCCTGTTTTCTGCTGCAGACATCAGGTCATAACTTAACAATATACAGTGGTACCTCTGGTTACGAACTTAAAAGAAGATACAGTGGACGCTCGGGTTGCGAATGTGATCCGTGCAGAATGCACATTCACAACCCGCAGCATTTGCAACCTGCAGCGGTGTGTCTGCGCACATGCGGGTTGCAATTCGGGGCTTCTGCGCATGTGCAAAGTGCAATTTAGCACTTTTGTGCATGCACAACCATTGAAACCCGGAAGTTACCCGTTCCGGTACTTCCGGGTTTTGGCGGTCTACAACCCAAAAAAACGCAACCTGAAGCGTCTGTAATCCGAGGTATGACTGTACTCTGTTGTTTCATCACCTCTTCCACTCTACCCACCAGATTTCATGGCTTAGAAATAAGGAAGACACTTGTAGTTTGCTTACCTTTTGAGGTCTGCCACCAAAGATCTTCCCTTTCTTAAGCAGCACCTCTTTGGCATGGGTATAGTCGTGGACCACTACTACATAACTGGAACCCATGTACAAGGAGTAGAGGCTGCCATACTTCTGCTGCAATCTGTGGAAAAAGAGATGGTACTGGGTATGTCCAATAAAATAAAAGAGGCTTCCGATGACTGGCAGGGATGGCAGGCATCTGGGGTAGTTTGCCTTGGGCTCCAGTTTCCCTTTTGCCATCCTCCAGAAGGATAGGAGAGCCAGCCCCAAGAGTAAGGCAGCCAGTAGAACAGTCATTGCCCCAGGTGGTTTGCGGCTTAGTCAGCAATCAAAGAACAAGAAGACAAAGGGAAGCAATGTCCCTGCAACAGCCAAATTACGGCTCTTATAACGGTTTGTAGTCACATGCTTTTACCTTGGGGGTGTGCCAGGCCTTGCTGGACAACCCATGGGAGATAGCAGTAATCTGAAGCATGAAGGCTAGCCTTGCCTCCTGCCAAAAAAAGAGAAAAGCAGTAACAAAGTGCAAAACTCTTTAGCGGATCTGAGCCAGTGCAGTGGGAAATGCATAAGTAAGGGTTATTTGGTTTAATTAAAATGTATAATCTACTTTCCCATTCTAAAAGCAGTCCTCAATATCCCCATAATACATTCCAATATGGGGTAGCCATATCGCCCCCAATTTGTTCATGAAAGACACAAATCTAAGCTGTCAAACTCAATTCTCTATGGAAGTTCTAAACTGGATAAATATCATTTAAAAAAAAAAAGGAAGTTCTAAACTGGGGTGTCTAAGGTTTCTTAATGCAAAGCAGAATTTATTAATTATCCCTCTATTGGCTGATACGTTTATGCTCACAGCTTACTTTAAAAACAACATAAAGGGCATTAAAAGGTAGCAGATCAAAAAATGCAGCATAAAAATAATTCAATAGGACCAGTTCAAAAAAGGACACAGACTGGGAAAATAAAATTACCTGATGTGGTGAAGGTATCAGAGTGGGACAGCATTCCAAGGCTGTGTGCCACCACTGAAAAGGCCCTTTCATTATGACAGGCTAGTCACGGCAATTACTAAAGCCAGAATCCAAATGTTTCACTAGTGCAAGGAGTTTTAGCTGTGTGATAGAACTTCCATACACTCTCATTTCTGCTTGTGGCTCCTGGGGATTTTAGGGGGTGGGTCATGGAAAGAAGAAAAGGTGGGAAGGTTCCACCGTGCAGATACAGTGGTACCTCGGGTTAAGAACTTAATTCTTTCTGGAGGTCCGTTCTTAACCTGAAACTGTTCTTAACCTGAAGCACCACTTTAGCTAATAGGGCCTCCCACTGCTGCCGTACCGCCGCAGCTCGATTTCTGTTCTCATCGTGAAGCAAAGTTCTTAACCCGAGGTACTATTTCTGGGTTAGCAGAGTCTGTAACCTGAAGCATCTGTAACCTAAAGCGTCTGTAACCTGAGGTACCACTGTAATGTTAGTTGCTGAAATTGCATTTCCAAGCTTGTGTCACAGGAGAGCTCAGTGAATTGTTTTGGCAACTCATATCTTGTGGCACCTTAAAGACTAACACATTTTAAATAATGGTATAAGTATAAGCTTTCAGGCACTTTACTTCATTGGATCATCCGATGAAGTGGACAATGGTCCATGAAAGCTTATGCCATAATAAATTTGTGAGTCTTTAAGATGGCACAAAATATCTTCCCCTTGAGACCAGCTTTCTATGACATCCCCATCTCCAGGTGTCAGGGTCCATTTTGACAGTTGTGAACACTGCCATCCCTTGGGGGTCACTATTTCTTGATACTTCTCAAGGTGACAGCTGAGGGATGCTGCCTTCTGAAGTAATGACAAGATCAAAGCTGAATGTTCTGAGACTCCAGATAAGTTATGCAGTTGGATACTGCTATGGCTAAGGCCGGTACTGTCATTTCCCCATATCCATTCTGCCTAATTTCCATTGCAACCTTGGAACAGTCTCAGCTGAATTTGCTTAGGCAGATAAATACAGTGGTACCTTGGGTTACATACGCTTCAGGTTACATACGCTTCAGGTTACAGACTCCGCTAACCCAGAAATAGTGCTTCAGGTTAAGAACTTTGCTTCAGGATGAGAACAGAAATCGTGCAGCGGTGGCGCAGCAGCAGCGGGAGGCTCAATTAGCTAAAGTGGTGCTTCAGGTTAAGAACAGTTTCAGGTTAAGAACGGACCTCTGGAACGAATTAAGTACTTAACCCGAGGTACCACTGTATGTAGCATTTTCATGTGTATTGTTTACTGTAGATATCTATTTCTCCCATTTAGGCTTCTTAAGTTGGCCAAAATAGCAAATGGAAGCTTGCATGAAATTGAGGATGCAGAGGTGATACCAGTAATAGTTGGTGAGGTGGGGCAGCGTTGCTCACCAGGCTTCCCAACCCTGAGTGTCACTCCCAGTTACCAGGAGGGGGAAGGATGCAGCGGCAGGGAGCTTGGTGCAGTGTGAGCATAGTGGCAGGTACATCAGATTGGTTCTGCCACTGCACTTGCCACTGCTCTTGCACTAAGCTCCTCACTTTCTCCCCTTCTTGCTGCCGGTAACGGGCAGGGATGCTTGATGTTGGGAAGACAGGTGAGCGGTGCTGCTTCTCCTGCAAGGAGAAAACTAGCCCAGCAGGGAGATTACTGGCACAGAACATTTCTCCAGGATGTGTTCATTTTCTCCTTACAGGGAGTTTTTATATGCAGGCAAAGACAAAAGTGTTGTTTCCTACCATGAAGTGCTGGCTGCAGCCCATTCTTTCACCTCAGTGTTCTACCACCTCCTTTCACTACAGGTTTAGCTGACAACTATTAATATTTTCATACAGTGTCATGTCTGCACTTGGCATTTTACAAAGAATGAGCAGAAAGGTCCCTGACCAAAGGAGCTTAAAACAGTAGTTCTTGAAGGGTGTGGTACACCACACTGGTGTGATTGTGAGTGCCTCTCTGATGTTTCTGCTTTGTCGCTTTTAATTTGATTAAACATTTGTATTTTATTGGCTGGGATTGTGATTCTGTTTTCTGTTCTCATTTATATCTGAGTATCTTGGCTGAGGGGGGGTGTGTGCGCGCGCGCGCGCAAATAAATCACTTTGTGTGAAGAAGCGGTGATCCTGAGAAATAAATAATAATGGGGAAGGGCATGTCCCCATTACTTCTTAATGTCTGACTGTGTGGGTCTGACAGACTGAGAACACAACATCCGTAAGATCGTGGTCTGGACCCTTTGGGAGAGCGGCTTCGCCGTCTTGCCTTTTCACCTGTTTTGCCCTTTCTCGCTCGCCGTCGTTGCATCCTTCACGTGAGTGACGGGCTTGTTCGGGCGGGTAACATTACCAAGATGGCGGCACCCTCAGCTGCGAGCGCCGTGGACGTTCAGACTCGATTCGGCCACTCGGTGAAGGGACTGTTGACCGAGAAGGTGACCAGCTGCGGCACGGATGTCATCGCCCTCACCAAACAGGTGTTGAAGGGTTCGCGGAGCGCCGAGGTGAGAGAGACTACGAGGCCCAGAAAGCACTGCGCTGGGGCAAAACTTTAGACCGGCAGCAGGGGAGCGCAATGCATGGTGGGATTTGTATTCTCGTTGGGATGCCGGCTGCTTTGGAACTGCTCCAGCTTCCTATCGCTTTAAGGGGTGTGTGGTGCCCTAGGCATGGGGGGAGGGGGTTGGACAGCAGCTGAGTAGTGCTTTCCATTGCACTCCTTGTTCTGGTTTTAAAAATGGGTATCGAAACGGGGATTTAAAATCAAAAGTTCTCAGCACACTTGCTGTTTCCACCTCCTTTTAAAAGCCGTAGTAGTTCTCTCCCACTAGCTGCAATAATAAAATACTGTGCTCTGCCCCGTTCGGGCTGACAGATGATTGGCAATCGAATCCTGGTCTGCCTTTCTGCAGAGAAGCCTGCAGGATTGGGCCAGCATCATCTTCTCACAGTATCTTGCCAGATGCCTGTGGGAAGTCCCCAAGCTAGACATGAGAACAACAGCCTTCTGCCCACCTGTGATTCCCAGCAACTGACAGTCTCCAAGTTGAGAAAGGGGTGGGGGTAGGGATTTGATACAAGTTGCTTGCATTTATTAAAGAACATAAGTGATGATGCTTTTGAAAAGGACAAAAGCCCTGTTGTTTTTGCCTGGGAGGGAGGATTTTGACTTTTTAACAGTCAAAATTTGTAAAATTTATTCCCTATTTTGAGGTATTACATGCAAGTGGCTGAACACATCTGCAAGATATGTTGGCCTTAAAAGCAAGAAGTTGTCAAATACAGAAGTATATCGGGGGGGTGTTTGGAAGTACTTTTTATTTATTTTTTTGCTCCCATACAGAAAACATTAAAATTCTTCCACTCATGAGAATAAGGTATAATAGAGGTTAGCCGCTCCCTGCAAGGCCCCTTCCACTTGGCCTAGTGGACGAGGCCTAGACTCACCAGCCCTACTGAAGAGGCTCCTCATGAGGCCAAAGGAACATTGCCTGGCTATTGTTTTATTGATTTAATATGCTGTAAACCGCTTTGAGATTTTTATTAAAAATATAAAGATAAATAAATAAATAAATAAATACCCTTGCAGAGAACTCCTGGCAGAATGCAAGGAGGCGGGTGCAGGACTCAGAGCAAATCTGTTGCCCCTCTCAAAGTGCCACTTGAGGCAACAGCCTCAGAGAGGTTCATGGGGGGAGACTGCATGGCATTACCTATTTTCTGGGACTCCCTGGGTTAAAACTCTGGGAGATGATTTATAACGAGGTAAAGAGAATATTTAAGGAGGCTCTACCCAAAAGACCAGAAGCTTTTCTTTTAGGGGTAACTGGGACAGATGTACACAAAAAAAAAATCTTGTATGTGAGCAAGAATACTATATGTACACAAAAAATTGTGAGATGAGGCAGTACCTACTAAAAAGGATTGGCAGTTGAAGCTGATGGAATATGCTGAATTAGCAAATTTAACTAGTAAAATTACAGAGCAAGATGAGACTTTTTTCAAGGAGGATTGGAAAATGTTTGTAGATTATTATTTTTTTATTGTAAACATGTTAAAACGCAAGCAGGATTTGACTAAGGACAGCAGAAAATGTATACTGCGAATACGGTGGAGGAGAGAAGGTATAGAATAATTATAATATGCAGCAGTACTAGGAAATTTGAGGAAACCATGGAAGGGTAGAGGGGAAGTCAGACACTAACGGAATGCTGATTGGAAAATGCTGTACAATTTGTTTTATTTTCTTTTGAAAAACATATAAATAAGAATTAGTCAGTTTATTGTGTTTTAGCAGACAGCCATTATACACATGAAAATGATAACAAAAATATTAATAATAGAGATTTACATTTCTGCTCCTTAACCTTTAAAGGATAAATCATTTCCTATAACCCCTTTAAGTTTAATAGCATGGATTTGTAGAGCCTTAGCAAGAAATTCAGATATTCTGAAAGGATATATACTTCTCTACAAGAGACAGCAAAAAACAAGTATTTGCTGGGGGTGACCTTCCCTTAGCAATGGGTGAATAGTAGCACATGAGTTGTATCTTCTATTGACACAGAGTTGCAACCACAAACTTTGTCATTCTTAGGAATTCCTTTGTGCCAGCTAATCTAGTCCTCTAGCAGAAGGACATTTAACCTTGCTTGTGTAAAGGCTACCCTCATTTTAATGTTTGGTAGGTCTACCAGATATCTTAGAAGGGATAAGTTCAATGGAATAAAGGAAGCATACAAATTAATCAATTGTCAAGTCTCGATTTCAGCTGCTCGTGATTGCATCTCAATGTCCCCAAGCCTTTGGAGCAGGGGTCAGCAAACTTTTTCAGTGGGGGGGGGGGGGCGGTCCCTCAGACCTTGTCAGCGGCCGGACTATGTTTTGAAGAAGAAGAAATGAACAAATTCCTATGCCCCACAAATAACCCAGTGATGCATTTTAAATAAAAGGACACATTCTACTCATGTAAAAGCATGCTGATTCCCGGACCGTCCGTGGGCCAGATTTAGAAGGTGATTGGGCCAGATCTGGCCCCCAGGCCTTAGTTTGCCTACCCATGCTTTGGAGTATTAATTCTTTAGCTTACTTGAAACCTTGTGTCAAAAGAAAAGAGAATTCCAAACTCATGGCAGCCGACTGCATGTTTCCATGAGTCTCAAATAATATATTTTTTTAACCCTCTGTTAAGCCTGCAATAATTCTTACATTTAGATTGCTTAAATGCTATTGAAATAGTAAGCTATGAGCAGAATTGGCACCTTTGAGGACCAGTGGAATGCTACATCACTGGCACCTAAGAACAGGAAACTTGTGTATCTTACTGTGGCTTCCATGTCTTTCAGTTCTTAGGACAAGCTGCCAGAAACATGGTGATGCAAGAGGATGCCATTCTGCACTCAGAAGATGTAAGAAATACTTGAGCTACAAAAGTGGGGACTTTGTCAGATAACTAGGTTCTTCTCTGTGAACTGCAAGACATGGGAAAAAGAGGAGGTGACTCGTAAAGTGCAGGGTTAGGAATTGAAAGGTGTTTGTTTCCCCGCCATTCCTAACATGATCTGGACTTCACCCCAGAAGCACTATAGGCTACCTGCCTTTATCATTTTCAAATAGTCTACATTAGTGTTTATGTATTTATCAGAATAAGGGACGCAGGTGGTGCTGTGGGTAAAACCTCAGCACCTAGGACTTGCCGATCGCATGGTCGGCGGTTCGAATCCCCGCGGCGGGGTGCGCTCCCGTTGCTCGGTCCCAGCGCCTGCCAACCTAGCAGTTCGAAAGCACCCCCGGGTGCAAGTAGATAAATAGGGACCGCTTACTAGCGGGAAGGTAAACGGCGTTTCCGTGTGCGGCTCTGGCTCGCCAGAGCAGCTTCGTCACGCTGGCCACGTGACCCGGAAGTGTCTGCGGACAGCGCTGGCTCCCGGCCTATAGAGTGAGATGAGCGCACAACCCTAGAGTCTGTCAAGACTAGCCCGTACGGGCAGGGGTACCTTTACCTATTTATCAGAATAGCCTTGACATTAGTATTAATGGTTAGATTTAAAGAGAATTAAACAGTCATTGGCTTATTGTTATCTATACCAAGAACGTTACCAGCTTTGAGCTAGACAAAAAAAAAATCATTCATCTCTAGTTGTTCATCTTTGAAATATGGGACTGTGGACATTGCTACATACGGTTGGCTTATATATCTGTGCATCCCCGCCCCAATAATTCCCATCTTGTGCCTTCATGATTTATGTTGGCGTTTCAGTAAGTAAGTGTATGGGGGGGGGCCTCGTTTAATTTCACTGCATACAGGTGGTGTAGTGACAATAAAGGTTTATTATTTATTATATTAATTCTTGAGCAGTATTGGCAGTCTACAGACTTCTAGGTGAGCCAGTCTATGTGGCAAGGGAGCTTGCTCAGCTTCTGTGGCTAAGAGGGGAACTCTGCTTCCTAGGAAACTTAACCAAAACTAGAAAATGCAATTACATTTTCCCATAATTTATACAGTTGCTGGTGATGAACCTTAGGCCATGGCTGGTGGCAGATGGTATGGTTGGTTACAGATGGTATGTGAGCTGTATGTTGTCCAGCCCAAGCCTGGTAGATTTTTATTTTTTATTTTAATCAAGCTTGCCAATTAGGAATCTTGCTTGTTGCTCTCAGGATTAGAATTCCAAAATTACTGAATTGAATCTGAAATCCAGTATTAAATAAAATTAAAAGGGAAGCTCCCAAATGAGTTCTAGGAGGGTGTGTCATGATCAGAACTGAAAAATTTGGAAGAATGTATGAAGTGGCTAGGTATTGAGCTGGAAAAATAAAATTGTTAAATAAAGTTAATTTCAAAAGCTTTCAGATCATTCAGAACACTAGGAGAGTGTAACACAAAATGCCATGAGTAATGATTGAGAATCATAGTGAGGGGAAATCTACCGTATTTAATATTTTCTCCTTTGCAGAGTTTAAGGAAAATGGCCATTATAACTACTCATCTGCAGTACCAGTAAGTATATGCATTGTGTACTCTTTATTTGATTGACCAGGACTATTAAAATCTCATCCCCTCTAATGTTTCCAGTGTCCAGGCTGTGATGTAACCAAAACTTCACTTACCAAACACAAAAGTGACATTTCAGCAAGCTTGGGGGAACTTCATGATTTGCAGAAGTAGAAAAACATTTTTTTTGGGGGGGGACCCTAAGGAGGAAATCTTCCCAAACATGCTTATTGTCCAATGAATGCTGTCTGACTGTTGGGGATTGTAGAATGGAACAAAAAATGCTGGAATCTTGAACAGCTACACTCCACACTGCATTATTTTGTTACTCTTGTCCTCTACTATCAGCATTCCAAGATAGCTTCTGTTATTAACTACTAAGATAAAATAGCTAAATTGATTCTTAGGTTGTTTTACCTTACACATCTCTGAGAAGCATCTAATGGCCATCATAAAAGGAATCTTCAGAAGTAGGATTTATCTTTTTGCAGCTTTACTTCACAAGCTTCTTTGCAACACTGGTAGCAATTTCAGGATGTCAGTTCAGTTCTATATATCATGGAAGTGAAGTCAATCTGATACTCGTTCATTTATTTAGCCTCCTGAAATCAGGCCGCCTTTCATCAGTTCAGAATTCAGTTCAACCTGTTTGTGTTCTTAAGCACCTTGCAGCCAGTTTCCTTATAATTTATTTTATATTGACATTTTTTTTTTCTAGGCAAGAAGCTATTCAGAAAAAGTAAGTTTGCTCTGCTTTATTTGAGTGGCTTTTACACTCCCCCTTGTTGCTACTTTTGCCTTTTCTTCTGTTCGTGTTATTTTGAATGTAAACCAAATAGGTTAGAACTATATCACCTCTGTACAAAACTGTACAAAGGTGGCACACTGCTGGTACCAAATAAATGTTAAATAATAGTGATATTGCTTGATTTTTAAAGTGTAACATAGTAAAAACAGGTAAAATGTGCGATGAAATAAATACATACATAAATAAATAATAACCCAGAGCCTTTAATTTATGAACTGCTTTTTATGAAGCATCTTGAAGCAGTTTACAATATAATAAAAGCATATATAAAACTGTTTGATATATAAAAATGGTTTTAAAAAGGTGAGTGGACCAAGAAGGCTATACTCTTTACTGTTTTGGCTTTTTCCACCATGGTTTCTGTTTCCTGCTCTACTGACCTCCATTTGTGAGAGTAAGGCTTACTACTGGTGAGCAGTCCCTGTTTAACACATTGGGACTTATTTCCAAGTAAACACCCACAGGATTGCACTTCAAAGGTTCCTCTCCTAGGTGACATCCTGATCGCTCAAGCTCAGATTCATTCTGCCAATGAGCCTCATGCTTATGGCTTTCGTTTAAATTGTCCCCATTTACACCTCATTTCTTCCTCACCCTCATTTCTCAGTCAGAAAGATGTGCAGTCCAATCCTAGACATGTTTAGTTGGAAGTAAGTCAGGACTCCCTCCAAGATAAGTATCTAGAATGTTGGATCTTTAGCTACTTGGTTGTTGATGCAATTGAATTGAGGCCTGGGTGTAAAGTGGTTTTGTTAGGTAAAAACAAACATTATTTCTATTTTTTTAAGCTGCTGCAAGAACCTTTTGGGTCAGTCAGTGGGATATTAAATGTTAACCTTTAAAATGGAAGCATCTGTTCCCTTCTTGTTGACGTAGGGTGTCCTCTAAAGGATATTTTGGGAGGGGCGATTAGTGGACTAAATCAGCAGATACCTCCCCATTTTGTCCTGAAAACCCTGGTCCATCTTTACATTGCAGAAGCAGCCCAGACTGGCCCATTTACAGTCAATATTTAATATATTGTAATATCCTTGAGTGTCTATTGAAGTCTTCCTTCTCATCTTCAGTGTTGAACAGTCTTCAAATTTGCGCGACCAACTGACTCACCTTCTGAAATGAAGAGAGACTGTTGCACGGTGTTAAAGAGCTGATAGAAACCACTGAGAAAATACATGTCTGAGGACTTATGGAGACCCTTCCTCTATTCCTTCTTCACCAAATGCACTATGGGACTGATCTCATCCCCAAATAATCTGCGAGTTTGTAATGATGCAAAGTGTACATTGCACAGTGTAGAAGATTCTGACCTGCAAATGGAGGAAACTCTTGGATTTTTTCCATCGCCAATGTTGCAGTTATAAAAAGCTGGCTATTTTAATGTATCTAATTGCAGACTGCAATCCCATGTGTGCATATTTTTAATGGATTAATTTTTCCAAGGATTTACACTTCTGGAGATCACAAATGAAATATATCTTGTTTTGTTTTAGAGTGCTTTAAAGGATGAAACTCTTCTCTGTTCAGAGCTCGGTCAGATTAATCAGTAGGCTGAAATTTTTCATGTTTCAGGGCTGAGGAATACAATCTCATGGTAGCTGGATGAGCACTAGAAAGCTGTTTGAAAAAGCTGGATGCAGGTGGTTCCCTGTGTATGGTTATTGTGCATAGGTTCAACCATCACTTTGTACTGGCATTTTGCATCCCTGAACATGAAAATCTATCTAGTTTTACTACCTAAGTAATTACAGAAAGAGTTAGAGGACTGGAATTTTTCCCTTCCCAACTTGGTCTTTGTTTAGTGGGAGCTGAGTGTGCAGAGATGAAATTTGACAGCTTGTTTAGATTTTCTTTAAAAGACTTAAGTTCATCCAATTTGCAAATAAATCAATCTATATACATCAATATATATAGCTGCCAATGGTTTCTAATTTAAGCTGCAATCCTGTGCACATTTATCTGGGAATACCGTAGTCCCCACTGAACACATGGAACTTAACTTTTGTATTAATATGCATAGGATTATACTTTAAATTTATTTTCCCTTATTTCTTAATGCAGTTTTAGCTACATGAGTGTGAGCTGTTCTGAAACTACTTGAGTTTGTGTATTTCCTTTGCAGAAAGTGTTTGAAAGAGGTCCCTTAAGTCTGTACATCTGCTGTCAGTTTTGGCCTTGGGCTACATTCCTAAGCACTCACTGCTATTACGGCTCGTGATTAAGCAGCCTTGGCTTCATTATGTAATATCCTACAGAACCAGTAATCTATTCAGATATACAGCTGCAGATGTACATGCAATATCTTATTTATACAGTGCTGTGGCTTGAACCAATTTAAAGCCCATGGGAAACAGAACTGATCTAAAATACGTATTTAAAATATATTTGCATTTCCTTTTTGTTTGTATTTTCTTCAGAGAACGGTACTCATGCTTCATTGACAAATTGCAAAAAACTGAAGGAGCGAAGTATTTTGTACACAAAATCAGGCAATATATGTTACGATTGCTGTACCTCTTCCTCTTTTTGAACAAGAACTAGTTAAATACATATTTAGTACCAGTTAAATACATATCTGTGGATAAGAGTGATCCAATCACTGTATTTGCGACATTCAGACATGAGTGCTGTTACTTATTTAGCCAAAATGATGTCACCCACTCACAAGAAGGAAATATCAGCAGGCTTGGGTTTGCAGAATACAACAATTCTTTATATGAAAAAACCCTAATGGGGGAATCCTTCCCAAACAACCCAGTGAGGACTGAGCATGCTCAGTGGCTATGGAATGCTGGGATGGAAAATGGTGTGAGAAGAGATTGAGTGGCTGGCTGCCATGAAAAGTGAACAGGAACACTCCACATTACAACAATTCATTGCAAGTCCAATTTACACTGTCTTGTATTTCCAGAGGAGTAGCCATGGTAGTTCTATGCAGCAAAGGCAACAAAAAGCCTCGCGACGCCTCGCTATCTGCAACTCAGAATAACACTTAATGATGTGATGAAGTGGAATGAGGCTCTCAAAAGCTTATCCTGTAATAATTTTTTTAGTCTGTAACTTTGATACAGTATTTGATACAGGCAAATTATTGGCCCTCATAATCTAAGCCAGCTTCCTTTTTCAAGACTGGTAGCCATGATGACTACAATGCAACAGCTACAGAAGCAGCGTGTCCATGAATACCAGCTGCTGGGAGGAAGGTGCCTTCCAGGAGTGGCAGCAGCTCTAGGGTGTCAGGCGGGGGAGATGCTAGGGATTGAATTTCGCACCTCCTGCATACAAGGCAGATGTTCTGCTTGGAAGCTTCTCAGGGGCATCTCCTTAGCTGCTGTGGGAAACAGGTCGCTGGACCAACGGACTTTGGGTCTGATCCAGGGCTAGATTTAGGTTTGATGAGGCCCTAAGCTACTGAAGGTAATGGGGCCCTTTATATGTCCAGCTGTCCTTTGTCAACAACGAATTGTTGCTGTTTTTTGTGTTGAATATATGCTATATATGGACCTATTATGGAACTAATAGGTATCTAAAGCCATTTGCACATAACAAATAGGAGCCTACACAACACAAAACACTGTTGCTGTATGTAGGTTTTATTTTATTTGTTTTTTATCTTATCTTTTGGAAATGTACATCTAGGGTTTTTTTCCCCTTTAAATTTTTTCGGGGCTCCCAAGAGAGTGGGGCCGTAAGCTATACAGTAGCTTGTTTAGCTTATACGTAAATCCGGCACTGGGGGGGGGGGGAGTTCCTAAATTTCCCAGATTCGTGAGTGGCGTGAAAACAGAACGGGGCCGCAGACTGCGAAGCAAAGCCTTCGAAGCCTCTCATTCCAGCGAGGGCTTCTCCCGCGGTCTCTCGTCCTCTTCGGAAGCCACGAGACGACCGTCTGTACGGAGGAATAGCCGCGAGGCGCCGCCTCTTGGCCCTGCGGCCTCTGTAGAAACAAGCCACATCTACTTCCTGTAACACAATCCAATCGCTCCTCCTCCAATCGTGCTCGAAGGAGCTCCGGCTGATCCTCGTTGTTCCGGCGCTTGCGTTGCCCGGGGCTTCGCTGTGGGATCCAGAGCTCGAGGCGTCGCTCTAAGTAAGCTTTGCTGCTGCTTTCTTCTCACGGGGCAGCATGGGGGCTCGTGAGTCAGCGAGGAGGAGACCCGCCTAGAGTCCGTCTTTGGGGTTGAGTTCCCCTTTGGAGAAGGGCTACATTTGGCTCTGGTAATCCGCTGCAAAGCGGAGTGTTACGTCTGCAGCTCCCCCAATAACCCGGGTGAAGTGTGTTTACACGGTGTGCTGACCTTTTCCTTTTCTTAACAGTGGCTGCGGAGCGGATATATACAGAAGTCCAGGTGAGGTAGTTTGATGCTGAGATCTTGACGTATCCTTCCTTCACCGTGATACCAATGGTCTGTTCCACATTAATGCACATTATATACACTTAATCTTGGCCTTATGATATAACATTTATATACACAATTCTTGCCCACTTAGAACGAAGCCTTTCCGTGTCTAATTTTTCTCATTCCTCGCCTCTGATCCATGGCTGCTTATCTCAGCGTTGTCGTCATATATTCTCATTCTCATAATACTGGCGACTGTGTCCAGTATTACTCAATCAGCCAATCACCTTTTTTCCAACCCCTCATGAAAACAGTGTTTAAAACAGTACAAATTACTATTGAAATGGATTTTGGGTCAAATTTCCTAGATTTTAACACTCTGATTAAATAAGCCCATTCCAAATTATCAAAGGCTTAAAGAGTCTCTAAAGACAGAACAGCCCAATGTACTTTACATTATTTGGAAATAATAAATTAAATTTAACGATTTTCTACTAAAAACAGTCATCATGAATAGAAACGTTTGTAGAGTCTGCTTAGATTATATCCTGGAGCCATCACAGAAGAGGCCTTATCTTTTGTGCCAGTTGACATATGGGATGGGGGGGGGCTCTTGGTATGGTGTTGATGAGGGTCTCCCCAAATAGGACATTACACACTGACTGTGGTGGACATTCTTCCTCTGTTGCCACAACTGTTTTGATGCAGGCAGCGTTCTCTGCCATCCACCAGGCCCTGGTCCTACTCCAGTGGCAGATGGTCAAAAGTGCTTTTAAATGGAAGCTAAGATTGGCTCCCATCCTACCTACCCTCTTTGTCCCCATGAACCAGAGCATGCCTGGGAAATTTCTTTTCAAAGCTTCTCCTTCTTAATGTCCATGGAGTTTTCATGGCAAAAATACTGGAGTGGGTTGCCAGTTCCTTCTCCAGGTGGATCACATTTAGTCTAAACTCTCGGCTATGACCTGTCCGTCTTGGGTGGCCCTGCATGGCATAGCTCATAGCTTCTTGGAGTTATTCAAGCCCCTTCGCCACGACAAGGCAGTGATCCACGAAGGGGACCTACCCTCTTAAATTACCTCAGATGCCATGCCCTGGCACATAGATCTGTCAAATCAATAAATTTGGTGCCACCCACCATGGGAAAGCACCTAGGATCCCAGCAGGGAAAGTAGTGGCCTGGCTGGGTTGAGCCAGACTTCTGGGGGACCCTGTCAAGCCCATTGGACCCTCAGCCAGTGCCTGTCTTGGCCAACTGCTGGTGCCAGACATACCTGCCTTCATCACTTGTGTTTCAACCATTCTTTATAAGCTACAAACGTGTTGTATATACCGGTAATTTCTGTTTCTCTTTTTAGGATTACTATGGCAAAGAGTTGAAGAAAAAAGAAGACCTAAAAACCAATGCCTGTTGTACTGTAGCAAGGCCTTTGCCCACATTCGCCAGAGAAGCCCTACAATGTGTGCATGAGGAGGTTTCGGCAAAGTACAGTATTGTTTTATTGAGTGAACTTTGATCTCATGAGTTACTGCCCATTGCATTATGGAAAGTGGGGAGGAGATCTAATTTCCCCCTCATCCTTATTTAACCTTTTCCCTCTACGCCATATCAAGTATAAAATCAAGCCAAAAGATTAGGGCAGGTCATTTAACTGGCAGATTAAGCAAGTAAAGCTTTTAGTTGATTAATCAGTGAGGGTGAATTCTGATCAGTCAGTGTAAAAGGTAGGCTGAATCTAAACAAAATAATAATAAAATGAGAATAATATGTGTGATTAGGGAAGAACTTGTAGATCTTGCAGTGCAATCCCATACACTGTTGCTCAGAAATAAATTCTGCTATGTTTAGTGCAATTTACTCCCTAGTAAGTGTGTTTAGGGTTGCAGCCTGTACTCATTTATGTAGGAGTAAGCCTCCTTGAACTTGATAGCGCTTTTTTGAGCAGACATGCCTGGGATTGTGCTGTTAAATTGCAAGGGTCATAGGCCAACTGTTGTTTTTCTATGTCCTTCATTATTTGTTTTAATTTGTCTGAATATGTAATAATGTGGTGACTAACCCATGCAGTGATTTAAAAACCAAACTATTCAGCAGTGGCAGACGTGTTCAAGAACAGCAGGTACCAACACAACAGTTGTATTTATCTGATGAAGTGCTCCTTGGTGAGGATTGGCTCATCTCACTGCTGATCTGGACCACCCACTTGTCTCCATCAAAATGTCTTTCACTTTCGCATTGCTTTATCCTTTGTTCCCTTAGGTATTATGGTTGTGGCCTGGTGATCCCAGAATGCCTAGAAGACTGCTGGATTTTGGATTTGGGCTGTGGGAGTGGAAGAGACTGTTATATGCTCAGTAAGATGGTTGGGGAGAATGGACATGTGACCGGGGTAGACATGACTGAATCCCAGGTAAGAGGTTGTTCTTTGCGTGCTGATTCAAGACTGTCATGTTTACCTTCAGATTGCTAAATGGAGGGCATAACTGTTGAAACTCCTTGGCATGCAGCTTCCTTCATGACCTACCTTTTTCACACAAGCTCCCATTCTGGCATCTCACCCATGTGCAACCTCCTCGTTTGCAGTCCTTAACCTAGGTGGTCACCAGCCTTTTTGCACTCCTGGACACCTTTGCTAACTAGAAAAACTCTCTTAGGCACCACACACACACAACACCTAAGCAAGACAAATACAACCTCTCAAACCTAATTTCAGTGGGGTGGGGAGACCCTTTGGGTGCTAGGGAGGTCTCTGTGGGCACCCAGGAAGGATGCTGGGAAATACTTTTACTACTATATGCAATTTGGAACATGTACAGCAAGTCCAACTGGAATGAAATCATGCGTAGACTGATATCACATCTGGGGATGGCAGGAGGATGAAGAGCAAGCTGGTATTCTGGCATAAGGAGAGTAGGTGGGATGGGTTTAATGGCAGAACATATAAGCAAAGGTATATTAAAGCTTCTCTGTGTGTGGTTAGCACTGCTTTATCCTGCACATATACTTCTGTACTGAATTTCTATCTTTTACATCCTTGCTTTCCTTCCATCAGGTGGAAGTGGCGAAGAAGCATATCGATTATCATATGAACAAATTTGGCTACCGGAAGCCCAATGTAAACTTTATCCAGGGCTACATGGAGAAACTGGGTGAAGCAGGCTTGAAGGACGAAAGCTATAACCTTGTAATGTAGGTCCTTTTTCTAGCCCCTTCCTCTGCAAGCAGATAGGCTGGAAACTGGGGGTTATATTTGAGTTTCTGGATTTAGCACTGCATGCCATATTCCACGCTGTGCTGCGATTGAGGCTTTGTGGCTATCAGTAGCACCTACGTGAAGTGTGTTTGCCCCATATGTTGCCATCATTTCAGATGTAGTCTGGAAATATTTCTGTTCACTGAGGCATTTAGAACTTGGAGGGAGGGAGGGTGTGCAGCAGCTTGGAAATGGCTGTTTATATACACAAACTTGGTTTTAGTTGTTTTAACAGTTTTGCAACATTTTTAATAACGACGTGTCATTTATGATGATGCACAGTTGCTCTGGGTTCCTTCAGGAAGAGCAGGAGAAGAGCAGGAGAACAAATAAATCAAATAAATAAGTTGGCTTTATCTCTTGTTTAGCTCCAACTGTGTGGTCAATCTGTCCCCTGATAAAAGAGCTGTCCTGCATGAAGCTTATCGAGTGTTAAAGGTAAACACTGGGCTGGTTGCATAAGGCATGTTAGGCAAATTAAGGCCAACAGGGAGGACTCTGAGTGAAAAGGAGAATTTTCTTCTGCACGTAGCTCTGCCCAGGTGTACACTAAAGAATAGGGGGAAAGTGTAATTGGAGTTGAGTGTTCAAACTCCTGGAATAGGAGAACCTATGCAGATCAGCATCTAGAAAGAAATCCCTGGAAAATCAAAGACTTTAGAGGGAAAAGATATGTCTGGTCTGCATTTGGGTTGTTTCTCCTCAATGTTCTTGAGTTTCCAGCCACTGCTGGGCCCTGTTTATAGAAACAAAGGGAGGAGGAGGATTGAATTTACCTAGTAGGAAGGGGTTGCCTCCCCAAGATTAGTTTACATGGTTGAATTGCTTTCCCTTTGAAGACACAACACATCCATAGCAAGCAACCAAACTGGCAGCAAACAGTGGCTCTCTTTTGCCTATCAAACCGTGGAAACAGTAATTATTTGTTTCCTTCTTGTTACCTGCTCTTTCAGGCAGGTGGGGAGATGTATTTCAGTGATGTCTATGCCAACTGTGACCTGCCACAGGAAACCAGGAACCATAAAGTCTTGTGGGGTGAGTGAATTATTCTCTTCTTCCCACACCCAGTTGAAAAACGGTAGCCAGCATTGCATCTTCCTGTCAGATATACCATTTTAAGATTGCTTCAAATATGTAACCCATTTTTTTTCCATAGGCCAATGTCTTTCAATACCATACAGGCCTTAGGAGTAGCAGAAATGATCAGAGCTCATTAAAACATTCCAGCTGGGCAGAAGCACTCCATGAGGGTGCAGAGCATGGCTGTGGGTGGGATACAGTCTCATGGGATACAGTCTCCCAAGGGCCTGATAGAGAGGGATGCAGGGCCATGTTCAGTTCCCAAACCTGAAGTTCTCCAGCCCAGCTCTTAACTTACGGGATCTTCTGGGTGCCCCCAGCATAGAACCAATGATCAGTTTTATGGATGAGATCCTTGGAGAAGCCTGCTGCCACATGTAAGGTTCTGTGGATTGGGGCAACAATCCTACGCTGATACTACAGAAGGGGTGGGAACCTTCAGTGTGGAGGCCAGTCTTGGCCTGTGAGATTATTTCCCCCCAAACAACTCATCAGCTGATGGCCCTTGTGGTGTCAGCTGATGGCTGGGTGGATAGGGTTAAATCCTGCATTAATTAGCTGCATGTACCTGTTCCCATGCTATCTGGAAATGATCACTTTTGTCATCCTACCATCTGTAGGTGAGTGCCTAGGGGGAGCCCTGTGGTGGAAGGATCTGTACAAAATTGCTGAGGAAGTTGGATTCTTGCCACCTCGGTTGGTTGCTGCCTCTCGAATAACCCTTGCTAACAAGGAGCTGGAAAATGCCGTGGGTAAGAGTACTATTTTTCACCCTTAGTCAGCCTCCTCGTTCGACTTTCAGTGTCATTTCAGTCTAGATTGCCCCTCCTCCTTGCACTTTTTTTTGGGGGGGGGGCAAATAAAAGCTGTTGGGAGATCAGATTGTGGCTCTCCTGCTATACATGTCATTTGGCCCTAAGTCAGGGTTAATTAATTTTAGATGCGTGAGACTTAGGGGCATGTTCCTGATGCACACCTTAGTTGCCTGGTTAAATGGTTAGCGGTATTCCTATCTTTTCTTTACTTGCATACATAGCTTCGAGGAAAGTGGGACAAGGAATAAAATTTGCTAACCTGAGAATTCTTGCTTGCAAAAATATTTTGTGAATATTTTGGTCTCTGAATCCACAGGCATGTACATCTTTGGAGGAGGGAGGAATCCAGGTTCATAAAACACAGCTAGTATTGTAGTTGACGAGAGACCCTGAAAATTACCTACCTGGCTTCCCCTCCCCATGCGTCTGGTAGCCCACATCTGAGGTGGGAATTGTACTGTGACATTGCTCAGGAGTGACACAAGCCCCTCCACTTTGATTATAGGTGACTTCCAGTTTGTTTCTGCTACTTTTCGCCTCTTCAAGATCCCCAAGGATGGGTCAGCTCAGTGGTGTGAAGCGATTTACAAAGGAGGAATTGCTGGGCATGAGAAGGAACTAGAGCTTGACATTAACTACAGGTTCAAGGTACAAGCCTGATGAGGTATTGGGGTTGAAGTGAAAGAGGGCTGTAGCCAACAGAAGGTAAATATAATAAGCCCTTGCCTATACATACCCATCTGGCCTGTTTATTGTTTGTTAATTGTGATGTGTTTTGCATTCACCCTCTTCCCCTCCTTTCTCAGCAAGGAGAAGTGGTGGATGTGGATGAGGAGACAGCAGCTATTCTACAGAACTCAAGATTTTCTAGGAAATTCCTGATCCATCCAGTGGGGCAGAAGGTCTCATCCCCAGAAGGCTATATTCCTGGGAAGCAAAAGGTTGGTCAGACCCTAAAGCAATACTAATAGAGCATTATTGTATCCTAAGTCATTTGTGGTTTTAAACACTAGCATGAGCACCTTAAATTAAACACAGAAATGAACTGGCAACCAATGCAACTGTTTTAAAGCATGGGTTGTATGAGCTCTAAATGGAACCCTGAATAGTAATCTGGTGGGTGCATTTTGGGTCTGTTGAAGTTTCTGAGTTGTCCTCAAGGACAGCACATTGCAGTAATCCAATCTGGATTAACGCCTACTGAGCCTTATGCCAGACTAGTGATTTTTACTTTACAATGAAATTATAAAAGGAAATTTCTATTCTTAGGATTGTGATAAAACTACCACACTCCTCATAAGCATGAGCTGCAGAGTTTATTTACATCTCTGCAGATTTCCAGAGTCTTTTTTTCCCATGGAAGTGTGGACTGTCAGTGGGAGTTGCAGTTCTGCAGAAATGAGATGGACTGAAAGGGAGGTTTTCACACTTCAGTAACATCTACTGTTCTCAGACCTGCCCTTTCCCCCCCGAGGTCTGCTGCAGACTTCTTCAAGTCTTGCTCCTGTAGATGAGCAAACTGTGATAGTACTAGGGAAAATGTGTTTGCCAAGCTTAGTTCATTTTGGGGCTTAATCCAAGGTGCTCACACTAGCGTGGTGCAAAGAGAAAAACAAGTGAGGGCTCTTGTATGCCATTTCTGAGCTTCAAAAGCTCCTTGTGACAATCGACACAAAATCCTGTCCCTCTGTTTGAGTTAGAGATTGAGGGTCAGTTTGGCAACCAGAAGTTTTAGCTGGCTAGCAGTGCCAGACAAAACTTGTAAATTCCTCTGCAGTGGTGTCCAAACTTTTTTCAGTGAGGGCCAGATTTGATGAAGTGAAGGGCCGTGGGGGCTGACCAAAGTTGTTGAGCTTTTTTTTAGGATTTAACCCAGGAAATAAACTGTCACAGGGGCCAGATTAACCCAAACGGCAGGCCGGATTAGGCCCCCGAAATGGACTTTGGACATGCCTGCTCTATAGTCACATCCACACCATACATTTAAAGCACATGGCTTCCCCCAAAGAATCTTGGGAACTTTAGTTTGTTAAGGGTGCTGGGAATAATAGCTCTGTAAGGGAACTACAGTTCCTGGTATTCTTTGGGGGAAAGCCATGACTCTTAAAGTGGTATAAATATGCTTTAGATGTGTAGTGTGGATACGACCTGTGTGCATGTAAATTATGTTGAAATGTGCTTCGTCCAGACTGAATAGCTATGTTGATCCTCCCAGAATTAGATTTGGGGTCTCTGGCATAAACTACAAATTGCTAAGTATCTCAGTAGATACATTCCAGCAGAGTCTGTGAAGCCATTCCAGCCTTGAAATTAACGCATAGACCGTTCAGAAAAGATGACGCGAACAAGCCCTCATTAATCTGGAGTCACACCTGTGTAATTTGCACAGTGCATGTACACTGAGACTTAAAATGATTGCCTGCAGAAAGGGAGCCCTTCTGAGCAGTGCGGCACGTTGCAGCGGCAGATGAAAGGATGACTAGTGCTTTGGATTCCCCAGGGGCTTCTCTGTACATCCAGCATGCTTAACTGAATCTTGAGCCTTACCCTCCGGCCCTGACCCTATTTTGGAGCTGGTCTATCTATAAGAAGCCTATTCCCTCCTCCCAATTCATCTGATGAAGGCAAACAGCTGTGTGTCCTAGAAAGGATAACCTTTTGCTTATTGGCGTATGGAAGAGGGAGGATGAGGGCACAAGAGGCATTTCTTAGATAAGCAGCAAAGCCCAAGGGGAGGTTTGCAGTCAGGTGCTTTAGGCTTAACTCCACTCCCAACAGAAACAACTAAGTTTGGTTTCTGTAATAAAGATTCTGTGTCATCACTGCAATGTAACCCAAGCTTATATATCACACCATAGAATTTCTAAGTCAGGATTGGATTAACCAGCAAGTCCAAAGCCAGTTCTTGGTTACTTTCCCCCAATATCCTGCCTCTTGCTGTAAGCACTGGAAAATGTATGCTTTTTTCAGTCCAAGGATTAAAATCCTGTTTTGGAAGAAACAATGCAAGGATAGACTCTGCTATGCTTAGGACAGGTTGCTCTCATGTGTGGATGAAAGGATTTAGGTCAACAAAATACCAAGGTCAGGGGCAGCCTAAGCAAGATATTTTGCTGCTTGAGGCAGAGCTGTAAATGGTGCCCCCTTCCTCACACATCAAGGTACATGTTACCCAAGGCTGGTCACATTATTTGGGCACCTGGGGCAGAAGATCCCACAAGGGCTTCTCCTTCTCCCTGGTTGTGACAATACAACAATAATATATTAAATAATTGTCAATTTCCTGCGTCACATGATACTCAGAATTAGCTGCTTTTGCCTGCAGACACACCATCCCTAATGCTAGGGCTGGTCTTGTTGCCTGTGTGTGACCTACATTGAAATCCCAAAGCTGCATGTGTTTATGGATGACATTTTAAAAATTAGGTTGTCGGTTGTGGTATTTGTGTGTGTGCGTGCACACCCACACATACCGTATTTTTCCCTCGATAACACGCACCCGACCATAACACGCATGTAGTTTTTAGAGGAGGAAAACAAGAAAAAAAATATTCTAAACGAAACAGTGGATGTATGATTTTTCTGGTTCATGCTGTGGCCACAGACATGTGATCTGATGGTGAGTTTGGGGTAGCCCAATGCAAAAATCCTGAGGATCCATGTGGATCCATGTTTGTAACCACGTTTTTGCACCACTGCGGCCCCAGGCAACAGTGGGTGCGTGATTTTTTTGGTGCAAACTGTAGCCATGGACATGCTATGTGATCTGATGGTGAATTTGGGGTGACCCAGTGCAAAAATCCTGAGGACCCATGTGGATCTGTGCTTTGTAACCACGTTTAAAGTGGGGAGGGAAGGAAAAGCACTCAAGGGACAAGGAGCATGCGTGGAGCAGGCTCTGCTTCTCTCCCTCCCTTAGCGAGCTGAAAAACTTTGCTGGAGGGACAGAGAGCCTGCTTGCTTTAAAGGAGCCTACCGGACAGGAGCCGCTTACACTAGTGTAAGCGGCTCCTGTCTGCTAGGCTCCTTTAAAGCAAGCAGGTTCTGCTTCTCTCCCTCCACCACCCCCCACCCTTAGCAAGCTGAAAATCTTCCCTGCTATTTCCAGCAAAGCGGGAGGAGAGAGATACAGAGAGCCTGCTTGCTTTAAAGGAGCCAACCGGACAGGAGCCGCTTACACTCGTGTAAGCAGCTCCTCTCCCGCTTTGCTCCTTTAAAGCAAGCAGACTCTGTTTCTCTCCCTCCCCCCCCCTCCCCGCTTAGCGAGCTGAAAATCTTTCCTGCTATTTCCAGCAAAGCGGGAGAAGAGCCGCTGAGTGGGGAGGAGAGAGACAGAGAGCCTGCTTGCTTTAAAGGACCCAACCTCTCCCCTCCCGCTTTGCTCCTTTAAAGAAGCAGGCACTCTGTCCCTCTCTCCTCCCCATTCAGCGGCTCTTCTCCCGCTGGAAACCACGGAGGAGGGAAGCATTCGCTCCGTAACATGCACGGACATTTCGCCTTACTTTCTAGGAGGAAAAAAGTGCGTGTTATGGAGCGAAAACTACAGTACTTGTTTGTTAATTATTTATTGTTTTTGTATCTTACTTTTCTCTCTAAGAAGCTCAGGGTGGTCCTCCCCCTTTTAATCCCCACAACCACCCTGTGAGGTAGGTTAGGCTAAGTGACGGTGACTGGCCCAGAGTCCCTCAATGAGCTTAATGGTCAAGTGGGGATTTGCATCCTGCTCTCCCACGTTCTAGTCCAGGGGTCCTCAAACGTTTTCAGCAGGGGGCCGGTTCACTGTCCCTCAGACCTTGTGGGGGGCTGGACTATATTTTAGAAAAAAATATGAACCGCCATGGGGGGGGGGCAGGGAGGAAGAAGAAAAAGCCGGAGCCGGGAGCCCCCTCAGTCACAGTCCCCACTGTGGGAGGAGGGCCCAAGCGCTGCCGCCGCCTCGCCGGCCACGACTTCCCGCCGGCCCCCTCGCTGCTCCCTCCCCCTTTCTTAGGCCTCGCCAATGCCACAGGCCTCAGCCTGGGCAGGGACAGCAGTTGCTGCCACTGCAGAACCTGCCCCATCCCGGCCCGCTGGCCCAGGCTGAAGAGGAAGGCGCCCAGGCAGAGAGAAAGAGGGCTTTGGCCCAGTGCCTCCGAAGCAGGTGGGCGGCAGGGAGTGAAGGGAGAAGGGCTGCCTCTGGGGTCGGGAGGTCCACTGTCGGGGCTCAGAGACCCCACCTCCTCCTCTGCCTTCCCTCAGCTGGGAAGCAGCGACTCACCCGGATCCTGTCCCTTGGGCTGAGCTCTTTGGCACGGGGCGAGAGCGACGACCAGAGCAGCAGCAGCCCCAGGCAGGAGCCAAGCAGCAGCACCACACGCAAGAGGAAGCCCAGCTTCAGCTGCATCCTCAGTGCCAGCCCCACAAGCTCGCCGAAGCCGTGACTGACAAAGCCGCCGACCCCCTCACTGCTCCCTCCTGCGTCACTCTGTGCTCAGCTCCCCATTGCTGTGGGAGCCATGGGCAACTGCGTGTCGGCGGTGGCTCAACGAATGAAAGGCTGCATCAGAGTTTACCTCAGCGTGGCACGGGGACTGAGTGATCAGTCCCCGTGCCATGCTGAGGTAAACTCCAACATGGCTTTTCATTCATTGAGCTGCTGCGTGCCAGCAGTGGCTCTACAAATGAAAGGCTGCGACAGAGTTTACCTCAGTGCGGTGTGGGAACTGACTACTCAGTCCCCGCGCCGCTGAAAAACTGTGTCGCAGATGCTTGCCTCAGACACTTGGGGGGGTTTTCAAATGGCCGTGTGGGCCAGATTCACGACCCTTTCAGGCCACATCCAGCCCCTGGATCGTAGTTTGCCGACCCCTGTTCTAATGCAACACTAAGGGAGGCAGCACAGCAGTGCCCAGGAGGAGAGTCACTCCAAGGCATCTATCCGTGTTTAGTGATAGGACGGTTAATTCCCCTTGAATGAGATAATGACTTTCACGCAAAAAAACCAGAAATTGCAGTTTTTATCGGGCACAGATGGTGCAAGGACAAAGCATATGATGTGATTATCCTGTTCAAAGAGAGCTCCTCTAAGAATGAGCTGGTGCAGACATACTTCCAAACTAAGTGGCCAGTCAAAGCAATAGCCTGTTGTCAAAATCCTTTGAACTCATTCATTCATTATCTCTGTGCTATACTTCTTTTTCTTTTGCGTATCTATAGCATATAGCCTTGTGGCTTTATCTGTACCTACTCTAAATACCACAAACAATGAGGAAAGACCTTGAGGCCTTCCTTTTGGTTTTACCTCTTTTGGAAGTGAAATTCGGAACTGATTTAGCCCTTGAAAGACACCATGTGCATGAGTTCAGAAGTATTTTGTTGCACTCCTTGGTGAACTGCTTGCGGTGATCCCTCTTGTATGCAGTTTGAATCAGTAGAACTGAATTTTTAGAAGCATTGAGTTGGATCCAGGCCACGTTAGTTGTGGTTTGCTCTCTTCAAAATCAATGGGACAAGTTAGTGATCTTATTGAAACTGATAAGACTTAAGGATGACTGACTTAGTCTGGATTATAACCCCTTTATTTTTACTGTGATAGTCTTGCATATTAACCTTATGAAAAACTATGAAAATACTAGAGAAATGCTTAAAAACTTCTTTACTGGGTAGCAAAAATTCTTCCTTGATATATAATAACAATAAAAACTTAATATAAAATGTCTGCAAATGCAGAAATTAGGTAAGTGTAATGTATGCAGTAATATGAAGATGTTAAAAACCTTATGAAATCTTAAAGAAGACAATCCTCTTCTTATTTTGCCGGTGGCAGGGAGCTAAAAATTGTCATTGCACATTTTTTGCTTTTGCCCAGTTATTGGCTGCCCCATTTGACAGAAAACATTTGGCTTTTACTGTAAAAGTGAGCACTTGGAATTAAATTGTAGAAGATTCTGTGCTGTAAAAAGCAGGATGGGGACTGAAGATCACTTTTGATGTGAAGATCATTTATTTTCACCACAGATGCCATATCTGACGAAGCCCTGGGTTAAAGTAGAAGCTGGCAAGAATACCCTTGCTCTCTCGTAGAAATTGCTTTGGTGTAAGGCCTTGGTTTGGGATGGTGTTTATTATCCAAATTGCAATCATACCACCCTGTTGTGACAATTACAAAATCACCACCTTCTGTATATTCATTACTTTCTCTGGTGCCACATGGTAATTTTACTTGCCGGTCAGTGGTAGTTTTGATACTATTAACTATTAAGTTTGCAAATATGCTAATAGTAGAAAGTAAAAAGAAACAGTGAAAACATGCCCTTTCTAGCTTAGGTAACACAGATCCTCATCACCTTTTCCACTTTGACCCTGTTTTGTTTTTGCTTGTATTTTTTTTTTTAAGCAGGAGAAACTCAGGGATCCATTTAAGTTAGTGGAGCAGATGGAGCCAAATGTCCCTGCACAAAATCCCTCAGGATGCTGTGGAGCCAAAGCATGCTGCTGAACCTTTCAGTGTAAAATCAAGAGTCTGAAAAGCTACAGTGGAATAAATCCAAAAATGAAAAGCAAGAAGAGAGATTGCAGTCAGAGTAAAGGAATAAATTATGGCATTTAGATGCTCTGCTGTGTTGTTGTATATTGTCTCAAGAGTGAAAATATCTTGTCTTAAAGCATTGGTGGGAAACCAGATGTAGCTGGACTATAATTGTTATCATTCCTGACCATTTATTTAAGGAATGAATACACTGTGTTTTGTTTTTTTAAGAAATCCACCGTAAAGCGGATTACAATACAGTGGTACCTCGGGTTACATACGCTACAGGTTACATATGCTTCAGGTTACACACTCTGCTAACCTAGAAATAGTGCTTCAGGTTAAGAACTTTGCTTCAGGATAAGAACAGAAATCAGGCTCCGGCGGCGTGGCAGCAGCAGGAGGCCCCATTAGCTAAAGTGGTGCTTCAGGTTAAGAACAGTTTCAGATTAAGAACGGACCTCCGGAACGAATTAAGTACTTAACCCGAGGTACCACTGTATTTTTGAACACAAATGAATTCCGTAAAACTGTTAAAAATCCATAGTTAGCAACAATAAACAATAATAACATTAAAATTACCAGCATAAAACAATAACCATAAACTACCCTCATTCATACCTCCTCAGATCAAAAGCTATTGAGAAAAAATAGGTTGTTAAGGCCTTCTTTAAAAAAAATGAATTGAATTCCAAAATTGTGGAGCCACCACTGAGAAGGCCCTATTATGCAACCTGGCAGTCTAATTGCTTTTACTGGTGGGTATGCTGGCTGGGGCTGATGGAAGTGTAGTCCAACAACATATGGTGGTCCACAGTTTCACTATCCCTGCCTTAAAGAACTGCCAAAGATCCAGCAGGAAGACAGTAGTGGCTTATCACATGTGAGAGGTAGCAATACTGTTGCTTGGGACACTGAATCAAATCCTCTGTAAGTGAAGGGTACTGTTCTGTATCTCAGACTCTTCCCTTGTAGTCACAATACTCTTGAATGGCATCATTGGGAAGTGGACATCCATAAACCTGATCTTTTAGAAGGGGTTATATATATTAAGTAATCTCCCTATGCTCTATTACAGCCAGCTTTGTCCTCTTTCTAAACTGTAGGGAGCTGCTGAGCTGACAAAACAGGAGCTACAGATAGCAATAGATCGTTCTAGGCTTCAACATTAGGACTTTGAACCAACATATTTCTAAACTCGATCTGTATGAACTGAGATAACTGTGGCAGGGTTTGATTAAACAAGCACCAGGAGGAAAGGCATTCGAAAAGGTATGTAGTATGAACACTAGGGGGAGCTGTAAGGCTTTTGAATGTTGAACTGGATTTAGTATTCCAAGATGAACAGGGACTGTACTTTGCAAATTCCTATAACCAGTTTTTTACCCTTTTATTGGGAATGGGGGGGGGGGAGACAATAATGAATGATGAATGTTGCAGTTTAGCACTAAATTATGGAACCAAAAGTGTAGGCAGATAGTTCTGGGGGCCACTGACAGGTCTTGTTCAAGATGGTGTCAAACACACATATTGCCTGCAGGGCAATCTAGACCAGTTGCTCTAGGATTAGGGCCAGCAAACTTTTTCAGCAGGGGGCCGGTCCACTGTTCCTCAGACCATGTGGGGGGCTGGACTATATTTTGGAGGGGGGGGGAATGAATTCCTATGCCCCACAAATAACCTAGAGATGCATTTTAAATAAAAGCACACATTCTACGCATGTAAAAACACCAGGCAGGCCCCACAAATAACCCAGAGATGCATTTTAAATAAAAGGACACATTCTACTCATGGAAAAAACACTGATTCCTGGACCATCTGTGGGCCAGATTTAGAAGGCAATTGGGCCGGATCTGGCTCCCAGGCCTTAGTTTGCCTACCCATGCTCTAGGAAGACGCTCTCTTGGAGATGCCCCCTTTTCTTCCACAAAAGACCAACTGGATATATAGGGCAGAGCAGACACTAGTGGGAGGCCCAGCAACTTCCACAATAATCAAGTGATAATGCTAACATCAGGTCGCTGCCAGGAAACATCCTTCTTGGTTTTCATTTTGGTTCCTCCTCTTTGGGAATATCCAATGCGAAAAGCAGCAGTTGCCTTTTGTCCTCATGTAAATATTATCGTTTCCCAGTTCAGTGAAAACATATATCCAGTTTGATTGGTAATGCAAGTGTCTTGGCTAGGATTTTAGTAGTCTCTTAAACAAGCTTGAGATGCCATTTTTATAATCTGAGAATGTTTAGGCTTACGATGTTTGGTAATTCTGTAGAAATGCAGTAATCCTACCATAAAATTGTGTGTGTGAGAGTGCACAGTTTCACCATATTTAAATGTTTTAATTTCTAGCCAGAGCTTATGTCAAGGTCTGTTTGCGGATCACTGAGAAACCAAGTGGCAGATAGAAGAACAAGTTCACATATATCAGCTGATTTTATTTAAGCATTCGTTAGTGGCGGCGGCTGGTAAGTATTCAAGTTGGTGAGGTGGTGACCAGGGCAACTAATGGGAGGCAGAGGCAGGCAGTCCCTGGAGTCAGTCATACAAACGTAAGAAGAGTCTGCTGGATCAGGCCAATGGCCCATCCTAGTCCAGCATCCTGTTCTCACAGATGCCTTTGGGAAACCCACAAGCAGGACCAGAGCACAAGAAAAGTCTCCCCTCCTGTGGCTTCTGAGCAACTAGTTTTCAGAAGTATTGCTGCCTTGGCACGTGTAGGCACAGCATAGCCATCAGGGCCAGAAGCCACTGATAGCCTTATCCTCCATGAATTTGGCCAACCCTCTTTGAAAGAATGTTGGCAACCATCACTGCCTCCTGTGGGAGTGAGTTCCATAGCCTGTGTGCTGTGTGAAGTACTTTGTTTTATCTGTCCTGAATCTTCCAACATTCGGCTTCAGACAACTAATTCTGGTTTTCTCCCCATCCTCCCTTGAAAATATACAGTGAACACTTAGGCAGTTCTCAGACACAAGCATCAGATGTTAGCATTTCTTTTGTTAGTGTTATTAATTTATTAATCATCTGCACAAATGTCTCATGGCAATACATAACAACAAAAAACAGTTAAACCACACAAATGAGCAAGTGTATGTGTGTTTGAAAAAAACACTAAAAAAACTAAAAACACATCAGAACAAAAATGTCTTTGGTTGTTTCCAGAAAGTGCAGACAGTAGATGTCTACTATATTTTGACAGGAACGCTGTTCCACAGAACAAGGGCAATTCTGTGCTCCTGAAAGCCAGCTCTGAGTTATTGTGGAGTGGACTTCTGAGAACTTTGGAACTTGCAGGACAAGCTCTACCGTAGGCTGCAGAGACCCAGAGGATGAATAAGGGGTAAGGCAGTGTCTCAAGTTACCTAGTTCTGAGCTGGATAGGGCCTTTTATGCTAGCAGCAACACCTTGAGCTTTGTCTGATAGCAGATTGGCAAACAGTGCAAATCCTCAGAGCAAGGTGTTATATGCCAGCAGTAGTTTGACCCCACAAGCAGCCCAGCCACTGTATTCTGCACCAGCTGCAGTCTCCAGACCAACCTCAAGGGTAAAGGTAAAGGTAAAGGGACCCCTGACTGTTAGGTCCAGTCACGGATGACTTTGGGGTTGCGGCACTCATCTCGCTTTACTGGCCGAGGGAGCCGGTGTACAGCTTCCGGGCCATGTGGCCAGCATGACTAAGCCGTTTCTGGCAAACCAGAGCAGTGCACGGAAACGCCGTTTACCTTCCTGCCAGGGCGGTACCTATTTATCTACTTGCACTGCATGCTTTCAAGCTGCTAGGTTGGCAGGAGCTGGGACCGAACAACAGGAGCTCACCCCGTTGTGGGGATTCGAACCGCCAACCTTCTGATCAGTAAGCCCTAGGCTTTGTGGTTTAACCCACAGCGCCACCCGTATCCCTCAACCTCAAGGGTAGCCACACATATAATGCAGTAATCCAACTGTGAAGGTACCAGTATATGGGCAACTGTGGCCAAGGAGAAAAGTTGGACACCTAGAAATGTTACGTTTCTCCAAGTCTGCATCAAACGCCTAGATTTACCTGTGATTTTTCAGTTCTGCATATAACAAGACAGACAGAAAAGACTCCTGGGAGTCTCTAAATGGTAGAAAAATTATGAATGTGAGGCTATAGGACACAGGACTTCTGAGTTCTAGCACTGGATTTTAGGGTGCAGAAAAAGCAATGGTACGACTCTGCCACATTTGCCCTAGGGACCAGCCTCCCCTGTTTAGGGGTTTGGCTAAAAAGAAACTCGAAGAATGTAGTTGTCTAAATAGACCTCTTCAGGCCCCCCCTTGCTGTTATTCATAAATACTTTTTGAAAACATTCCTGCTGGGATATTTTCTCTAATTAATTTTGGTATCAAAGATGATCTTTAGAGTAAGAATGAAAGTGCTGATGGCTGTGAAAACTGTCTTCATTAAAAAGACATGAAATCTTAACCGCAGCTTTTCAAAACCCCTGTGGAGGCTACTAGAGAGTTTCATCAGTATGACTCCCCTTTCAAGCGCGCATTTGTTAAAAGGCCATTGTTAAATGCCAGGACATTTTGCTTTGCTTTCCTATTCTATTAGCACTTGGCATGTCAGCAAGGGCCAAAAAGTTTTAAAACTTCCTGCATCTTTCCTGGCATTGAAGCTTAGCACTGATTCTATAAACATGGCCTTAGATTTCTTGACGGCTACTGGCTGGTTCACGCATACAGCCTTATCCACAATCACTGTATTACCATGTAATCATTGCTTGCATGTGTGGATCCAGCACCCCAAGTTGAAGTTTTGCATTATCTGATATAACTTCAAATGTGGTGCATTTCAATTAAGTCAGCTTGCAGCCATGCATGTGTGACTCAGGCTCTGTTCTCACCATACATTTAAAGACACCCTCCACAAGAATCCTGGGAACTGTAGTTTAACCACAGAGCTAGAGTTCTGGAACCCTTAACAAACTACAGTTCTCAGAATT